GCTACACACCAATGACAGCACAAAACACCACGCTTACACCAATGCACACCAGCAAAGCACACGCCACACCACACGCACAGCACAGCCCACCACGCCACACAGACATGGCACAATTCACACCACACGCACAGCACAAAACACCACGCTCACACCACACGCACACCACAAAACACCACGCTCACACCACACGCACACCACCAAACAAAAAACAGGTAAAAAGGGCACACACACACTTCTGCAGTTGACACCAAACCAAAATCAAAACCAAAATCAGAGTATCCAGAAATCCAAGCCAGGTCAACACCAAAACCAAAGTATCAAGCAATCTAAGTCAAGTCAAAAACAAAAACCAAAGTGCCGGTACAGGCATACCATGGGCGATCAGGCCACGCTTCTACTCAAATGGAGTAGGCAAGTTTCCAAGACCAGTCCTGTCAAGCAGTTCAGACCAAGTCAAAACCAAAACCAACACCGAAGTGCCAATAAAGGCACGCCATGGGTGATCAGGCCACGCTCCCACTCAAATGGAGTGGGCAAGTTCCAAAGACTAGGCTTACCAAGTTTCAGATCTCCAGACTCCAAATGCCAGTTCCTTCACGGTGTTCAGCCACTGTGTTAATCCTCCGCGGTGGCCTGCTATGCACTGCTCTGGCAAGGCGTTCCACCCGGGGAATTGCCTACCCTGGAGCGCGCTTTGGATCACGTCACTCGGGCTGGCCAGAGTCCCCCACAGAGATGCTCCACAGGGCAGGCCTAAGCCGCCTAAGGGGCTGCCTCAGCCGTCTGTCAGTTACCTGGCTTCCCGGTCAGGGAACCAAGAAATGTAGCAGGACGAGCCACAGACGAAACCTCTCAGACACTGAGTTGTAGAAGGAAACACTTTATTCAGCTGGGAGTATCGGCAAGCTACTGCCTTAAAATACAAGCTCCCCGAGTGCACAACTTCTGTCCCTTTTAAGGGCTCACAACACTAAAGATTTCACATGAAAGGGTCGTGATTGATTTGAGCAGGCAGGGGGTACGTGACAGGGGCTGCATGCACCGGTGGTCAGAGTGAAACCGAACAGGGCGGGGAGTTTCCCAATGTTCTTCTATACAATGTCTGGAATCTATGAATAACATTGGTTTCTAAGTTATGAGTTGATTTTTAACTACTGGGTTTAGGCCAGGCAGGCCCAGGCCTGGTTTTGGGTCTGGCACCAGGCTGCCTGTCTTTGGTTTTGCTTCCTTGTTTTTTCTTAAAACAGGTACTGAGTATAAAACAATATGAGAGGGTCTCTTTCCTTAGTATCAAAGGAAATCAAGTTCATAATGACAGAAAGTAGAATGAGGGCTACCAGGGTCTGGGAGGAGGGAGAATGGGTTTTAATGAGGACAGAGTTTCAGTTTTGCAAGATGAAGAGCTCTGGAGATGGATGATGGTGATGGTTGCACCGCATGTGAATATAATTAACAATACAGAACTGTACACTTGGCTGGGCACGGTGGCTTATGCCTGTAATCCCAGCATTTTGGAAGGCTGAGGGGGATCACCTGAGGTCAGGAGTTTGAGAACAACCTGGCCAACATGATGAAACCCCGTCTCTGCTAAAAATACAAAAAATTAGCCGGGTTTGATGGCACATGCCTGTAGTCCCAGCTACTTGGGAGGCTGAGGCAGGAGAATTGCTTGAACCCAGGAGGCGGAGGTTGCAGTGAGCTGAGATTGTGCCACTGCACTCCAGCCTGGGCAACAGAGCAAGACTCTGTCTAAAAAAGAAAAACAAAAAAAAATAACTGTACACTTGAAAATGGTTGAGTGATAAATGTTATGTGTATTTTATCACAGCTTAAAACTTTTTTAATTTAACAACTTTTGCTCTGTGAAAGACCCTGTTAAGGTGAGGTAGCTCACGCCTGTAATCCCAGCACTTTGGGAGGCTGAGGCGAGAAAATCTTTTGAGCCCGGGAGTTTGAGACCAGCCTGGGCAACACAGTGAGACCCCATCTCTAAAAAAAAGATAAATAAAGTAAATTAGCCAGGTGTGATGGCATACACCTTTAGTTCCAGCTACTCAGGAGGCTGAGGTGGGAGGATTTCTTGAGCCCAGGAATTCAAGACTGCAATGAGCCATGGTTGTGCCACTGCACTCCAGTCTGGGCAACAGACTGAGATGCTGCCTCAAAAAAGAAAAGTCTCTGTTAGGAGGAAGAAAAGATAAGCCCAAAAGTGGGAGAACATATTTGAAAACCATATATATGGCAAATGGCTGGTCTCCAGAATATACACGGAACTCTTCATCCTCAACATTAAGTAAACAAACCATCCAGTTAGAAAATGGGCAAAAGACATGAATGGATATTTCACCCACAAGGATACAAAACTGTCCAATGAAATGACAACACAACACAGCTGTTGCATTCTTGGGCATTTATCCCAGAATAATGAAGACTTACAGTCACACAGCAACCTGTACATGAATGATTATAGCAGCTTTATTTGTAATCGCCCAACACTGGGAATGACCCAAATGTCCTTCAATGGATAAGTGGTTAAAGAAACAGTGGTGTATCCATAATATGGAATATTCTGCAGCAATAAAAAGGAATGAACTATTGACACATGCAGCAGCCTTCATGAATTTCCAGAGATGCCAGGCAAAAGATACCACATATAGGATTATTCCATTTATAGAATGTTCCTAAAATGACAAAGTTATATTAGTGCAGAACAAATTGTTGAGTGCCAGGGTTAGGGAGTGTTGCCGTGGGAGGAAAGTGGGTGTGGTTATTTTTATGCCTTTTTGGGCAGCATAAGGGATTTCTCGAGATGGAAATGTTCTCTGGTACCAGTCTTAATGGTTGTCATATTGTACTACAGTTTTGTGAGATGTCAGTGATGGGGCTTAGAATGTAATACCCCAAAATATGGCACCTTGACATGCTGAGTATCTCATGCTGAAGGAAATTGTCTCTCTCTGACCTTCTCCTGCCTTTCTTCCTTGAAGGAAGCCATAAGAGAATTATCTGACCTACCTCCCCCAAAAGCAGGTCATAGGATCCTCATTCCAGAGGCCAAGAAGAATCTGAACAAACAGGCCTTGGCCAGTTGCCCCCAGTTTATTACCATTAAGTTACACCTGCTTTTTTTCTAAGCGTATTTTTACATGACTGTTCATTCTTCATCAAACCCAAGCATAAAAAATAGACAGATTTGCCTGTTTTTTTGGGTTTTTGTTTCTGAAGGCTCACTTGTCACATAAAACCTTTTGTTAAATAGATGTGTGTCATGCTTTATCTTGTTAACCTGTCTTTGTGATTGGGGCCATACATGCAAGGTTCATCCATATGCCTTGCAATGGGTGAGGAAAAGATACTACCTTCCCCCCCCCCACCCCACCCTGACATCAGCATCATGGGAAAGTGAGTGCACGGTGCCTGTGCCCTTTGTGATGCATTGAGTGGTGACACGCTGACTCTCTAGAAGTCGTAAAGGAGGAGGAAGGTAAAGTCAAAGGCAGCATGGGGGCAGAGGGAGTGAGGGCAGTCAGTTCAAGTTAGAAGATGTTTGGATTTGTTTTCTTTTTAGAGACAGGGTCTTGCTCTGTGGTCCAGGCTGGAGTGCAGTGGCACAATCACAGCTCACTGCAGCCTTGACCTCTGGGCTCACCTCCCGAGTAGCTGGTACCACAGGCATGCACCACCACGCCAAGCTAATTTTTTATTTTTTGTAGAGACAAGGGTCGTTGCCCAGGCTGGTCTTGAACTCCTGGGCTCAAGTGATCCTCCTACCTCAGCCTCCCAAAGTGCTGGGATTATAGGTGTAAACCTGTAATCCCAGGCTTGCCTGGCTGATGCTTGGATTTTAATTCAAAGTGTCCTGGGCTTAGTAAGATTTCAGGGGAGGTGTTCAGCATTTGGACACTGCAGAATGAACCCATCAGCATTAGGCCCCTGAGATGAGCTGAGAATTAGGAGGGCAGAGACTGCGGTCTACACCCTGCAGCCCCAGCCCCCCCGAAACGAAGCTGTTGTCCAACAAGTTGGCCTTATTGCTGGGGACAGTGGAGAACATATCCCCACCCTGGGAACCCTGGGGCTGCTCGAGAAGAGGATGCAATGAAGAGCTGAATGTTTTGGTGATTAAAAGGAGTGTTTAAAACAACGGGGCCTCACTCTGGGTTGCATGCTGTCAGAGAGAGCCAGGACAACTCCATCACTGGATGTCTCCATAAATCTAAGCTGGCCAGGAATCACCATGACTCATTTTAGCCAAGAGTGGTCGGTTAGCCTTCTCTCCACCTGTGCTCAGATAGAGGTATAAGCGGCCTGGCCTTGTGTCTGAGGGACCTCTGCAAAAGGTTTTATGTGCAAGAGGAGAAGGCCCTCCCTGCCAGCTCCCAGGTCTCCTGGGCTGCACCTATCTCAAGTTCCCTTTCCCACGTCAAAGAAGAGTAGGAGAAAGGACGTTCAGGAGCGTTTGAGCGACAATGCACACACCCCACGGCCCTGGCTTCCCGCACTCCTGGCAAGGGGCAGGGCGGGGCTCGGCCAGCGCAGTCATTGCCCCTGGAATCTCAAATACTGGGTTGCTTTTCACCGAGGCCACGCGCCAGCGACTCTGAAGCCTTCTCTCCGCCAGCGGATCGGGGCCCGCGGCTCCCCGCCCTCGCTTGCACGCTTTGCCCAAGAACTCTTCCTGGGGCAGAGAAGTTCTGGAAACAAGCCGCTGGCCCGACGGCGGAGAAAGCGGGCTGCAGGGCTGGAGGTCAGCGTGATGGAAGAGAGGAAGGCGCACGGCGGGTGGAATAAACGCGCACGGGTGTGAGGATGGAGACGACCCGCAGGGCTGAACAAGCGGAGCATGGGAGTGAGGGAGCGACCCCTAAGGACGCCTTCTAAGGGCCTCGCAGGCCCAGACACAGCGGGGCAGCCTGATCGGCGTCCCAGCCAGAAAGGCGGGGACAGAGCCCTCACTCCCTCCCCTTCCCAAAAGAAAATAATGCAAAGAGACGGAAGACTTCTCGCCCGGCTGTGCGTTTTTATTGGCGCGTCTGCAGCGAGCCCCAGCGGGGAGACCGAGAGGTGCGGCCCCGAGCGACCCTCAGCGCACCTGGGCCAGGTTGTGCCTCTTGTACAGCAGCGCCCGTCTCTTCTCGCGATCGCGCACGAAGACGCGCAGTCGCGCGGTAGGGAAGGTCACGGGCGCGGGCCGCGAACACGCCGGGCCCTCCTCTGTCAGCCACGGGCACTGCAGGCAGCTGGACGCGCAGGGCCGGCCCCTGGAAGCGACAAACGCTCAGCGCGTGGCCCAGCGGCTGCAGGGGTGTGGGGGAGGGAAGTGGAAAAGGGGAGAGGGACAGGCGGAGGGGAGAGGACGGAGGGGAAAGGGAGTAGCGGGGCGGGGCGGGGCGGGACGGAAGGAGGAGGGGGCGGGGAGAAGAAGGAGGAGAGGGGCGCGCCTTACCAGGGCTGGGCGCACAGAGTGCTGCGCAGGAAGGCCACGGCGCCCCCGGACAGCCCTGAGTAGCAGCGGCTCAGCCGGATCAGCCCCTTGCGCAGTCCTCTCTGCAGGTCGCGTGCACCCTCGCTGCTCACCGGGTACTCGGCGCTCAGCCTGCACAGGTGGCAGGTGCACGGGCCCTGAGGTCACCCTCCTAGGGTAGACCAGGGCGGAGGGGGAGGGGATGCAGGAGCACGGAGGTCACCCTCGGGTATGGGGGTGCAGGGGCCGTGAGGTCACCCTCGGGTGGAGGGAGGAGACTACCCAGCCCACCTAGTAACCCCCAGACAGGCTGGAGGACTCACATGATGAAGGCTGTCACACCGATGGCCCAGATGTCTGTCTGCGGAAGAGCCCCCTGGCCCTCCAGGAGCTCTGGAGCTGGGAGGGGCACATGTGGTTGGGCTCAGGTGGAGGGGCACAGGTGGGACAGGTGGAGGCACAGGTGTGTGGGCCAGGTGTGCGGCTGAGTGGGTGGCAGTGGAGCTGGGAGAGGGGACAGCACTGGAGGAGAGGGGGCTTCTTCCTGCCCCCCACCCCAGGTGAGTTCCCCCCAACTGTCCACACACGTACCCATGGTCTCTAGGTAGTCCTTGAAATTCTCTGAGGGCAGCACCTTCTCCTGGCTGAGGCTCTGTGCATTGCCCAGGTCCACGACCTTGAGCAGGTTGTATTCGGTGATGATCATGTTCTCAGACCTCAGGTCCAGGTGCAGGATGTGCTGGGCGTGCAGGTATTGGGTGGCGCTCAGCATCTGCCACAGGAGGTCCTTCACCTCCGATTCTGAGTAGGAGGCCCTGGGGGGCAGAAGCTGCTCAGCCCAGGCACCAGGGTGGGGGCAACCGGGCTGTGCAGAGGGGCCTGGTCCTCCGGCCCCACCCCAGAGGCCTGTGTCCATCAGTCCATCAGCTCAACCATGCCACCCCAGGCCACCCTCACCTCTCAGCCAGGCAGGGGAGCAGCTCGGGCCCAGAGCACAGCTCCAAGATGAGCACCAGGTGTCGGGGGCTGAGGTAGGCTGCATGCAACTGGGCCAGGTGCGGGTGGTGCAGGCCCTTGAGGGCCTCGTATTCACGCAGCACTGCCGTCTTGTCCTTGGGGCGGTAGGGGATGATCTTGGCCGCCAGCGCCCGCCTGCTGGCCTTCTCCCAGCACTGCCGCACCACACTGAAGCGGCCCCTGCTCAAGGGGACAGCAGTCAGGCTGGTGGGTGATCCCCTCCCATTCCCCGATTCCCAACACTCAGAACAGCAGGAGCCCAGCTTAGCGAGAAGGTGGGTGTGGGGCCATGGGTGGCCAGCAAGGGGGGGTCCAGGCCCTGGCCCCACCCGCCTGCAGCCCCCGAGGCCCCTGCACCTCCGGATCTGTGTCTGGAATGCGAAGGTCTTTGTGCTGGGCAGGGGTTGGGCTGGCCGCCCCTGGCTCTCCTCCTCAGAGGCTGTGGGAGGAGGGGCAGGCCATAAGAGGGGGTGAAGAGGGCATCCCCAGAGCCCCAGCTCTCCCCACCTCTCCCATCACCCTTTCCCAGGTACCCTGACAACTGGGGCTTTGAGCTCCTACACACTCCCACCTTTTGTTCCTCAGGTTATGGGGGTACAGGGACAGGGAGGGGGTACAGCAAACAGTGAGAGCCAACCTGAGTGAGGGTGTGTATGAGGGCTGCAGGGGCATTTGAGAATGGACCACCCATAGCAATCATGCCCTCTCTGTCTGTCTTGAGCCCAGGACAGACATTACTAATCAACCCCAGCATTCCTCCACCAAATCTAGAGGCAGCAAGGGGCAGTCACTATCAACACTCACTACCAACATTCAGCATGAAGCAGAATGGACTTGTGGGCTCGCCAAAAAGTGTATGGAAGTGTAGGTGAGTGAAGGGGGGGCCTTGGGGGTGAGGTAGCCCCTAAAGTGTGTAGGCCTCGAATGCCAAGCCCAGGAGCAGCTCTCTCCCCAGAAGGAAGTGGACAGCTATGGAGACCCTGCACAGGAGGGAGCATAATCTGGGTCTTCCAGCTGCTGTTCCCACCCTCCAAGCCCTGAGTGTGGTGTGGCTTACCCAGGTGGCTGGGCCCTCCCAGGAGGACTTGCTCCGAGGGGCTGCTGTAGGGGCCCATTCCTGCCTTGCTGACACATGCCGTGCGGAAGGTGTAGGTGCCGCCCCGGGAGAGCTTGCTGGTCAGGTAGCAGCAGTCAAAGATGTCGGAGGCCAGTGTGGTCCAACTGCCGCCTGGCCACACAGGAGCACGTGAGGGGCTACTGAGGCCTCCGCACACCACATCAGTGGGGGTGGAGAAACCCTTCCCTGAGGCCAACCACGGGCACAGAGCAGGCCAGGCACCTCCCCAAGGGCCCCTCGACATGGCCCCCATGAGGGGTGGCCGAAGCCTTGGGCGCAGGGGCCACCTCATACCTTCTAGGCTGCACTGCACAATGTAGGTCACAGGGCCGTAGGATTCCACGGGCTTCCAGACCAGCAGCACCCCATCCGCGTACACCTCCCCAATATCCGGGCACGGCGAGGATGAGGGGCGCTCTGCAAGGCACTGCCCAATGGTCAGTGACTCCAGGGTGGGCACCCAGCCTCCAGGGGGCAATATCTGGCTGGCCCCTGCCTCACCCTGGTAGCTACCAGGGCTCTGGAGCCCACCCTCCCTGGTCCTGTTCATTCAGGGTCCAATCACAGTGAGGAATGGTAGGAGGGGCCTCTCCTGGCGAGGGGCTGGGGAGGTGTCTGCCCTGCCAGAACCCGCTCCTGGGCTGGCCCATTCACCGCGGTGTGACCAGAACCCTGTGCAGGGGCCCAGGCTCTGGTCAGAGGGGCCCTGGTAGGGCTGCTGGGCTTCACTGGGTTGCCCTACACAGGTTCAGGCAGGCTGGCCCACTCTGGTCATTGGGCCAGGGGTCCCAGAGCTAGGCCTGTAGCCCCCATCCTGACTACCTCAGAAACATGCCCCAGGGAACTGTGCTGTGCTTGGAACTCAACTTTGATTGAGATATGGAACCGGAAGCAGCCCACTCCTGCATGGGCTGGAGGGATGGGCGTGGAAGGAACATGGGAAGATGATGCGATAGGTCATGTGCCCAAGAAACTCAGTTCTCCTGGCAAGTGGCCAATGGGATGGGCTTTCTCCCTGGCAGGGAGCGTGGATGAACAGGCTTCCTTCCGAGCCCTGTAACGTCAGCAACTGCATCCGGCCGTCCTTCCCAAGGCTGGTTCCTTCTGCTGGAACCAGCTCAGGACCTCCCGCCAGCCCAGGGCAGCCCGTGTGGTCAGAACTCTGTTGACCTTCTCGGGCCTCCTGCAGCCCTGGCCATGTGCGGTGCCTGGCCCCATAGAGATGTGGGCTGCTCAGGGTCGGGGAGCGGCCGCCTCAGCGGCCAATGCACGGGCCCGGAAGCATTCCACGGAGGATGAGGCTTCCCAGCAGCCCTGGCCCAGCCTCCCTGGCCCACCCCCAGTGTGGCCCACGCACCTGCCTTCCGGAGGACGCCTGTGGTGGTCACTGTCCCCAGCGCATTGCTCACGCTGCAGGTGTACACACCCAGGTCCTCAGCTGCCACCACCAGGATGGTCAGAAGCTGGAAGTTCTTGAGGGTGGTGGAGATGAGGACACGGCTGCTGCTCTCCAGGGGGGCTCCATCTGCAAAAGTACAGAGCAAGCCTCATGCCACAGCCAGGCCTCACACCTCTCCCTGGGCCTCAGTTTCCCTCTGGACAGCGAGGCATCCTGTGGGGCTGGCGATGGCCACTCACCCGATTTCACCAGCCCCCAGCCCCTGGAATAGCTTCTTACCTTTGCTCCAGGTGGCCTGGGCAGCTGGCTGGGCCGACACCTGGCAGGCCAGTGTCACTGACTGGCCCAGGACCACAGTCTCATCTGAGAGCTCCCTTAGGAATGTCGGCGCTGAGGAGGGAGGATGAGATCAGCCTTCAGAGGTGACCTCCAGGCCCCAGAGCATGGCCTGGACCCCACAGTGGGGACACCAGGAGGAGCCCTGCCCCACCACCCACGACTCCCCACTCCCCAGACTGGCCCATCTGCACCACCACCTCCTCCTCCAGGAAGTCCTCCAAGACTGCTCAGCTCACCACACCCACCAGGACCCCTCATCGGTTCCTGCACCCCTGTGAGTGCAAGCCTGCTCCCCACCTGTCTGGCCATGCTGGTGGGACCCTGAGAGGCAATGGGGCCCGGTCTCTGTGTTGGGCCTGCTCACCTCGGTCCCAGCTCTTCAGACCTGACGGCCGGAAGGAAGCAAGGCCTGGCTTCTTCCTGGGGGGCCCCTCCTTCTCCAGACCTGCAGGAGGAAGGGGGACGATGAAGGTCATGGTCAGGAGGCCTGGCCCCTCTGGGTAGCACCAGCCGCCTCTGGCTGCAAGGACCCGGAGCAGCTGGGACAGGAAGCAACTGGGGTCGGCTGGCCCGCTGCCCACTCCCCAGACTTCCAGGCCACAGAGGAAACACGAATATCAGGCACCCTCCCCACCTCCAGGCACGGGGTCAGGAGGGTCCAGGACCAGGGAGGATTATGTGGTCGGGGAGAACTATGGGGCTGTGAAGGGTTTTGGGGTTGGGAAGAGTTTTGGGTTGAGGGAAGGCCTGAGGTCAGGAGAGTCTGGGGTCAGGTAGGGCATGGAGTTGGGGAGGGTCTGGGGTAAGGTAGGGTCTGGGGTCAGAGAGGACTATGGGGTCAAGGAGGACTCAGGAGGATCTGGGGTTAGGAGGGTCTGCAGTCAGGCAGGATCTGGGGTTGGGAGAGTACAGCGTTGGGGTGTCTGGGGTCAGGGAGGGTCTGGGGCCGGTCGGGAGGACTCTGGGGTCAGGAAGGATTCTGGTTCAGGAAGACTCTGGCCCCTTCAAATGCTTTCCCCAGGGGCATACCACCTACAGCCTCCCCAGGCCTCCTCAGCTATGTTAGGTCCCAGGGCTGGGTCTCAGCTGCCCCGTGGGGAGGGTTGTCAGGGCTGGAGAGGTGACCCCAAGATTCAGAGACCTGAGGCAGGGACAGGAGGTGTGGGCAGCACCTGGACACCGGCGGGGGTGCCCCGGGGGCCTCCTGCCGTCACCTGGAGTGCAGTAACCCCAGTTACAGAATGGGAGCACCTGGACGTGAAGGATGCCTGGGGTGGGGTGGGGGTTCACCTTCCAGCCTGCCCTTCAGGATCCGGGAGATGTGCTCCACGGAGGCCTTCACTCTCTCACGCAGCCCCAGCTCCGCGGGCTCATCCAGTGGCAAGTGCCTCCCAGGGAAGTGGAAGAGGCTGCGTGACGGTGAGGACCACTTGCACTTCCTGCCCACGGCAGCCTCCGCCAACAGCGCATCCACGTCTTCTGGCTCCTCTGTGATCTCCAGGCCTGCGTGGGGGCCCATTTCACCTTGCCAGGGCCACATGGGCTCCGGGAACTCGGCCAGCTCCTCCTCAGCCATGGGGGAGGGTGGCTCTGGCTGAGTGGGCTTGGGGACTTTCCTGAAGATCATAAACTCGAATGGGAGGTACTTGATGTCGTACAGGTCCGAGAGGTTGAGGTAGGCGGGGTCCACCTCGGAAATGTCCAGGGATATTGTGTCAGCCGCCTCTGCATCACCTGACAGGTCCCGGATCTGCACCAGGGAGACCTGCCCGACGTCCTCCCATGGGGTGGGCTCTGGAGAGCTCCTAGAGGGAGCCCTGCTGACCTCAGGCACAGGCCTTGCACTGATCTGGGGCAGTGGGCTCTCAGCCCTGGCCTCCTCCTGCTCCTCTGAGGACTGGGACACAGCCCAGGCTATCCTGGCCCACATGGGTCCCTGCCCCAGCATGCCCCCCGCATCTCCACCAAAGGCAAAGGTGCCATAGCCAGCCACACCTGCGTAGCCCCCGCGACACCCCAGGGAGAACTTCCGCGTGGTCACCTGTTCCTGAGGCCGCTGCAGGGTGGGTGTGGAGTCGGACAGATCCTCAGCCTCCTGGGACCAGCCCTCAGCATCGAGGGAGGGGCCAGGCTCTGTGCCCACCCGGGAGGAGCCCACCCTGAGGGAGCTCACTTGGGAAGAGCTCGCCTGGGAGGCGGACCCTGGGGAACTGCAGGGGCCAGGTTTTGGCCTCCCAGGAAGAGAGATGTCTCCAGGCCCCATCTTAGAGTCTAGTGGGGGGCTTGCTTTGGCAGGGGCAGGGGGTACCTGGGGCTGTCCCATGAAGGGGCTTGAGGGTACTAAGGGGGCCTCTTTGCAAGATCCTAGAGGGAAGGAGCCAGGAGGGCGTGGGGCAACTGCTGAGAGGGGGCTGCAGCCCTCCTGGGGGGCAGAACCCTGCTTGGCATGACAGAAAGGGGCTGGCTGCCCCCAAGGGTGGTCCAGGGATGGACTCTCTGGCTGAGCAGTGCCTGGGTGCCCACCAGTGGATGGAAGCTGCTTGTAGCCCTGAGGGTGCCCCATGTCCCTCATAGGGGCTCCCCCGGAGGGGGCTGAAGGCAGTCGCTGTGCCTCACAGCAGGCCTCTGGGGAGCAGCGTGGGGTGCTCGGAGGGTCATGTTCCGTGTCCAGGGAGCGGCTGCTGCCAGGGGCCAAGTGGGTGCCAGAAGTAGGCAGCCGGAGGGCGGTCTCGAAGGAGGGGGCTTTGGTCAGGAGGGTGGCCTGCTCCTCCCTGGCAGCCTCCTCCTCCAGCATGCAGTGCTCCATCAGTGGCTCGCGCAGGCCAGGCAGCGCCCCCGCAATGTACCCGCCCTTCAGCAGGTGCCGCCGCCGGGCTGGGTGCCGCCTGCTCCCCGGGGCCAGGGCCCCATGCTCAGGGCTCTCACCGGCCTGCTGGTAGAACAGGCTGCGGATGACGCTGTGCCGGGGCACACAGCCCTGGGTGGCCGGTAGCCCAGCACCCTCAGGAGATGCAGGCAGAGCTGAGGCCTCGGCAGAGGGCACAGTGGCCTCGGCCTCCTCAGGCAGGCTGGCCGAGGGCCGCAGGAAGCCCCGGGGGTGCAGCAGTGGTGAGTGTGTAACCGGGGAGGGTGGCAGTGACTTAGCCCGGGCAAATGGGGCAAGCTCATTGTCAGAGGAGGAGGAGGAACTGGAGGAGACACCAGTGTCCCTGCAGAGGTGCCGGGCCACACCGAGGGAGGGGCTGTCAGGAGGGCCCCGCAGCAGCTCAGGGATGGAGCGCATCACCAGGATGGACTTGTAGCTCATCAGGGAATGCTGGAACCGCATGGGGGCAGCAGGCATCAGGTGGGGAGACCCAGGAGCTCTGGGGTCCTCTACCCCCAGGGCACAGTCATTCCGCCCTCCTGCACCATGGGACTCTGTGCACCCATCCCCACTGTGCCCAGCAGATGACTCCCATCTCCTTTCAGCATGCTCAAAGGAGCCCAGTCCCACTTCCCTGCACTCCTAGGTGCGCAGCTGGCCCTGTGGGGCCTCAGTTTCCCCTTCACTGGTCCCTACTCAGATGGTCATGGCTCACCTGCCAGCGACTTCGGGCCAGGAGGAACTTGAGCTGCTTGGTGTTGATGAAGTGGGCCTCCTCTGCAGGCATGGATTTCTGGGAGACCGAGGTGGGCAGCCACATAGCAGGGAGACCATGGTGCCCTGATAGGGGCCCCTCCCGTGATGGAAGCCCTGCTGGGCAGCCCCAGTCCTGGGATCCCCTGGATCCAGGACACCACAGCCCTCACCCAAGATGTCCAGGTGGGGCAGATGGCAAAGGCCAGAGGTCAGAGGTGACAGCGACCCCCTGTCCCTGAGCTCCTCGAAGTTCTCCCTGCCTCCTGCTGGGGGTTGGGGGCTGGGGCACTGAAACGTGGTTCCAGCTTGAGGTTCCCACAGCCCTCTCACTAAAGTACAAGGACAAACGTCCTCTGGGCTGGGCAGAGTCCAGGCCACAGCCACAGTTCTGTGCTCACACACCCTGTTGCCCAGAGGCCCTGCCCGTTGGCCTCAGGCTCCGCCTGCATAGTGTGGGGCTGACCCTGATACTCACCAGGAACCAGGGGTGGGAGAGGCACTGGGCTGCACTAGGCCGGGCCCTGCAGGGAGAGGAAGGCTCAGGAGGGGTCAGGTGGTCAGTTGCCCCCTGGGGCAGGGCTGACTGGCCCCGGGCAGGAGAAGCCTGGGTGCGCACTCACTGAGAGGCTCTCTGCAGCGTAGCCTTGATGAAGTCCTTGGCGTCTTCACTGAGGTGGGCAGCCATGGGACTGCTCCATGACATGCGACCCTCCAGGATGTTCAGGAGGGTGGCACGGTCACTCTCACCGGCAAATGGGGATGAGCAGGTCAGGCTGAAGGCAGAGGGAGGGTCCAGCCCTCAGATGAGGCCCTGACTGCGGATGGGCTCTTAGTCCCACTCCCATCTAGCTCTGAGAATCCCAGCAAGTTTCTCTGATTTGCCCAGAGAGATCCAGGCTCAGCTTGGAACAGGGACCCAGACCAAGCCTGGGGTATCTGGGCTCAAGTAGCAGAAGGGATATAGGGTCAGCTTGGGTGCGCACCAGCCTTAGTCTGAGATAGGGATCCAGGCTCAGGCTGGGGCAGGGATGTAGGGTCAGCCTGGGTGGGCACCACCCTTAGTCTGAAATAGGGATCCAGTCTGGGGCAGGCATCAAGATCAGCCTGAATTAGGAATTAAGGATCAACTTGCTGAGGAAGTCCAGGCTGTCTATACCACCGTCATCCTCAGGGCAGCAGTGGCTGTTATGAGTGACTGCTGGACAACCCCCAGTCCCGCAGGGCAGTGGCTTGGCTGCCTCGTGACCCGGCACAGCCCTCTGATGACAGGGTGTTTGTGAGACCCTCTGGGCAGGAACCTCTTATCAGGGTTGGCTGACCGCCTGTTCCCAAGATAGTTGCCCCTTGGGTCTCGGGTCTCTGATCTGGGGAGCAGCCAGCGGTGCACATGCCCTCGGTGGGCCTACAAGGGAGGGGTCTTAGGTCAGCTGATGGAGCAGGGCTCTGCTCACCTGAGGTAGGAGATGACACCCATGGCCCTGCAAGACAAAACCACACATTGTGCATCGCCCCAGGCCTGGCCCTCAGGTAAGAGGCACACACACAGGGAAGCGGGGAGCCCAGGTCTGTAGGAGGAGACGGGTTCAGGGAGGACCCCTTGGCTGACCAGTAGGCTGCCTGCTACCTCCCTGGGGCAGAAGAGAGGGCCCGGCCATCTGTGGGAACCGGCTTCCCAGAGATGCTGCAGACCCAGACCCGTTGGCCCAGCCACCCACTCACCAGATGTCGGAGGCCTCGCTCACAGGGTTCTGCTGGATGATCTCGGGGGAGACGAACTCAGGGGAGCCGTACTGGCTGAACTGCAGCTCTGCTGGGGTGATGTTCTGGGCAAAGCCGAAGTCGCAGATTTTAATGTCTTCCCGGGCAGGATGCACCATCAGGATGTTAGAGGGCTGTCAGGGAGAGTTGGGAGTGGGGTGACTCCTGGGGCTGGTGGGCCTGGTGGGGACACCCAGAGGCCCGGGGACAGGGTGGGGCAGTGGGGAGCACCTGGTGCAGCCATTTGGGGACAGCCTTTGCTCCACCAGAGCCACACCCCACCTGAAAGGGCTGCCTGGAAGTGGTGAGCTCCCTGTCCCTGGAGGCAAGCAAGCCCTCTCAGTGAAGCTGGGAGTGGTGAGCCTGCCCCACTGGCCTGCAGGTCCCAGGCTCTGGGGTGCAGTGATGAGGACATACTAACCTTTATGTCCAGGTGGAGAATGCCGTGGCTGTGCAGGTAGTGCAGCCCCTCCACCAGCTGCTGGATGTAGACCTTGACCTGTAGCAAGGGCTGCTGTTCAGGTGGGAACCCAGCCCCAGCCTCCCTCTCCACTTCAAGTCCAGCCTCCTCCTGGCTTCGGCAGCTGATATGCAAAGCCCTCCTGGGTCCTGTGTGCCCCTAAGCCAGGAGATCCCTCAAAGGTGGGGAGGATACGATGGACTTGTGAACCTCAGTGGGGGAGGGGTGGGCAGGGCTGGTCAGCTGGCCAGGTGAGGCGGGGTCCAGGCCGTGTAGAGCCTGACTGAGGGGTCAACACGCCCTGGAGGCCATGGGGAGCCCCAGAGGCCCCTGAGCTAGAGAGGGCTGTGGCTGGGACTGTATCTGCAGGGAACTGGTGTCTGAGAGGGGTCTGGGGTAGGGTGCATGGCTGGGGCAGTGGCAGGCGGCGGCCCAGTCACCTCGGCCTCTGTCACCACGCCCTTCCTGAACAGGCGGTCCAGCAGCTCCTCGGATGAGCACCTGGGATCCCATCAAGGAAAAGCAGGCTTGGGAGGCTGAAACCTGCCTGCCCCCAGAAACCCACACTCACAATGAGGTGGCCAGGACTATGGGCACATCTGATCTCTGGGGGCAGCAGGGGGTGATGCTCAAGGTTGAGGAGAGTGGAGTGGGGACCCCTCTGAACCCCAGATGGCATTCAGCCCTGAAAAGGGAGGGGCTGCAGGCTGACGGTGGGGACTGAGGCCAGTCACTGCACTGGCACAGTGGGAGGGGGCGTCCTGCCCCCTCTGTACAGAGCCCATCCAGCACCCTCTCCCTGCAAAGAGGACACCGACTTGGGGCAGGGGGGCATGTGTCCGGCTGACACCATCAAGAGCACCAGAGGATAGAGGAGACCTCCAAGACAAGGCCACGTGGGTGGCAGGGTGTGCCCCAGAGTAGCCAGGCCAAGCAGCTCCTTCCTCTCTAAGAGGCCATCTACAGAGTGGGAGTGGACCCCCACCATCTCTGCTGAGAGCATCAGGTCATCAGGGCCAGCTAGCCACCAGTACCCCCTGGGGACTCCAGTCACTGCCCCGTGGAACAGAAGACTCCCCACCCAAATTCCCGGCTGGATGGTCGCCACCACCCAGCCAGGCAGGGGACACCAAGCACATGGCTCCTCTGAGCCCTGGCCTGGCCCTGCATGCCCCTCCTCGAGCCCTCTCAGGGGCTGAGGGCAGGATACAGCTCCAGGATGAGGATGAGGGTCTTGCGGGTCTCAAACTGGTCCAGCAGCCCCGTGACCAGCGGGTGGCTCAGCGTGGCCAGGATGTCTCGCTCCCTGTATGCCTGGGCCCGAGTTCTGCTCCGTAGGGGGATGAACTTGGCAGCACACAAGATCTTGTTTCCTTTGTGCTGCACTCTTTTCACGAAGCCAAACACACCCCTAGGAAAGACGGAGTGAGGGGAGCCCAGGTGGCCTGAGGAAAGGAGCCATCTGGCCGTCCAGGGGAAAGGGGGCTGGGTGCTACCTTCCAATCTCCTCCTTGACCTCATAGAAGGAGTGCAGCTTCCTCCGGTGGCTTTGCTTCTCTGAGTCCGGCTCATTGTCCCCTAAGGAGTGGGAAGCAGCTGGTATGGGCAAAGGTGACCACCCTGATCCCCACGGAACCCAGTGCTGTGGTGTTAATGGGAGCTGCTTCCTGGACCCAAGACTATGGGACCACACCCACCCAGGGACCACACCCACCCAGGTACCACCCATGGGAAGAGAGGTTGCCCCATGGAGACAAGACCTGTACCTGGCCAGCCCAGCTGCAGAGCCTGGGCCCAGGAGGGGTCGACCAACTCACCGCCAAGCACCAACAGCTCTGCCTTGCAGAGCACCTGGCCACCAGCGTTTTGGGCCAGGCAGGTGTAAACACCAGCATCCTTCGAGGCCACATGCCTCAGCACCAGGGAGTATGTGGTGCCTTCTTGCTGCTGGCTAAGCCGGGTGCTGTCCACCAGCTGGACGCCGTCCTGGAGGCACAGGATCAGCAGGGCTGCCATCAGCCCACTCTGGGGGACCCCATCACCCCACCCTTCACTGAGCAGTGCTTCCGACACCTGCTGTGTGTCCAGTCTGGAGGGGATGTGGGAGGAAGTGCACAGTGTGGACTGCACCCATCTCCCGTGGGTCCCCCAGATCCTGGGGCCATCCCCGAATCTCGCTCACCTGGACCTGCACACCTACCTTGTACCAGGTCACCGAGGGCTGTGGGTCGCCCTCAATGACAGCCTCGAATTGGGCCATTGTGCCTGTCTGTGCCTGCACATCCTCGATGGTTACCTGCATGGATGGGGGCCCTGGGAGGGCAGGGAGGAAACCATGGAAACCACCTCCCCAGCCACACAACCCTGGGTGCCAGCCACAGCCCACCATGCCTGGGTGGTTGTTGAGGCCCTGAGATACACTGTGGGCAACTGAACGCCCCCCACAGCCCAAGCAACAGCACCCCATCCTGACTGCTCAGGCTTCTGACAGTCAGGGGTGCTCCTTCAATGGAACCACTGCCTCTCCCACTCTGACCTCAGCTGGCCAGGTGATCAGGAGGAGTCGGTGGGGCCAGTGGAGCTCGCTAACTTGGCTGCCATTCTCAGGGACAGGGTCCTATTAACACCAAGTTCACTGCCACTTGAGTCTCCCCAGTGGAGGGTTCTGGCCCCTCTGAAGGGACACAGTGAGTAGAATGTGGGCGTCCCAGGCTGGGGCAGGGCTGAGACAGGCTGGGTGGCCTCTGCAGATGTGCAAATGCCCCCCAGCCCTGGACAGGGGGTATGGGGATCACACTTATAACCCAGCTGGGCCCAACCCCGTACTTGCGGTGTGTGTGTCGATGGCCTGGTATGTGTAGGTCCTCTGTGTGGTCTCTGTGACCACGTGGCTGTGGACGTCCCAGAGCAGCTCCCCTGTGCCTGCCCCAGGCCTGGCTGCACCCTCCATCCTGGGGTTAGGAAGTGGGGTGAGGCTCTGCCGGGCCCCCACACGTTCTGAGCAGCCAAGCCTCCCGATGAGATAGGGTATCCCTGCTCATCACCACTCAGAAGGGGCTGCAGCAAAGCCTCTCTGGGATGAGATGTACAGACGGGGGCCCAGCCCTTAGTGTGGAGGGGGCCCCACAACACCTCTCATCCCAAGGGTGGCCTCTCCTCCCAGACCTGCCATGCCTGGGGTAGCTGCTGGCAAAGAGTGGAGGGCTGTGAGGACACCGCGGTAACTTGTGCCCTGCCCTGCCTGCCCGGAGATGTCCCCTGGGGGTTGGTCCCCAATGCAGGACCTAGCAGTCTGGGGCGGTTACCGAATGGGCACAGTCCATTCCTGGGCTCTGGCAATGGCCTCTGGCTCCTGTTCTGGGCCTTCGTGGAGGAGGGGCTGTGGCACCCTCTGGGGCACGGCTGCTGGGAGATGAGGGCCTCATGAGATGGAGCCCAGGTGGTACCCGCAACAGGTCCCCACATTCCCAGGCTAGGAAAGCCCAGGCAGAGCTTTGGGCTCCCGGGGCCCTGGGCTGTGGGTGAGATCCTGGCAAGGTCCTAGGCCCCAAACCCAGTACCCAGCCCACAGCTCAAGCATGTGCAGTTAGCCACCCTGCAGAGCCCAGGTGCCAAGCACCCTCCATATCCGACCTGGTGCCACCAGCCCCAAGGGTCCCCTGCCCACCCGCCAGACTGACAACTGGATGCAGTGGCCTCTGCCCTCTAGAACACTCCCTGACAGCCAGGCAGGACAGGCAGCTCTGTCTCAGCAGGAGCATTCAACAGTTCCTAGCATGCAAGCAATGGTGGGCAGGATCCAGAGGGCCAGGGCATCACCCCATGGGGCTGCCCAGAGGTCACAGGTAGGGCCCTTGACACCGCTCCACCCAGCTGTGAGGGAGAGGACAGGAGAGACCCAGGGCAGACTGGGTAGAGGAGTGGGGCTCGGGACAGCCCCGGCCGGTGGCACAGGCAGCGCAGGCACGGCAGGTGGCTGTGGGAATACACTTGAGCTTCAAGCAGGTGGACGAATGGAAAGGGTGTCCACCACAGGCAGGGCGGGTGGGGTCATGGCCAGAGCAGGCCAACCCATGCCCACTCTGCAGAGGCATCGGGCAGAGTGAACGAGTGTCAGGCCTGTGAAGGAGCCTGCAATCTGCCCCGGATGGGCCAAGCGGCACCTGGGGCGGGTTTGTCTGCTCAACCACTGTGGCCCTGGCACACAGCCCATTGGATGTGGCAGGGTACACTCCACCCACAAGGCAGAGTTCAAGTGAGGGCCAGGGCTAGTCCTCCCAGACCCCTGCCCCAGCCTCGGCCTGTCCTTCCCTTACGGACGCCGGCCTTCAGTCACTGCATGGGGAAGAGTGACAGGCAGAAGAATGAGAAGAGACCATTTCCCAGGGTGACAGGGATGCCGTGCCCCTTCTCCTGGGCCAGGCCTTGCGCCCAGCCAGCCCCGTGATAGGCAAATGGAGCAAATATACACCAAGTTGGGGCCTAGAGAGATGCCCCTTAGCCCTAGGTGGCCCCAGGGTGCCCAGGCAGCTAGAGGGAGGAGCCTGTGCTCATTGAAGGCCTGGGGGCTTCCGTGCCTGTTGTGGGGAAGCAGATCTGAGGGGCTGGCCCTCTCATCTCATGGGGGAAGGCGGCTTGCTTGCCCCGAACCCTATGCCACGTGGCCTGCAAGAGGCCACAGAAGCAGCATAGGGACTGTGGGACTGTTGGAGCATGTGTTCAGGGGATTAAGCGTGAGACCATGGTGGGGGACTGTCCCGTGCTGTCCTTGGGGAGGGCACTGAGCCCTGGAGGTCTCATCCTGTTTGGCTCCAGCCTGACGGCCTTTCTCCAAGGTGATGGAACCAGGTAGGGGTGGCCAGGGAGGGTGCATCAGGGAAGGCCCTGCAAGATGGTGTGGGGTGACCAGAGTGGGTAGGCACTCAGGATGCAAGGCCGTGATGGTCTTTTGTGTGAAGACAACCAAGGCTGGGGCTGGGCCAAAAGAGAAGGAGAAGGGCATGGACCCAAGAAGCCCACAGAAGCAAGATGCAGAGGATGCTGGACGGGGCAGGGGAGGAGCCTGGCTGCCATCCTGCCCCAGCTCTGGCCTCGCTTCAGCCCCGTCCTCATGGCTTTCTGGACGCCTGACTCCAGGCCCCCATCCACCTGCGGTGAGCAGCAGGGATTTGGATGAGATTCCCCCAACCCAGGCCTCAGTTTCCCCAGATGCACCATCTGTCCCTTTAGGAAAAGTTCCTTGATCGGACACCTGAGGACCAGGCTGGAGCGAGGCCAGGGCTCGGGCAGGTTGGCAGCCAGGCTCACACCCGTAATCCCAGCACTTTGGGAAGCTGAGGCAGGAGAATGGCTTGAATGAGTTTGAGAGCAGCCTGGGCAACACAGCAAGACCCCATCTCTACCCAAAAATAAAAAAAATTAGCTGGGCATGGTGGCATGGGAGCTACTTGGGAGGCTGAGGTGAGAGAATCACTTAAACCCAGGAGGTTGGGGCTGCAGTGAGCTGTGGTCACACCCCTGCACACTGCAATCCAGCCTAGGTGACAGAGCAAGACCCCATCCGAAAGACAAAAAAAGAAGAAGCCATTAAAGTGCTTCAAAACAGGAGACCCCCAACACCTGGGGGAAGGGGTTTGAGTGACACACAGAGCTGGCTCTTGTAGCAGCCAGTCTGATCTGGTCTGTCTGGGGTACTGGCTGCTTCTGCCCCTCCCTCCTCCACCTCCTCCTCCTTTCCTATCTTCTGCCCCCTCCATCTCCCTCCTCCTCTCCCTCTTACTTCTCCCGTCTCCTCCTCCCCTTTCTCACCCCCTGCTCCCCCTCCTCCCTGTCTACTGAGGAGCACAGGGCACCTGAATTTGCCATCACAGGCCAACCATGGGAAGCCTCTGGCTCCTGGAACAGATTCAGAGCAGAAGGAACCTTCCAGAACCCATTCTGTGCCAAGATTCTGACAGGGAAACTGAGGCCAAGCAAGAGGTAGGCTTGACCCAGGACCCCCAGTGCATGGAGCCACTGGGATTCCAAATCGGAGTCACTGGGGCCTAGCCAGTTCATGCCCATGTGATGGGTACCCTTCACGTTGCACAGCCAGGTTGGGGTCAATCCCTGGGGGTCTTTGTTGTCAGCATGCGTCTGGGCCTCACCGGGTGCCTCCGAAGATCCGGTGACTGGAGGTTGGAAGCCGGTTTCCTGGAGTGCAGGTGCCCCCCTGTGGCAGGGGCTGGGGCCAGTGAGGTCCCCTGTGAAGGGGCCTGGCACCCTGGGGCCCAGCAGTCTCTCCAGGACGGATGTGATCTGGTCCACTCGCTCCAGGGTGGTGTCTGTAGAAGAGGCAGATGAGTGCAGAGCAGGTGAGACCCAGGGGTCTGGGATAGCTGCAGCCTCCGGAGGGGTCTCCAGGAACCCCGTCCCCCTCCTCAGAGACTGCCCAGGTGGTCCAACACTGGGCTCCTCCCCACCCACTCCCCTCTCAGAAGGCTGCCTGGAGGTGGAGGCCTGGGACACAGAGAGGAAAAAACCACAGACCCATGCTGCAGGCAGGCACTTCCTCCTCCTAGACTCCCTGCGAGCTCAGGCCCATCCTCCCCGGGAACCTTCAGGAGAGTGTCACCACCTCCAGGGAGCAGCCGGGCCTGGATACCTGCCCCAGGCCCTGGCTCTGCCACTGATCGCAACCCCCTACCAGGGCTGGCCTCTCCTCAAACCTGGGCACAGCCTGGTGCCAAGGCGAAAACCAGAGGAAGCTTGGGTTCAGTGGGTGTCCAGGCGGCCATGACTGTGGACCCCTCCCTGGGGATGGGCCCTCCCTCCCAGGGCAGCCCCTGCCTGAACTCGCCTGCCAGGGGCTTTCTCTTCTCCACCTGTGACCCAAATCTGCTCTCCCTTCTGCCTGCAACCCCAGCCCCGGCCGCCCCACCTGGCCCCCTGCTGGCTGCAAGAGACTCCTCTAGAGCCCTGCTGGGCATGGTCCCCACTGGCAGCTCCCCCTCAGCAGCCTCCCCGTCCACCTGGCCATCAGCCAGGCACCTCGCACACGGGTTCAGCAGGTCACCTGCCCCAAGCCTCCCGCCTTGTTTGTGTCTTCAAGCCCTTGCTGAGGGCCCTTGCCGCATCCCCAGTCGCCAGCCTGGAGAGGAGACCTGGGCTGCTCTCTACATTGCCAGGGCACCCTCCTCTCTACCCTCCTCACTCCAACGCAGTCAGCAGGACCCCTGGGCCAGCCTCGGAGCTGGAGGGCTTGGGGTTGTCCTCTAATGGTGCTGGGATCGTCCGGCCAGAGACAATGAAGTTGACCCCTGATGCTGAGATCCCACGGGGTCACCACATCCCCACGTCTGCCATGACAACAGTCCCAGCTGCCCAGGGCTGGGGAAGGCCTGCCTGGTACCCAGCATGCTAGGAAGGAGCATGATTGGCTGTTCTGGCCATGCCGTGTGCCCCTGTGAGTGGCCTCTCCATGATGGGAACCAGCTGTCGCAGGTCCACTCAGGGACCCCAGGGTGGGCCGGGACTCCACAGGCAGTGACCAGCCAGGGGACCTCACAGTCAAAGGCAGATGAGGGTATGGGCTCCCCTGAGGGCTGCAGGTGGAGGGGACCCAGGGCTGCCCAGTGGAGAAGCAAGGAGAGTCAGAGAGGTGTGCAGGAAGCTACTTTATTCTTGCTGAGAGACAGGCTGCTGCCCACACACAGACCCCATGTCCACCCTGCAGAGAAGGCCAGAAGGGCCTGCAGAGCTGGGAAGCACCCACCCAAGGGTCTCAGTCACCAAGACTGCAGAAGAGGCAAGGCCATGCCAGGCCTGGCAGCTGTGACCAGGAGGGATGGACCAGGCCCACGTGGGAACAGGACAAATGCCCAAGGCTACATCCTTCATCCACAGTCCCAAGGCTCCTGCCAGGCTGAGAGGAAATGGCCCAGAGCTGAGGTCTTTGAGCCAGTCATTCTGACGTTACAAGCGCCACCCAGTCCTCCTGGCTGAAGTTGAGTGAGGTAAGAAGGGCCCAGGACCAGGGACAGGGAGGCCCTCAGGAGGCTCCTAGGGGCTGCTGCTGAGGCTGGGCAGCGTCCTAGGCCTCAAGGGCACGCCCCTCTCCCTGCTGCCCCAAGCCACCACAGCAGCAGCATCAGGGCTGTGCCCCCTCATCCCCATCCTTGTCTGGGCAGATGTGAAGGGTGACCGTCTCCCCTACTGTCCCAAAGTTGATGGTCTGGGTGGAAAGTTCTGTGGTGAAGCTGCACTGACCACTGTCCACAGAACGCCGGATGCGAGTGCAGAAAGACTGCGTCCAGGGAGCACTACCCACAGGCTGAGCCGGGGCTTCCCGCAAGAGGAAGGAGGTGCCCTCAAGGCTACGGACCTGGGGTCCTGGTGGTGATGCCCCACGGAGCTCAGGCCTAAAGAGGCCGAGAGTGCCTCGGGGACCCAGTGCATGCCCCACACTGAGCAGCACAGGCTGCCCCACCGTGGGCTCCCCGATCTCTCTCTGGATCACTGAGACCTCGCAGGGAGGGTCATCAGGGGCGCTGGGCCCAGGGCCACCACAGCAGAAGGTCTCCCCTTCCCCAGGCACGTAATCTTCCAGGTCAGCCAGTGTCAGCACGCGGCCATTGTGCGTGAGGATCTTGGGGTCACGATCCCCAAGGCTGTGTGTGTCCTGGGACTCCTCCGTCACAAAGGCATCTCCGTCTTCCCCCTCTTCCTCTCCCGCCTCCTCCATGGTGCACTCCTCCTCCAGGGTGACGCCGGTGTCCTCCAGCTCCAGGCTGCCCACGTCAGAAGCAGCCCAGTCCACACTGCCTCTGGCATCCACGCGGAAGAGGAGGGGCTCTCTGACGCTGACCATGGCTGTGCCCTGGGCCCAGGTCTCCTGGGCCAGCAGCTTGTTGTTGGAGTTGTTGGAATTGGGGTCCCCTCCGGGGGTCGCACCGGGCAGCGTGAAGAGATGCCCTGATGAGCTCCTGGGCACCTCTCTGGTGGGAGACACACCCTGCGGGCCCATCTTCTTCACCTGGACTTCAATGGTCTCCTCCACCTCCAACCACTTGGGCTGGGACCCCAAGAGTCTGGGCAGAGCTGGAGAGTGGGCCTCGGCCTCTGTCACGTACAGTGTGGGCACCACGGGCTTCCGGCCTGGCTCTGCCTCAGGCCTGCGGGGCTGGCCAGCCCCTGGCAGGTACAGCAGGTCAGGGGCCAGTAGGCCCGGCCTCAGCGGGCTGGCAGAGCAGCGGGAAGGTGAGCGGGAGGGGGACTTGCTGGAGGACCGTCGTTGGCCACGTGGGCTCTTCACCACAGTGGTGATGGTCTCTTCTCTGGGGGAGGGAGGAGAGGGCCCAAGAAAAGATGGGCACAGTGCCCAGGATTGCCAGGGCAGCGTAAGAGCTCAGGTTATTGTACCAGCAAGCGAGCGGTGAGAGTGCACAAAGAACTCTTACACATACATGTGAGCCCAACCTGCAGAGTCCTCCACCCCCTGCCATAGAACCAAAGAAACAAAGCACAAGGTCCCATGTGGCCAACCTCAGTCTCTGGTGTGCAGATCTGAAAACAAGAGGTGAGGTATATGGGGAGGCCCGTGCCGCACTGCAAAGGCAAGTGCCTCCAAAAACTGGGTCACATCCTAAGTGCAGTGGCCCCAGTGACAGTCTCCCCTCCAGGTCCATCCCACCAGCAGGCTTTGTGCTTTGTATCATGGGGGACAGTGAGTGGCCAACTCTAAGAGGGCAGGGCCTGCACGCCCTGAAAATCCTCAGCCAGGGATGGGCTGGACAGCTCATGCCGCGGGGGCGGGGTGGGGGCTGAGCTCAGCCCTTTTCTCCTAGCCTTTGGGTCTGAGAGTGTGAGGCCTGGAAAGGCTTTAGGCAGGCCAAGGAAGAAACCTGGCTGGATACCTGGCCCCAGACTTGGCTTGGCCGTGATGAGCCGTGTGATGTCAGACAAGCCCCTCCTCCTGCCTGGTTCCATCTCCCAAAATGGGACTGGGGAGGAGTGATGGAGGCAGAATGCAAGGTCGGCTGTATGTGGCTGTGCATGGAGCACTTTGCAAGTTCTCTTGTCTGACTCTGCAGTAACCTGGGAGAGGGTCTGATCCCACTTCATAGGGGACAGAGAGGCTCAAAGAGGCTCAAAATCTGCCTGGGGCCAAGAGGGAGAAGTGCAGCAGTCAGCCCAGGTCCTCCTCTGGTGCCCGGTGTCCCTGACCTTGCTGAGCACTCAGAGCAAACTGAGTAACAGGTAGGGAAGCAGAACGTGCTGAGTAACACACAACACATATCAGTTCCCTGCCTATTACTCATTTTGCCCTCAGCCCTGCACTTCCCTCAGGCTCAGGGCAAGGAATGTGGCACATACGAGGTGACAAAGTTGTCACCACGTGAGCTACTGCCAGCTGTCGTCTTTGTCCAAGGTACTGCCTCTCTCTCGTTTAGCTTTGCTTTTGTCTAATTCAGGGCTCCATCTGGAAGCAGTTGCTCCCAGGGATGAGCCCAGAGATGTGTGACCACCCCTTGGGGTGCACAGCAATGACAGGTCCTGCCTCCTCCAGCCCTCAGCTATTAAGGAGGGAGTGATGTATTCCACTTAACTGATGGGGAAGCTGAGGCTCAGAGATGTGGCCCACTCATGCCCACAGGCTGCTTTCCTGCCTCACACGCAGGCTCTAGGGCAGTACGCTTGTTGCTGAGAGCCTGGACCAGGCCCCATTTGCTCACCTCACGTTGCCCGATCTGCTGATGCAGGGTGGTAAGTTGAGTGCAGCCCAACAGGTGGATGGGGATGGGGACTCCTAAATATCCCCCCAAATGCTGGACTCACTGCTACCCGCACAAGGACACATGGGCATCCTGTACTGATACTGCAAGCACAGCACATGGGGTCTGCCTCCAAGCCCTGTTTCCTTCTCGGGTCTACTGCCTCCCTGGTGCCTCTACCTGTGCGGTCCACCCTTGGGTTCAGCGCTATGCCTATGCAGTTGGCTCCCTCCATTCCTCAAGCTGAGTGGGTAAATTATTCTTTGCAGGGTGAGGGCTCCCACCTTCCTAAGCCTGGAACAGACTGGACTTGTATGCTTGTAAATCACCTGGTCCTCCCTTCCCTAGGCATGAGTCGCCTCTGAAGCTTTGCCAGTGGGGCATTCTGGCTCCATCTCTGCTCCTCCTTTTCTTATCCATAAAATGTAGATAATAATAGTGCTCCCAAAGGGACAAAATGTAGAACTAATCTATGTGAGGCTCTGGCACCATTGCATACCTCCAGGAGTGGGGTGCTCACGAGCATCCAGGCAGTCCCATCTATTGTGGGGTGGCATCATAGAAGCAACTTGCTTTAGGGAAGGAGGGAGACAGCCAAAGAAAGGTTAACCCAGGATCTCAACAAATGTCTGGCAATGGGATTTTCCTATAATAGGGCCAACTGAAGGCCCCTTTTGGAGGTTGTAGGCCCCTTGAGAACTAAGAGTTTTCCCGTGCTGGAGCTTCTCAGCCATCTGGCCTTAGGAAACCATAGTCTTTCCTGTCTCCTGGCTTTTCCAAGCTCTTCCATCACTCCCACCTGCACACACCTTCTATTGGAAGTCCTCTCAGATTATTCAGGTCAAAACCAACCCTACATTTATGGGTTCACCCAGTTCTAGTCCTCTTGTGTTACTTCAGCAGCAGCAGCATGTGTGATTTTGCTAAATCCTTGAGGCACTGAAGGATGAAGAAAGAGACGGTGGGCGTGGCACTGGGGAAGTGGGATCTCCGCTGGCTTCCAATCATTAGCCACCCGGAGCTAACCTCCTCTCTTCCCTGAACTTCAGTTTCCCCATCTTCCAAATGTGAAAATCAGGCTTGGGGACCTCTAAGGGCCCTAAGGCTGTGCTGTCCACTATGAGTGTACTATGTAAATTAAATTCAAATGAACAAAAATTAAAATTTAAAATTTGTCCTTCAATCACACTAGACACATTCCAGATGCTTCAAAAGACGCATGTAGCTAGTTGGCTACTGTAGTGGACAGGGGAGATATAGAACATTTCTTTTTATTTTTTTTCGAGACAGAACTTGCTCTATTACCCAGGCTGGAGTGCGGTGGCGTGATCTTGGCTCACTGCAATTTCTGCCTCCCGGGTTCAAGCAATTCTCCTGCCTCAGCCTTCCGAGTAGCTGGGATTACAAGTGCCCACCACCACACCCGGCTAATTTTTGTATTTTTAGTAGAGACAGGGTTTCACCATGTTGGCCAGGCTGGTGTCGAACTCCTGACCTCCTTGGCCTCCTAAAGTGCTGGGATTACAGGCGTGCACCACTGTGCCCAGCCAATATAGAACATTTCTATCATCACAGAAAGTTCTGTTGGACAACACTGTCGTAAATCCCAGGGTGCTGAGGATTAGAATTCTGTCTCTGGCCCACTGAGGAAAGCAGCTGTCAGGCCTAGCACCTGATGAATCCCTGGATGAACCACTGTGAAGTGTGTGGAATAAGTCTACTCTGCTGAAATAGTGGGACCATGGAGTGTACTGAGGCCCTGGAAGAGAGAGCTGTGAAGTGTGGAGGTAATCGAGGCCCCAGGGGAAGGTGCCTATGCAAGGTAACTGCAAGTACCTGTAAGGTGCTGGCAGTCAGAGGGTGAATGTTACGTGAGCAGACAGGCGGCAAGCAGGTGGCTAGGCCACACGGGCATGATCCAGGCAGGTCAGTGGCATGCAGGAGGCACTGCAGTCAGAAGGAAGGTTAGGAACACGCCTGCACTTACATGATGACGGTTTTCTTGGGGACTTTAGTCTCTTGCTCAGTGACTACAAAGAAAACAGTCGGAATAGCGAGGGTTACAGACCAGCCAGTGCTGGGGGCTGAGCTATCTGAGTGGCACAGCATTATAGTCGCCTGCTAAGCTGCCCCTGGGCAGGCTGTCTACTCAGAGCCCTAGTTCTCTGGTCTCTGACATGGAGGTGACGATGCCTGTCCTGAGTGGCTGTGGAATGAGGGCTGAGGACAATGTGTCCCCTCGTGAAGGCAGGACCCACTGTCCCTCTCGAGGGTCTTCCAGGGTCTTGAGGGTCTCGAGGGTCTGGGGGGAGAATGAAGACCCTACCTACGCTCCCAGCACAGAAATCCCAGCTTCTCCTTCAACCCATGTGCCAAGGGAGCCCTGTGAATTTGTCAGACCTACAATCCCACTTCTCAGACACAGAAACCAAGTCCTAGAAGGGAATACATGGCCTGTGGCTGCATAGGGAGCCAGCAGCTACACTGAGTCTGAGGCAGTTGGGGCCTCTGTTATAAAAAATCCTCAGGAGAGAGGGACTCTGGAGTCCTGAAAGTGGCACACCTGAGCTTTGTGGCACAAAGCCACAGAAGTCCTGCCAAGAACAGCCCCAGGGGATGCCTGGGCAGGGTGCTGAGCTCCGAGTGAGTGTCAGCCCAAATCTCCCTATAGGAGCATCCTCAGTTCACACACTCCATGGTCTCTCTTGGTTTTCCTAGCTGCCTCCCTCCCCAGAGCGAGCAGGATGGGGCCTGTGGTTCCAGCTATGGGATGGGACGCATCTGGGATCAGGCAGCTCCTCCTTCCAGTTCACCTCAAGGACTCCTCCTCTGCAGCTCCTGGGCAGAATCATCAGGGCACAAAGATGGCCCCCTCCCAGCCCTAGCCAGCTGGCCAGTGGGCAGTCCACAGGCCACCAGCACCTTCACATCTCAGTGACCCTTCCCAGCACCCTGAGGGAAAAAAACAAGCAGGAGGCCCAGAAAAGTCAAGTAACGTGGCCTGGGGCACACGGCCTCACAGCTCTGGGTCGGGAGTGGGACACTGTCTGCTTTGCTAGATTGCCATGTGGAGAAAGGCTTTACACCTGTCTCAGATGAGAAGCACGTGAATTTCAGGGACTACCTGCATCTATATGTACGCTTGCAAGCCACACGTACTGTGCATTTCTGGGCACACACATGTGCAAATGTGTGTACGTGCATGCATATGTGTGTGCACGCACATGTATACATATGTGTAAGTGTGTATTTCACAGGCTCCCCCTGGAGAGAGGAGTGCCCATGGGAGGAGAGAATGAGATCCAACCAAAAGGCTCTGTGTGTTTAGACTAAGCTGACCCCAGAGAAAGCCAATGTGTCCACCACCTGCAGGCCAGTGATGGGAACTACAGAGTGATGGGGAAATCCAGGGCCTCCCCACTCATCCTCCCTGTACTTGGAGCTGACAGCCAGGCACCTCTGCGCCCATACACTCTCTGGCACCTTCATTCATGTACCTAAACTGCCACCTGATCGACTGTGGGCCAGAGTGAGTATTTGCGACCATGGGAGGAGTACAGCCGTGCGCAGCGTAATCCACAAGCAAGGGGGCAGCGCCCACCCCGCAGAGGCCTGCCAGGGCCTGTTCAGGCTGCAGAGCTGCTGGGTTAAAGATGAAGCAGCAGGATAGGAGTTAGAAGCGGGGAGGTGTTGGCTCCAGCTTCAGGCTCTTCAAGGACCTGCGTTCTTACCTCGCTGAGGCGCCAACACCCTGTCCAGCACTGGTGGCCTCTCTCCCCTGCCACCCCCTCCTCCAGACCCAGAGAGAGACTTGTTGTGACAGCCAAGTGAACGACTGTGGAGGACACTCCTGTCACCAGCAAGAGGCAGCCCTGGGTGTCGCAGTGTCCCAGCTGGGCACCTCCCTGGCCATGAGACACAAGACTCATGGGAGGCTGAGGTGCTGGCAGCTCCAGAAGCAGTTGTGTGTGGTGCTGTGGCCACCAGTTGTGGGGCTGATGGAGGTCACAGGGCCCCCAGAGACACGTCAGACATGGGGCACTCGCAGTCAGGGGTTGGCCAGTGCCTGTGGCACTGTGTAGGCTGAGGAACAAGGACATTTGCCCAGCAAGGGAGGGGTCTCCCTGAGGGTCATGGAGGGTATCAAAGATGGCCCAGCTCTGTGGGGTCCAGATGGGCAACTGGCTTTCAGACACTGGGCACTGGGAGAGACAGTTGAGGTGGGGTTGCAGGAGCCAATGTTTAAGACTTGGAGGACACGTATTCCAACCCACAGTGAGAGTTGCAGCTCCGCCAGGTGTTGAACCAGCCTCCACTTGCATGTCCCCAGGGAAGGGAGGCTCAAAACTTGTCCAGATGGGCAGCCCAACTGGGAGCCCAAGACGGATGCCCAATGACCCCCTTCCCATCCTGGCTGCCCTGCCCTGAATAAAGCATCCGGGAGCCTGGAGGAATAAGGTGATGTGTCCCACCTCTCCCCCGGCCCATCACCTTCCACCCCTAGTGAGGTCATTTTGCAGCCCAAGGCCCTCCCAGGAACCCAGGAGCAGTCCCAGACCAGGCCAGGTCTCTCCACAACCAGCCCTACCCTCAATGGAGGGGTCAGGCCCCTGACACTTGCCCCTTCTCCTGGGAGCCAAGTTGGGGCCCAGCGGCCTGGCCCTCTTTAGAGATGTCCTTCCTACTGTTCCTGCCGCAACCTCCCCACTGCCTCCTGTCCACCACCGGCGAGCTGCCCTGGGTGTAGGCGTGGCCTCTGTGCACAGGCTTTCCCTCTCTGGACCGCAGCAGGGCTTTGGGAACCCTGCTCACCCAGAGTGACCTCTTCAGCCTCCACTCAGGCTCTGGGCTCAGGGCCCACGCTCCACCAGCCCACACAGGTGCTGCCTCCAGCCGGGGGCTGGGACTTGTGCCTGGCCCACAGCAGCCTCCTCATCTCCCATCTGTGGCTCTCCCTGCCCCACGATGCCAGCCCAGCCCTCCTCCAGTGTCCTCCAGGCAGCAGACCCTGACTGGGAAAGGTGAGAGTCATGTCCCCCCAGACATGGCCAGGCCTGTGAGGGTCCAGCGTGGGTCTGAGCTGTGGGGAGCTGCCTTAGTGGCAAGGACAGGGGTGGGACTTACCTTCCACTGCCCCCGCGAGCTGCTCCCTGTGGCACTGCTCCCGGGCCTGCAGCGTGGGGCTCTGAATGTGCAGCTCTGCACTAGCTCGTGTGGAGCCCAGCCGGTTCACCAGCTGCAAGGACAGCAGGGCTGGCTCAGAGCCCAAGGCTTCTCATGGGCAGGGCCCTCTCCCTGTGGCCATGTTGGGAGCATGGGCAGCCTCCATCCTGGTGTGTCCCCCACAAGGGGAAGGGCCCCAGCCCAGCCACAGCATCCCTGGGGGACCCACATGGCCCTAGGGTCCCCTGCAGTGATGAGGATGCTCTCCGTCTGTCCTGTCCATGTGCAGCTCTGAGCATGGGACATGGGGCCAGAGCAGCCAGAGAACCGAATCTGTAACTGAACTTAACTTCATTTTATGTATGTTTTAAAGCTGGGTCTCGCTCTATGACCCAGGCTGGCGTGCAATGGCACAATCTCAGCTCACTGCAGCCTTCAACTCCTGGGCTCAAGGGATCCTCCCACCTCAACCTTCCGACTAGCTGGGACTAAAAGTGTGCACCATTGTGCCTGAGTAATTTTTTAGTTTTTTTTGGTTTTTTTTTTTGCCTATGCATTTTCTTTTATTTATTTATTTTTATTACACTTTAAGTTCTAGGGTACATGTGCACAACATGCAGGTTACATATGTATATATGTGCCATGTTGGTGTGCTGCACCCATTAACTCGTCATTTACATTAGGTATATCTCCTAATGCTATCCCTCCCCCCTACCCCCTCCCCACAATAGGACCTGGTGTGTGACGTTCCCCTTCCTGTGTCCAAGTGATCTCATTGTTCATTTCCCACCTATGAGTGAGAACACGCGGTGTTTGGTTTTCTGTTCTTGCGATAGTTTGCCGAGAATGATGGTTTCCAGCTGCATCTATGTCCCTACAAAGGGCACGAACTCATCCTTTTTTATGGCTGCATAGTATTCCATGGTGTATATGTGCCATATTTTCTTAATCCAGTCTGTCACTGATGGACATTTGGGTTGATTCCAACTCTTTGTTATTGTGAATAGTGACACAATAAACATACGTGTGCATGTGTCTTTATAGCAGCATGACTTATAATCCTTTGGGTATATCCCCAGTAATGGGATGGCTGGGTCAAATGTTATTTCTAGTTCTAGATCCTTGAGGAATCGCCACACTGTTTTCCACAATGGTTTAACTAGTTTACAGTCCCACCAACAGTGTAAAAGTGTTCCTATTTCTCCACATCCTCTCCAGCACCTGTTGTTTCCTGATTTTTTAATGATTGCCATTCTAACTGGTGTGAGATGACACACCAATTAGACAAACATAAACCCTGTTTAAGAGACAGGGTTTCAATATGTTGCCCAGGCTGGTCTCAAACTCATGAGCTCAAGGGATTTTCCTGCCTTGGCTTGCCAAATTGTTGAGATTACTGGCGTGAGCCACAGCACCTAGCTTTGGATTTAACTTTAGTTGATTTAAATTTAAATGTAAATCCCCATGCATGGCTAGTGATGGTATTAGTGCAAATCAAGAGCTCACTTGGGTCTCTGGCTTCCCCAGCCAGAGTGGTGTGGGGCAGGCTCCCCACAGGCTCACAGCGGCAGCTACATGGTGGGGGGTGGTGGCCAGACAAGTGCCCCTGGAGGAGCTGGACAGAGGCCAGCACCTGGGGTCTGGGGCACCTACAGTTGGCACACAGCCACCATGACCACCACAACCACTGCAGGCTTTGAAGGGCCGGAGAACTGGGACTGGGCCCTACCCTGGGGAGCCCCTGCCCTGGCCCTGCAGACACAGTGGCTGGAGCAGAAGGCAGCTCTGTCCACCTGTAGGCTAGACTTCTCCACAGGTAAAAGGTACCTGAGCAGGGCCAGGCTACACTGGATGACTGACACTCCATTTGACATGAATGACAAAATTCATGAGGCCATGCCGGGCCCCCCAAAGGCAAAAACCAAGTGGCATCCTTGAAATGGCCAGGGAAGCCAAGGAAGGCATCCAGATTGACATGGGAGCCGAGGAGAGGCTTCGGGGCAGAGGAAGAATAAGGCCAGGGCATGGGGCAGTGGTGTGGCCAGGGATGACAGTGACAGTGGCATGGTGGCCCCCGCCTGTGATGGGGGGTGAGAGTGGCATGGTGGCCTCTGGCCTGTCATCAAGGAAGGGTGTAGCAGTGGGTATGGTGCCCCCTGGCCTCTGCCAAGAGCCCTCCACCTTGAGGACAGGGCCTGGGCTCTTAAGCCCCTCCACAATCAGACCCCAGAGGATGGCCTGGGCCCCGACGCAGGTCCCCACTCCTGCACCCCTCACCTCACACTCGTAGAGCCCCAGGTCCTCCTTGCCAGCCGCCCGGATTACCAGCACTAGCAGGCCGCTGCGAGGCTCACTCAGTGTCTGGAACTTGCTGCCAGGGGTCAGCAGGGCCCCGTCCTTGTACCACCTGGAATCCACCCGGAGGGCACATGAGGCAGGCAGGACTCGGGCCATGCTCTACCCCACCGGCGACATCCTCCTATGTCCTGTCTCAGGGCAAACCCGGCTGTGCTACCTGTGCTCACGACCCAGCTGCCCTGCCTTCAGACCCCAGGGGTCCTCAGAGAGCCCACCCTTCCAGAAGCCAAGACACAGCCTGGCCATGTCCTCCCGGCTGAGGGGTGTCCCACATCCAGAATGAACCAGAGCCCCACAAAGCCCATTCTCAGCTGAAGGCCAATGGCCATGTCCAGCCCAGCCCTGACACGGGAACACATGGTCCGTGCCCCATGCTCCAGGTGGGAGCCGGCCCCCTCATGCCCCATCCCCAGGCAGGCCTGGGCCCCACCTGATCTGCGGGTATGGGGCGCCTTCGATGGTGCAGGTGAACTGGGCATCCTCTCCCTCCACAAAGGGCGAGGCCCGGACCTGGTTCATGAACCGTGGTGGGACTGTGGGGTTGTGGAGGGAAGAGACAGAGAGAGAGAGAGAGAGAGACAGATAGAAACATAGAGACAGAGAGACAGAGAGAGACATAGAGATAGAGACAGAGACAGAAAGACTTACAAAGAAAGAGACACAGGGACAGAAAGATAGAGATGGAGAAACAGAGAGAGATAAAGATACAGAGAAGGAGAGACAGAGAAAGAAATAGAGAGAGAAAAATAGAGAGACAAAGAGACAGAGATGGAAAAACAGAGAGAAAGAGACAGAGAAAGAGAAATTGAGACAGAAAGAGAGAGAGAGACATAGACATCGAGACCAGAGATAAAGAAACAGAGACAGAGAGACAGATGGAGAAACAGAGACAGAAAGATAGACAGAGAGACACATAGATAGAGATGGACAAACAGAGACAGAATGACAGAAACAGAAAAAAGACATACAGAGACAGGGTGACAGAGACAGAGATCAAAGGACAGAGATAGAGACATACAGACATGGGCAGATAAAGACAGAAACAGACACAGTGCATCAGACACAGAGACATACAGAGAGACATAGAGGTGCCATGACGGAGCTGAGGCTGATGCCAGGGAAGGGGCTGCAGGGTCCCCACCCCTCCCAGTGCCCTCTATGAGCCCCCAGTGATCCCCTAAGAACATGGTTGGATGTCCATCCCACTGTCCCACCACCCCGCCACAGCTGGGCCTGCCATGGTGGGAGGGTCAGGGTGGCTCCTCCCCCAGGAAGGCCTCCGGGCTAACCTTGCACCAGGATCTTGCCCAGGGTACTGCAGTTGCCAGCGGCACTGGCCGCAAAGCACATGTACTGGCCAGAGTCTACACCGGTCAGGCTGTCCAGGATGAGGGCACATGAGCCATCAGGGTCTTCAATGAGGATGTGGTGGGGGTCCACCTGCACTGGTTTCCCATCTGGAAAGGACAAGCGGGGGCCATCACTCAGGTGGGGACCCAGCGGCTTACTCCATTAGCGGGGAGAAGCTGGGCCTGGCCTAGGGGCTGCAGTCATGGTCGGGGAGGGGACGGAGGGGCCACACTTGCAGCACAAGGGCCAGGCACGGGCTCCCTGCTGGGTCCAGCTTCCAGGTTGACCTGCAACCCTGGAGGGAGAGGCTGACACGAGCTCCCATTCTCTCTGTGTCTCTGCTTCTCTGCCTCCAACTTTCTTCCTCTGTCTCGGACTCAGCTTCTTTCTTTGTCTCTCTGTGTCTGTTTCTATTTTCTGTCTCTGTCTCTCTTTCTGTCTCCTTGTTGTCTCTGCCTTTGTGTCTGTCTCTGACTCCACGTCTCTGTCTTTATCTGTCTGTTTTTCTGTCTGTGCCTTTTGTGCCTTTCTGTCTCTCTGTGTCTCTGTGTCTCTGTCTCTCACTCTGTCTGTCTCTCTCTGTCCACCTTGGACACTAGCTAGAGGCAGGGGGCAGGCCAAGGGACCTGAGCCCCACAGAGGACATCCTCTATGGGCAGCTGAGTCCTTGGTCACTTCAGTTCTCAGCAGTCCTGCAATGTTCCAAGGACCTCTAATGCACTGACTGCACCCCAGCTCACAGCACCTTGATCCCCTCTTCACCCCTGCCTGCCCAGCCTAGGGCCTGCAGCCCCTTCTCAAAATCACTGCCCACAGCCCTCCATGCCTTCTTTCCCTGCACCTGCTCCTGCGGAGAACACAGCAGCCCAAAGTCTCACCCCCAGCTCCACTCTCCTCTCCCAGGCCACATCCTCATGCCTCCAAATGCACAGCCTTCTAATACGAATATCTGAAGACTGAAGAATGTGAAGTAAATCACCTTGGTATGAACACACAACTGACTACACCTCTCTGGCCAAGGCATGCTTCCTTCCCAGGTGAGGGACCAGAAGGCACGGCCTCTCACTGTGGAGAACTCCTTCCCATATAACGTCTAAATATATAAAACAGGATCGATTCACATTCCAATAGTGTCGGGTGTAGCCCACAGATTGCTTAAATCACAAAGGTCACAACCAGCACTGACTTATGATTTGTATAGAACTATAAGAGATATATATTTTATATATATATACACACACACACATATATATACACATTATACACACACACACACGTACACACATACACATATATATTTGTAGAGATGGAGTCTTGCTCTGTTGCCCAGGCTGGAGTGCAGTGGGGCGATCACAGCTCACTGCAGCCTCGACCTTCTGGGCGCAAGTGATTCTCCCGCCTCAGGTGCGCCACCATGCCTGGCTAATTTTTTTTAACTTTTTGTAGCAACAGGGCCTCACTCTGTTGCCCACGCTGGTCTCAAACTTCTGGGCTCAAGCGATCCTCCCCCCTTGGCCTCCTGAGTAGCTGGTACTATAGGTGTGAGCGACCCCACCCAGCTCAGAAATAATCTTAAATAATATTTTTCAAAAACCTTCTAGTTACCACCTCAGATCTCTGCACCCCTTTATGGCAACTCCAGAAAGGAGCTGTGCTCACACCCTCCAGGGCATCTCTTCCCATCCCCACTAAGCCCATCCCCTGGGCTCCATTTCTCTCCCCCAAAGCTACCAGCAGTCAGGGCCGCCATGCTACCAGCAGCTCTGTCCTCATCTTGCTGTGAGAAAACAATTCTCCCTGGAATTCAGATTCCACATTTCAACCCTCTGAGCAAAGGCACTCACAGCCAGGTTTAGAATAGAAGAAGAAGAGAGTAGAGTAGAAAGTAAGGATAGTGAAGCAGAAGATGCCCGTCTGCCTGGCTGTGTTCCAGGGCAACAGAGACAAAACCTTTCCATTCCTTTCCTGGGAGACATTTCTGCATCCCAGGGTAGGAAGTCATCCACTATCTCTGGAGTGAAGCATGGGCAGATGTACCAGCAGCCCCATAAAAAGAGCTCCAAGTCTCCTAAAATTCAGGATTTCTCTCTCGTGGGGCAACCCCTGCATGCAACTAACACCTGGTTCCATCGCCTCCTCACAGAAACGGCTGGGGGCAATGATGAGAGACACTGAGGCACTGCTGGTAAAAAGTCTTTGTCTCTGACCCATGAGTCTTGTGTCTTTTGTCTACATCTGGCTAGCAGGCTGGCTTGCAAGATTGCAAGTGGGATAAAATTTTGGGCCCTTCACAGTTTTTGATTTACAATTTTGGAGACAGGGAAGTGACACTGTCAGAGGCATGGCCTTCTGGAAGGAAAAGAAGAAGTGGCCCTGTGGATCTCTTTCTCTACTTTGTTGCCCTGCTAAGGAGAGAAACTAGGCAGGTAGTTGCAGTCTGAGAACTGAGGAGTGGGTTCAAACACAGACACCTGGGCGGTGCCTTGGTTGGCGCTTTCTCCAGTCCCTGCCAGGGACTTTGCTAGTTCAGCCTCAGTTCAACCACTTCACAATAAATGCCAGAGCCAGTGCTGAATCTGAAGGAAGACTCCGACCCTGTTCAGACCACAGCCACGGACACTCATGCCTGAACTGAGTGCTCGGGTAGGGCCACCAGCAGCCACGATGGGCAAGGCAGGAGAGGGCTCAGCCCATCTAGCTCTGGCTGGTTCGGAGGGGAAAGGATGGGCACCAAGCCCGCACTCAGGAAGAATGGCCACAACTTGGGCGTCTTGTGGAGCAGCCTCCTGCATCCAGCATGCTGGCCTTCCATTCTTCTGGGGGTGACAGTAGGGGATCTATGTTTGCGGTAGAGACAGGGTCCTACCTCCATGGTTGGCTGAGCCACGGAGGTGTGTCTTGTTCTGTCATTGTCCTCTAACCCCTTCCATCCCCTCTATACCAGATCCTTTCCTGGCTCAAGCAACTTCCCCGAGATGACAGACTCCCCCAAGGGAAGGCAGAGGGGACACGGCAGGCAGTGCATGGACTCCTCCTGCCATGGCCTGCCAAGCAGCCAAGATCACAGGCATGTGACACCATGCCAGGCTCAGAGATAATTTTAAATAGGTTGGCAGGTTAAAGACACCTCTTCCTGGGGCAATGAACAATGAAGTGAATCAAGGCTGCTGATGGGGACACCCTGGCCAGACTGCCAAGGCTCCTGTGCAGAGCCCCCAGGACACCACATCACTAAGCCCCACCATAGGCAGGGTACAGACGCAGAATCTACATCACATGTCAGACTGAGGACATCCTGGAGAGACATTCTCAAGCCTACAGGAGAGGAGAACACATTGCATGTGGTGAACCCACTCTCCATCCTGGCAGACTGCTCCTATGAACCCAGTGTTGGGGTTCAGAAAACAAGACCCCAAAATAAGGGCCTCCCAAGCAGCCTCAGAAGCAAAATTATCTCTCTGACCTTCTCCTCCCCTCCTGTCTCTAGCCCCTCATTCTCCTCCCAGGCTGCCATAGAAACTAGAATCCCTCTTCCCCAAGGCGGGTCATAGAAACTAGAACACCTTTTTCTCTAAAGCCAGCCACAAAGCCTAAAAATAGGACTCCAATTTTCTCTCCATCTTTCTGTGTAAAACTTGGCCATGAAGAAATGATCGGACCTACTTTGTTTGGCTATAGATCCAAGACCCCCATTCCAGCAAGGGTCCTGCTTCTCACTCAGAAGGAAAGGACACTGCTCAGAAGGCCAAGAAGAATCCAGACACACAGGCATAGCAGGATGTCCCCACTCAGTCTGTTCTCACTAGATCCAACCTTATTTGCCCAATCCTATTTCAGCACAGTTGTCCATACTTTATGGAACCTAAGCATTAAAATAGACAGCTTCTTCTGGGTCTTTGGTCTTCATTCTGAAGGATCCAGTGTCTATACATTCAATAAATGTGTCTGCCTTTCCTCCTATCTGTTTGCCTTTTGCAAGCTGATTGTTCAGCGAACCTGCGGAGGGCCAAGGGGAATGTTCTCCATGGCCCCTAGGCCAGCTGCCCCTCTCCAGGCTCTCTGTGGAGGCCTACCTGCTATGAGGCTGCTTTGTGTCTCCAGCCACACCATGAAGGCGTGTGCCACGCACACCCCCTGCAGTTTGATGTCCTATGACATCTACCACAAGAGCCACTCAGCAAGGGGATGGCAGTCTGACTGTGCCCACCTCCTCTTGCCCTACAGACCTTTGGAAGGCAGTCCAGTCACCAAGGGCAGCTGTCCCCAGAGAGGAGCTCTCTCGTGCAAGCTGCCTACTGGTGGTTAGGAAGCAAGGGGAAGGGGAGGGCCTCCATCCATAGGGAAACCCAGGCTCTGCCGTGACCAACCCTCGGTGGCAGCCTGGTCCAAAGGGAGCAGGGCTCAGGGCATTCAACTGGCTTCTGGCAGGCTTTGATAAAAAAGATTTTGTTCCTCTTGAACCTAACCTCCCGGAGGAGAGGTCTCGACAGGTGGCAGGAGGGAAGCTCCTAAGACCCCAGGGAGCAGGCATTAATGACCCATCCGAGCCTTCCTCCAGAGGTATCCCAGGGCAGCCCTCCAAGCCATTGTGTTCATCAGCTCTCACCAGTGGACACCGGGATGGCCCCTCCCAACACACCCAGGCAAAACTCCCTAGAGTCCTTCCTCTCCAGCCCCGTCCTCAGTCATGGGCAGACCCGCGGGCCCAGTTGCTGTGGACAGGGAGAACAGGAAGGGCTGAGGGCCTGGATGGTGCCTGCAACACCAGGACAGCACTAGGTTATAAGGACTGAACTGGGGGCTTGGAGGCCGGTCAGCCAGCCCAGGTGACCCCCTGGGGGGTCATCTGGGAGGTACCATCAGTCAGTACTGATGTGTGCCTTCCTAGGAGTCCCCAAATTGTAAACAATAACTGTGTTCTCAAGACTTCCTGTGTGGGAGCCACACATGTGGCGGCTGGTGCCTTGGGATGGTCCAGGGCAGTCCCACAGGTTGGCATCTCCCCTGCTGAGAGGCTTGATTAAATGCAGCCTGAGTTAGACTGGAAGGACGGCATACCAGCCAGCGTCAGTCAGATTAGCCAGGATGGCTGAGGGCTGGGCACAAGTGTGGGAAAATCCCCGAGCGGCTGGAGCCTGTGGAAATAGGGTGGAGCTGGGTCTCTTGGGGCACAATGCCCCACAGTTGGCCAGCTCCTGCAGCCCAGATGCTCCAGACAGCAGTGCTCACAGAAGCAGACATTCCAGGACAGTGGAGCAGAGATGCCTCCCTCCCTGGAGACACCCAAGGTGATAAGATGCAGCCCCTGAAATCCATGGTGCAGCACATGCATGTGCAGGTTTCTCCTACACTACCCGAGAGCTGTGGCAAGAGCCTGTTCTGGCTGCTGCCTCACGTTGATGATGAATCATTTCTGTCTTGGACGTCTTGTGTCTTCTGTGTGTGTGCAAATAACTACACATGTATAATGTGTATATGTAGCATTTGTGCATGTTTACATGCAGATATGTGTGTAGTACGTATGCTTGTGTGTACCTATGTGTATGGTGGGTATATATGTGTACTATGTATGTACGCATGCAGATGAGTGTGTAGTATTTATGAATATAAATATATGGTGTCTATGTGTGTTGCATGCATGTGTGTTGCATGTATCTGTGCATTGTGTATGGTATGTGGCTGTGTACATATGTATATGTGTGCAGTATTATCTATGTGTGCACATATGTGTGGTCTCTAATATGTATATTTATATATGTGTACAGTGTGCATACATGTACGTGTAGCTGTGTATAAAGTGTGTGTGCATATGTAAAGTATGTACTTGTGTGTGTAATGTGCATGTATCTATGTGTATAGTGCATGTTTGCATGTATCTGTGTATATATCTATGTAGTTGTATAGGCACATGTAGTGTGCACTTGTGCATGATGCATGTGCATGTGGTGTGTGTGCATGTATGTGTACCTGTATAATGTGTATCTATGTACATATTCATGTGTATGGTATGTATTTGTGTATATGTATTGTATACTATGCATGTATGTGTAGTATCTGTATGTGTGGTGTACATCTATGTATATTACACATATAGTGTTAATGTATATGTGTGTGTAATGCATATATATGTGGTGTGTATGTACATATGCATGAGTGCGTAGCATGTATCTCTGTATGTGTCTCTATGTATGTGTGTGTACAAGTGTGTGTAATGTGTACGTGTGTAAACCGTGACAGGCTGACTTGCACATGTGTGAAGGGTAGAATGGGGACCCTGGCAGCCCTGGATGCCCCTGCCCACTCCCCGCTGGCCTCTCCCTGGCTGGCTTCCTGGGCCCCCACTTCCCTGGCCGTTCCTTCCCCTGGGTTCGCGTCCCCTCATTTCTGCAGACTCTGGAAGTGGGGGCTCTCAAGCCTGGGTGCTTGGCTTCACCCCCTCCACATGCACTCTGCGTCTACATCAACTGGCAGGTCAGATGCTCTGTGAGCTGACAACGTCCCATTCGTCGCCTCTGGCCACATCCCTCTTCTGAGCCTTACTTGTACTTCTCCGACCACCCCTCGGTCCCTCTGCCAGCATCACTGCAGGCACCTCGACTCTGCAGGGTCCTCCCAGGCCTGCTGCTTCTTCCTCCCACCCAGCCCTGTCTGCACACCACCGTGCCTCTCCCCAGCCTTCTACCTTTGCAAACGGAACCACCCTGGTGGATGTCCAGCCCCAACTGTGTGCACATCTGGATGCCAAGCTCTTTCCACATAGCCAGCCACGCTATCAGCAAATCGGGCCAGCTCAACCTTCAACACACCCCTGGAATCCACAGCCATCCCTGAGCCCGGGTCCCCAGCTCCAGCACAGTGACTCCCAGGTTGGTGTCTCATGTCCCCTCTTGGCCCTCCCCAGCAGGTTCCTGGCATTACAGCCAAGGTGACAGATGACAGAGCCAAACTGTGTCCCTCTGCTGCTCAAACCCGACATGCCTCCAGCACAGCTCCCCAGGGAGAGGTCCGCAGCTCCTGGGAGGTGATCTCAGGCCCTTGGGATATCCTGCCTGGTAAAAGCATCTGTTCTCCTTGGGAGCCCTGGGCCACATGGGATCACCTATGCTGACCGTGAGATTTCTGAGATTCCTGGGGGTCCCTGGGCCATACAGCATCAGCTTGGCTTCCAGAAGGGCTGGAGCCCAAGGCCCACCACAGAGCAGTGAGTCACGATTCCATGGCTGAGCCTGCAAAACCCTGGACACCATAGCCAGGGAAGCACCTGGTTGGCACCACCCTGTGCATGTCATCACATGCTGTCACTGGGAGAAATGATGCCCCCAGGAGGGGACAACTGGAAGTTCATGCCTAGTGCCACCTGGACCTTTCCCTAGGTGGCTCTCCCAGGAGCTACTTTAACCTGGGCCCTTTGGCTGCAATCTGCCCTGACTATGGGACTAGCAGCTTTGCAGAGCCGAGTCCCCTCACTGAACTCCCTCCTCTCCACGTCTCGGCATCTCCATGTCCCCAACCATGCTGCCTTTGATTTGGAAGGCAGGTGGCAAGTGAACATATGAGGCCTGTCCTTCATGCCCCAGACTCCCGGCCAAATCCCATACTGGGTCCCCAGGGTCCCCAGCCCTCACAGCCTGTTTCTCTCGGGAGGCTCTTTTCTGTTGCAGGGCCAGCATCTTGGACAGGAAGGCCACAGCCCCCGGCCCCGGGGTTTACCTTTGTACCAGCTGATGACAGGCTTGGGTGTGCCTGTCACGCGGCAGGCCAGCTTGACTGTCTCACCCAGCTCGGCTGTGCAGTCAGCCAGCTCCTCTTCAAAGTCTGGGGGCCCTGAGGACACACACGGCCCTGAGTACTCTGCGGGGGGACATTGGGCTGCGGCACCCCCAGGTGCACCTGGCAGGTCACCTGCCCTGCACCACCAGCCCCACATCTGATGGTGTGGCCACTATAGGGACTGTCCCTTGTCACCCCTCATCCAAGGTCCCCATCCAGAGTCAGGTGAGTGAGGCAGGCGTGTGTTAAACAGAGAGCAGTGGGGGCTCGGGGGAAGATTCTGTTCTAGTTGAGGAAGCAGACCCTGGGCTGCCAGACCCTTCACAGCCCCTGACATGATCTGGGTGGGTGCCTTGAGCTTGGGGCCCCCATGGTATCCCCGACCTTGGGTCAGGGCTAATCCAACACCCAGCCCAGGGGCTCCCCATGAGGCTGTAGCCATCACATGCCACAGGCTGGTTGAGCCGTCTGTCCTAGGAACGAGCCCACCCCTCACACCCACCCAGGTAGGGACCTGTGCGGCTGCAGGAACAGGCTTGGGTGCCCCATCCCGGCTCAGCCACCTGGGCCCCCGGGGAGGTGGACACTCACGCCACACAGGCAGGGCCAGACGCTGCTGGATGCCACAGATCTCCTTCACCCACGAGTTCTTGATAATGGCTGTCCGTGCCTGCAGCAGGTACTTGCGCACCGAGTCCTCCCGCTCCTGCCACACCTCAAAGGCACGGTCATCCCCCTCCACCTGGTCATTCAGGTCGATGCTGCTCAGCTGTGGGTAGGGGAGGGTGTCAGCACAGGAATGGGGACACGGGCTGAGCATCCTCAACAGATGTGGGACTCGATGAGGAAACATTCAGGCCACTCTGGACCAGCGGCTGCAGGCGTGGCCGCCGGCATCCACCCCGGAGCTGAGGGACAGGGAGCCCCGCCCAGCAGCCCGGAGCCCACAGACCTTCATCATGTTCCGGAACACGTAGCTGAAGGTATCGGTGCGGGAGTCTCGCCGGGGCTTGCAGATTACCAGGTGGTTGCGGAAGAGGAACACGTGACGGTTGTGGCCCTTCCAGGGCATTCGGGCCCCTGGCGCACCCTCCCACACGATGAAGTGGCCCTGGGGGAGGGTGTGGACTGCGGTCAGCCTGTGTTGGGCCAGACTGCTCAGAGGTGCAGACCCCACAGCCACCCAAGTACCCAGTGCCCTGCCCAACTCATGCACACACCCCCACCTCCTGGCAGCCCCAGATGCAAGCCCCCAACACCCCAATATCCACCCACCTCACACGCATCTCCCAGCCCCGGCCCCTGCCCCTCCCCAACCTGGCGGATGGGCTCGCCCAGGGCCTCCAGGGTGCCCGGGTACTTCTCCATGAGGGACACGTGCAGCTTGTTCTCGGCGCGCTGCGGCAGGGCAGACACCACGGCATAGGCCTGCTCCAGCAGCACACAGTTCTGTCTGTTCCGCGCCTTGTTGCGGATCAGCTCCTGGGGCCGGGGCGAAGGTCAGGGTTCAGACTGCTCCACAGGCTGGACCCCAAAAGACCCAGCCTGGGCAGAGGAGGTGGGGCAGGGGAGGTGGTGCCCACCTTCAGCAAGCCCTGGTATCGCTGCACCCGCTCCACCGGCTGCTCCAGGTAGTGCTGCAGAGGTGGCGGCGGGGGCTGAGAGGGGTCCCCTGCTGACAGGGCCTCCTCTGCATATTTCTGTGGGAACCAGGAGGGTGGATTTTAGGGCAGGAATGCAAGGCCCCCTGATGGCTGTGTCCCTGAGAGCTGGAGGGTGGGTCCCCAGGGTGCACACACAACTTGCACCCCAGGTGACAGCTGTCATCACCTACTGACAGGTGACAAGCACAGGACTTGGGCTACTGAAGTGGCCTGCCCAGGAGCACAGGGCTGCAGAAGCAGCTCCACCCGCATTTCTGAACTGAGGCCCAAGGGGGCCGCAGGGAGGCTGTGGGCAGTGGCAAGGTCGGGGATGAACGCAGGTTCTGATGTGGGCAGGCCAGGATGAACCCTGGAGGATGCCTGGGCTCAGTGAGCCTTCAGAGGGAGCCAAGGGCAGGCACTGAGGTTCAGGAGTCCATGAGCTCAGGCATGGGCACCTTGTAGAACTCCTGGATGGCCGTGCTGACGACCACCGACTCAGCCTGCACGCGCCCCACCAGGAACTCCAGGTACTGCTCAAAGGCTGCCTGGTTCTTGATGAAGCACATGGCCACGTCGTCATCTGTGTCGCATTGCTGCAGCTCCTGCAGGAAGCTGCCGTGAAGGGGGATGGCATCAGGACTCAGCCTGAGCCCCATAGCCTGGCCCTGAGCCCTCACCTCTGGGAGGAAGCTGGCCCTGCACAAGGGCTGGGGCCTGTGGCTTCTGGGGTTTGTGAGAGAATGCATGCAGACATGTGTGGGCATGCAAAGAAGTGCTTGTGTGCCGTGTTTGAAAGCTCACATGAATATTATATGTGTACATGTATGTGGGCATGCACATTTGTGGAGGCATGTAAATGTGTATGAGTACATGTGGCTGCATACACAGGCAGGTGGTGGGGGAAGGAGATGCTGTGTTATATGCATGTGTGCATGTACTCAAGTGTTCGGATGAAAGGATGTGCATGTACATGCTGGGTGTGCACATATGTGCAGAAGTGCATATGCATAGGTGTGCAAAAATAGTGTGGAGACATGTACATATGTGTGTCCATGTGTATAACATGTATACATGTACACGGGCATATATGTGTACGCACGTCTATAGGTATGCACTGTGGGCACACAGGTGATGTACACATGTATATGGGTGTATGTGTGTACTGTGTGCATGTGTGTGCATTTACAGATGTGCACATGTGCCATGCACATGGGTATATGCTGTTAAAGGCTGCACCTGTACACATGTATGTGTTCATGTGTGCACACGTGTGAGGGTGTGCATGCACGTGGGCCTGCGCACATGCCAGTTAGCTGTTGGTGCACCGCAGGCCTTCCCATGAGTAAGCCAGGTACACATGTCTGGGTTTCTGAGGGGAGGTGCGCTGAGGGATAAATCAAGTCAGCACAGGTTCTCTCCCTCCTTGGCTCCAACCCACCTGCACGAGGCCTGGCCCTACAGTGCATCTATGCATGGACGTGTGTGTGTGTGTGTGTGTGTGTGTGGCCCCACCCACACACCTGCTGTGAAAGAGGCCGATGTCCCGCACATTGCGGAAGATGACTGCCTTCTGGCTGGCCACAGCTGCGGGCACGTGGGGGCAGCGCTCCAGGTGCTGCAGGTGGTGGCTCTGCAGGAACTGCAGCTCCTCCACGAAGGCCTGCTCAGAACTCAGCAGCTCCTGGATCACAGAGCTGGGCAGGAGGGGGCCGCCATAAGGGACCACGGAGCTCCTGCTTCCCGTGCAGGGACTGTGGGCCACGAGGCTCCCGCTCCCTCAGCTGCTAAATGGGAGCGCCTCCTGCTGCGCAGCCTGATGCCTGCTCACAGGAAGTGGGAGAGCAGGTGGAGAGAGGCTCCCTCTCGGACAAGGCTGGTCCCAACACCAGGAAGCCACCCAGATGGGTCCTGCCAGTACAAGGCTGGGAGGGCAGCTGCGGGAACCCAGGCAGCTCTGGGCCTGCTCTGCTGTCCTTGGCCCCTACCTGTCCCTGATAGGCTCACACAGGAGCACTGTTTCAAAGGCCCCTGCAGAGGAATCAGCATGGCCATGACCCCAAGACCTCCAGGGTTAGGGCCTGGACCCAGAGCCAGGGCAAGCAGCCAGCTTCTTTGGAAGACTGTCCAGTCAGTGGGATGCCAGTGCCACCACCTCCAGCCCAGCAGGCACTCACCTCAGCCTTGACTTGTATTCATCTTCAGACACAGCCTCCCCGGGGAACTCAGGGGCCTCAACAGCCCCCCACTCAGGTGACAGCTGGTGAGGGACAGGAGTATTCCGGTCGGGGTGCTGAACTCTGGCCCTGCCCTGTGGGGATTGGGCTCTCGCCCCTCAAATTGGGACGCCCCTCCTAGGGGTCTCCAGGACCCCTGAGGACCCCTCCTGCTTGGCCATTCAGGTACCTTGAGCCTCCTGTCCAGGTAGGCTGGTGACACCCAGCCCTGCCGTGAGGGGCTGGACTTGGTGGGCTTGGTGCGGACGAGCCAGCGCAGAGGGTGGGCTGCATCCAGGACCTCCACGTACTGGCCTTCCCGCAGTGCAATGGCATCCTGCTCAGCCCCCAGGGGCAGGTAATCGGCGGTGACCACGTAGATGTCAAAGATCTGAGAGGGGGGTGGGGGTGCTAAAGTGTTGAGACCCGGGAGGTGCCAGCTGGGCCTGCCGAGATCCCAAGCCACAGGGCAGGGATCCCCAGTCAGCACGCACACGCCTGGTTCCTGTCCCACACAGAACAGCAGGAATGTGAGAGACCTCCCCTGCCCCACCCCCAACCCTAGAGGTCACCACAGCCCTGGGGTCTCCAGGCCTGGACTGCCTACACTCAAGTTACTTGTTTACCTTCTCCCCGTCTCCACACCCACTCCAAGCCCTAACAGGGTGCCTGGTACACTGGAGGCCTGAGACACATTCTCCTTTGAAGGAATGAAGGAGTGAATGAATGAACCAAACAAATGGCTCTCCAGGAAGGCAAATCTCCATAGGACGCTGTGTGGAGAAGACCCTGTTCTCACCAGTTCCTGCAACTTGCTGGGGTCCCACCTCCCTAAAGTCCCATGGGAGTCCTGCCTCCTGAGCCCCTCCCCACCCTTCACCTTCTCTTCAGGAAGGTCAGGGCCTCTCCCTGCCCTGCTCCCAGAGGATTCCAGCTGCCCACCTCGCCTCGGGCGTCACCATCCTCTGACTCTGAGGAAGACTCCTGGATGCTGGAGGATGGCCGTGATCGGCCGTGGCGGGGGGATGCAGATGGTGTCTTGGAGTCATCATCGCTGTCACCTCCAGGCACCTGCAGCTTGGCTGGGGGTGCAAGGATCATGACACCCTGGCCTGCCTCTGGCTTTCCAGGGCTCAGGGGAAGGGCAAACACCCCGGACACATCCCAGTGACCCTGGCACATGGGCCGCTGCCCCTCACCCTGCGTGATCTTGGCCGATACCATCTCGGTGATCTGGGAGGTCAGTTTCTGCAGGAACTCCTCTGTGCCCACCTCAGCAAGGGACAGGTGTCTGAGGGCCTCCTTGGCAGCCAGAGGCTCTCCTGGGGATACAAACACTCTTCTCAGGTTGTTGCGTGCCCCTCAGATGTGTACCAAGCACCCCATGCTGTAGGCCCATCTTGGGCCCTGGGAGCCAATGGCGAATAAACAGCCAAGCCTCCCCCGCATGGTGCTGATGTCTAGCAGGGAGATGATGAGACTAAGTGGCTGGCAAGGCGGGTGGCCGGTGGCAACTGGCCAGGATGAGGAGTCACTCTGGCTCATGAGTGTCAAGCCGAGGCATGACCAGGGGGCTGAGAATGTCCAGAGACAGAGGGCACGGTGGGGACTGCCAGTGGACAGTGGATGAGGGGCACTGGGGACAGAGTCAGCAGAGACCAGACCTGGGCATCAGGCTGCAGAAGGGGCCATGGGTCCAAAGCAGGGCTGTGTTGCCTCTGTTCTCAGTGCCCAGCACCTAGGAGTTCTACCCAGACCCTGGTATCTACACAGCCCGCTGGATGTGAGCTCTGTGTCCAGGGCTGGCCCAGGGACCCCGCAGGCTCCCAGATCCATGGGGATCAGACATGGTTCCGACACTAATCAAGCCTGAAGTCCAGGCATGGGTTGGTCCTGGCTGTGTGAGCAGGTGTCTCAGTGCTGTGCTGCTCAGGAGAGGCCTCTGAGGCCTGGAGCCACCCCCGGGCAGCCTCCTCCCTGATCTCAGCATCAGGGGATCACCCTGGCCCCTCACAGGCATGCACCCACCCTGACTGTACCTTTCCTCTGCCCACCAAGGTCAGCAAAACTCGCAGTTTCCAACCCCTGTGCTGAGACGGCTTGTGTGGTCCTAAACGGGCAAAGGGGGTGTCCTGAGAGGCCTGGGCCGGACCCCACCACCCTCTGTCCTTATGCAGAAGCTCCTGAATAAAAGAGGGTCTGGGGACAACAGACCAAGATACTAGAGAAAGGGGCTCCATACCAGAGAGGCCCAACAGAAGCCTTCGCTTTACAATGGGGAAACTGAGGTGCAGAGAAGGAAGAGAGCTGGCCCAAACCACACGGCCTGCATGGGGCAAAGCCAGGACACGCTCTGGGACAGGTATTCTCCCCAGGGGCAGCGCTGTCCCGTCCCCCACTCCTAGAGCATCCTCCTTGGCCCTGACCGGAACAGCCTCCCGGGGCAACCCTCACTTACCCCTGCAGGAAAGTGGAAATCAGTGCTTCCTTCACTTTCTCCTGCTCCTCCACCTTAGACACTGTCAGGGAGGACCGGGAAAATCATCAGGACGGTGCTCCCAACCCCGGCACGTCTGATTCCAGATCTGGACTGGGTCCCTCCGAAGCCCTGAGCAGGGGCTGTGCCCAAGCTCACCTCCCTATTCCACTCTTGGCCTGTGGTCACCCCAACAGTGATGGGAGGAGAACAGGGGTTCTGTCCTCAGAGGGGCTGAGCAAGGCCCAGGATGCAGGGGGCTTCAGGAAAAGTCCCTGGAGCCGGCGGTGCAGAACCCACGGGGCCTGGGCCCAGAGGGGACTCTGAGGCTCAAAACCACCAGCACCACCAGGGCCTGACCCGTCTTGGGGTCTCCCTGGTGCTGTCAGAGAATGAGAAGAGGAAGGAGGGGGTCCCACAGGGTCCTAGCCCAGATGGTGGTAATGGGCAGTGTGCCCCAAGGAGACTCCAAAGCTACCCAGTGCCCACCTCCCATGCCCCAGCCCTCCACCCCCCCGCCCCCTACTCACGGCCCAAGACGCGCAGGCTGGCGGAGCAGAGGGCCTGGCCGGCAGCGTTGCTGGCGATGCACGTGTAGATGCCCTGGTGCTGCCGGCCCACGTCCAGCAGGACCAGGCTGTGCTGCTGTGCAGAGCTGGCCATGGTGTAGCCTGGCGTGTCAGGGCCAATCCACAGCACACCCCTCTCAGCCTCCTCCCTGAGCCAGTGCACGGTGGGCGCCGGGCGTCCTAGGGGCGGGCAGAAGGTGGTAAGCGCACCCCGCCAGGAGCGGGGCCTCTGGAGGTGGAGCCCTGTCTGTGACCCTCCCTCAGGATGATGTGAGTGGGGAGGGGGCACCTCTGTCCCATCCCCCAGCGGTGATCTTTCCACAGCAGGGGACAGGAAATGCCTTACCTTCTACCTTCACGGAGAAGGTAATGCTGGAGCCTTTCTTCACTTTCTTGGGGGTGAACCTCTCCAGCATTCGGGGTGGCACCAGCTGCTCATGCACATCTAGGGGGCACAGGGTGGCTGGCAGAGACCTTGGCACAGCCCCTACCGCCTGCCTCCTGGCCCCCGACGATGTCTGCTGGCCCCCAGGTGGCTCTCCACAGCCAGCACCTGGACAGCACCACGCTGTTCCCTCGGCCGGGCTGTCTCCTAAGTGCGCCCTCCCTGAGCCAGCCCATGGCCACCCACACCTCCACTTCGACCAGCCCTAGGGTCAGGCCCTCAGCACCCATGGCCACCTGGCCTCTCCCTGCCCGTCTGGGGCTGCCTCACCTGATGCAGGCTTCTCTTCTGGCTCATCGGGGCCTGAAAGAGGCACTAGAGTCAGACACCTAGCACAAACAGGACCCCGCCATGGCTCCTACTCAGCGCTGTGCGGGAGCCCAGCAGTTCTACCCCCTGCAGTGAGGGAACTCAAGGGCAGCGCTGCTCCCCAAGCAAACGTCCTAACCCCTGCCTGAAACCTGGGCCATGAAGCCCTGCAACTTACACACTCTGGTGACAGAGGCAACAGGCTGCATGGACCAGACCCAATGCCCCACCACCCACCCTCACCCTGCCACGGACTCTGTGGCCCCACACTGGAACCAGCACACAACCAAATAATGCTGCCTAGAGCAGCAGAGGACTCACACCTGGGGACGCTGGGGAAAGCTGCAGCAGTGGCAGGACAGGTTTAGGTGAAACTTGGAATGAACTCTCAGTGCTCAGAACTTTTTGAACAATAAGGAAGTAGGGTCCTCTAGTCCCAAGCTACACCGGCTCTGGCTGTGCGTGGATTTACCTAGAGCCTCAGTGTTTACCCACTTTCCTGGGTCAACTTCAACCTCCAGCCTGCCCATTAGTCAGGACAGAGGGCTGCACACCCGCTCCCTGAAGGGCCAACTTCTGGCCACCTGTGCCACTTTGTACCAGTGACCCCCGCTGAGGGCCTGATATGGCAAGGTGTGCAGGGGATGTCAGCCCTGGCCAGGATGCTGCCCAGGGCCCAAGTCTCTGCCCGGCCCCTCAGAGCACCCACCTCGGACCAGCAGCTGGGCAGATGAGTAGGCGGCACCCATGGCATTGCTGATGTAGGCCGCATACTGGCCAGAGTCCTCCCGAGTGACTGAGATGATCTCCAGGGTGTGCAGGGTCTTTTTGTCAGTCATGCGGATGTGGGCAGATGCGGTCAGGGGCTGGCCATCTTTGAACCAGTATAATCTGGGAGCAGGGTAGCCTGGGCCACGGGAGGGGGAGTGGTCAGCCTGGGCTACCACCCACGGGCACTGTGTCCTCCAGATGGGAGGCAGATGAAGGCCTGGAGAGAGGGTCCCTCAAACACCCCCACACCACCAGTGATGGAGTATCGGCCTCCAGCATCCAGGCAGCAGGGAGAGTGACTGCCTGACCCTGTTGCTGGGGTCTCCTTTCAATTGTAGCTGACGGGGCACGGCTCCTTGGCCTCCATCCTGCCATGGCCATGTCCCCACTCCCTCTCCCTCTCACCTTTCACCTTGAGCTGGAACTTGGCCAGGTGTGTGCCAGGGGCCACCTGGAGGTCTCTCAGTTCCTCCACCACCTGGGGCAGCTGGCCCTCATCAGTGGTGGACTCTGTTCCCTCCTGTTCCCGGCTGGCAGGAGAACAGAAAAGGGGTCAGCCATAAAGTAGGGCAGTGAGGGGAGCAGGGCGGGAGGGGTGCTGAGGGGCTTGGGCATGGATGATGTTGGAAGCCCCTGTTTGCTGACAGAGACCGCCAGGGCTTGGAGGAAGGCTCCAGGATTGGATGCTGTCAGACCAAGCCCTGCCCTCACCCAGCAGCATCACTCCCCAAGAGGCCCTGCAATGTCAGTCCGTGGGGCACAGCCCACCTCTGGCAGCTCCTACCTGGACAAGTAGCCTTGGGCACTGAAGTAGGATGAGGTCTCCGTGGCATCTGCTGCAGTGTCATAGTCTGTGCTTGTCACTGGGGAAGGAAGAGGGGAACTGGAGCAAGGCCTGCCATCCCGTCTGCCCCAGCACGAGCTCCTGCACCAGGATGGCCTCGGCCCTCAGAGGTCCTGATCACAGAGCCTTGCCTGGAAGCCACTTAGACTTGGGAGCTAGGAAGTCATAGGGGGAATAGTGATATTGTAGCCTCTCCACCCCCAGCTATTACCAGCCCCATACTTCAAGGCCTATAACTAACTACAAGCCTCTTTGACATGACAAACTAATAACGAATGATCCAGAGGCCTCAGAAGAAACAGTGATAGTGGTAGAACCTTCCAGTTCCATCCTACTAGGGAATAATGGGATGAAAAGATACAGGCCTCAAACAGCTAGGACTTGTGTTTCTAGTCAAGATGGAGTGACTGAGGTTGGACTTACCCTCTTTTATGGACTAAATGTTGAGATGCCCCCCAAAGACCATATGCTGAAATATTAACCCCCTATAGATAAAGAGATGGGCCTTTGGGAGGTGATTAGGTGATGAGGGTGGAACTTCCATGAATGGGATTACTGCCCTTATAGAAGGGACCCCAGAGACCTCCCTCATCCTCTTTCTATCATGTCCTTTATTTTTTTCTTCTGTTATATATATATATATATATATATATTTTTTTTTTGGAGATGGAGTCTTGCTCTGTCGCCCAGGCTGGAATGCAGTGGCACGATCTCGGCTCACTGCAAGCTCCGCCTCCCGGGTTCACGCCATTGTCTCAGCCTCCCGAGTAGCTGGGACTACAGGCGCCCGCCACCACGCCGGCTAATTTTTTGTATATTTAGTAGAGACGGGGTTTCACCGTGTTAGTCAGGATGGTCTCGATCTCCTGACCTCATGATCCGCCCGCCTTGGTCCCCCAAAGTGCTGGGATTACAGGCGTGAGCCACTGTGCCCGCCTTCTTCTGTAATAAATTTATAATCTTCTTCTCTACTTGCTATTAATCCTATCCATTGGATTTTTTATCTCTGGAAGTTCTACTTGGGTTTTTAAAATATGTTCTGTCTCAACATCACTAATCATCAGGGAAATGCAAATCAAAACCACAATGTGATACCACCTAACTTCTGCAAGGATGGTCATAATTTAAAAATTAAAAAACAGTAGATGTTGGTGTGGATGCAGTGGTCAGGAAACACTTCTACACTACTGGTGGGAATGTAAACTAGTACAGCCACTATGGAACAGTGTGGAGATTCCCTAAAGGACTAAAGGTAGAACTACTATTTGTTCCAGCAATCCCACTACTGGGTATCTACCCAGAGGAAAATAAGTCATTATTTCAAAAAGACACTTGCATACGCATGTTTATAGCAGCACAATTCACAACTGCAAAATCATGGAACCAACCTCAAATGCCCGTCAATCAACAAGTGGATAAAGTAACTGTGATATATACATAGGATGGAATACTACACAACCATAAAAAGGAATGGATTAACAGCATTTGCACTGACCTGGATGAGATTGGAGACTATCATTCTAAGTGAGGTAACTCAGCAATGGAAAACCAAACATCATATGTTCTCACTGATACGTGGGAGCCAAGCTATGAGGATGCAAAGGCATAAGAATGATACAATGGACTTTGGGGACTTGGGGGAAAGCATGGGAGTGGGGGCGTGGGATGAAAGACTACAAATAAGGTGCAGTGTATACTGCTCAGGTGATGGGTGCCTCAAAATCTCGCCAATCACCACTAAAGAACTTACTCATGTAACCAAATACCACCTGTACCCCAATAACTTAACGGAAAAAGTAAAGAACTGAAAAATAAATCTTGAGAGATAAAAAAAATTAAATAAAATATATTCTATGTCTCTACTTTTCTTTTCTTTCTTTTTTTTTTTTTTTTTTTTTTGAGACAGAGCCTCACTCTGTCACCCAGGCTGGAGTGCAGTGGTGCAATCATAGCTCACTGCAGCCTCAACCTCCCAGCTCAAGCGATCCTCTTGCCTTAGCTTCCCAAGCAGCTGGGACTACAGATGTACAGCACCATGCCTGGCTAATTTTTTTGTATTTTTTTTGTAGAGACAGGGTCTCACTGTGTTGCCCAGGCTAGTCGTGAACTTCTAGGCTCAAGTGATCCTCCTGCCTAAGCCTCCCAAAATGCTGGGATTACAGTCATGAGCCAAAGTGCACCAGGCCAGGACAGCAATTTCCTAAACATGGGAAACAAAGATGAGCCCTGTGATTGCGCCAGTTTCCTGCCTTGAATTTGTAGACTCAGGGAAGGGATACTGAGGTAGGTCCCAGCAGACTCCTTGAGATGAGAAGATGGAGCCCAGAGTCCTGGGAGACTAAGGCAGCTAGAGTTCACAGACAAAGTGCTGGAGAAAAGAAAGCAGTACAGAGAAAGGACCTGCCTCAAGGACTCAGCAGAATACTGACTAGCATTTGCATGTGAGGAAAGACCCACCTGAAAGGATTAGAGGAAACAGTACCAGGAATAGCTCCTGGTTCTACCAGTCAGACTAGAAAAATTCCTAACTCAAAGAGCATTGAGTAGAGTACTCAGGAAAGTTCTTGCCTCAGCAGTGGGAAATAATTAGCCCTAGACTGAGCACTGCTCTGGAGCCACCAAAGAAATCATAAAAGCTAGGCCCCAAAGAATAAAATTGCATCCAAGTATCTTCACTGTATCCCAGAACAAAGCTCAAGAAGATCGGCAGAAACACAAAATATCCTAACAGGGTAAAGTTTACAATGTCAGGCACTCAATCAAAGATCACCAGACATACCAAGAGACAGGAAAAGATGACCCATAAAGTAGAAAATAATCAACTGAAACCAACCCAGAATTGATGCAGATGTTAGAACTGGTAGAGGAGACATGAAAACAGGTATTAGAATTGTATTCTCTGCATTCAAAAGGTTAAGTAGAGATGTAGAATATATTTTAAAAAACTCAAGTAGAACTTATAGAGACAAATAATAAAATGAATGAGATTAATAGGATGGATATTACAGAAGAAAAGACAGTGGACATAAAGGCATGAATAAAAACTATGCAAAATACAGGAATTTTTTAAAGCGAAAAGAGCATTAGTGAACTGTACACACTCCATGTGACTTAATATACAGGTAAATGAAGAAAAGAATATTTGAAGCAATAATAATAATACGTCTTAATATACATGTAATTGGAGAAAAGAATATTTGAAGCAATAATGGTCACAGAAATTCCAAACTTAATGAAAACTCTAAACCCACAGTTCTAAGAGGGTCAACAAAGTCCAACCTCAACAAACATGAAGAAAAGTACACCAAAGAACATCATAATCAAATTACTCATAACCAGTTATTTTTTTAAAAATCTTTAAAAATACCTAGAGAATTTTTGTGAAGAAAGAGATAAGCTGATCCTAAAATTCATATGAAAATGCAAGGCACCCAGAATAGGCAAAAAAATCTTGAAAAAGAAGGAAGTTGGAGGACTTACCCTCCCAATTTCAAAACCCACTACAGAGCTACTGTAATCAGGACAGTGTAGTGCTGGCATAATGAAAGACATTTAGATGAATGAAACAGAATTTAGAGTCCATAAATAAACTCATACATTTAGAGAAAATCAAATTTTGACAATAATTCCAAGACAATTCAATGGTGAAATAGTCTTTTCAACAAATGGTGCTGAGACAACTGGGTATCCACATTAAAAGAACAAACTTGGGCCCTTACTTCGTATCATATACAAAAAAAAAAAAAAAAAAAAAAAAAAAAAAAAAAAAAAACCTCAAAATGGACCAAAGACCTAAATATATGAGTTACTATAGGCATAGGTGTTTAACTCTTTATAACCTTGGATTAGGCAATAATTTCCTAGAAATGACAACTAAAGCACAAGCAACCAAAGAACAAGTAGGTAAATTGTACTTTATTAAAATTTAAAACCTTTGTTGAGGCAGGAGGATCACTTGAGGCCAGGAGTTTGAGGTTACAGTGAGCTATGATTATACCACTGCCCTCCAGTCACAGTGCCATGAACCATTCACCATGCTCTTGAGCTTCTCCTGAGAGGCTTCCTGATCAAGCCATCTGACAGCCTTCAAAAGGGACCTCAAGGGAGTGGTTGGGGTAGGCTGGACTCACCCTTCTTGACCCCCTCACCTTACTCTATGAGGTCCACTTCCAAACCTTCCTGGGCCTCTGTTCCAGCCAGGATGCCTCTCACAGAGATGAGATCCCTCAACCCCTTACCCCAAGGGGCTCCAGACTGGGGGCCTGTCTTGGCCCTAGCTCCCAGAGAGCTTTCCATCAGCCACAAGACTCTGAGGCCCCAAATCCTGCCTGGCCTGAGACGAATGCTCTCTGAATCATCCTCAAGACCAACTCAGGAGCCCCTACACCACCCACCCTGGAGACACCAAACCAGGAGCAGTACTCACAGTCCACACGGAGCTCAGCCTTGGTGGAGGAGACACCCATGCTGTTCTCAGCCAGGCAGCGGTAGACACCCATGTCTGCTGGCACCACGGCTGTAATGATGAGCTGATGGCCACCCTGTTGGTCTTCATTAATCATGTAGTGGTCATCCTCCTCCAACAACTTCCCATCCTTGAACCAACGCACACTAGGCATGGGCTGACCTCTCACCACACAGTCAAAGCTCACAGGATACCCATCCTGCACTTCTTGGTTCTGCAACTCGGTCAGGAACACCGGGGCTGGGATAGATGGGTGATTTAGCCCCAGGGAACAATGATCATGTCCAGCTGCCACATACATGCAAGTTGCCACCAGATGAATGGTTTGACACATATGATGTACAGAGCAATCATTCATATGGGAGTGTTCATAGACCCTGACAGCTAAACAGAATGGTATCTTTGCCTGCTAAACTTCTCTCTCTTCCTTGTTCTCTAAGAATTCTGTTTGCCAGCTTGGTTCCCAAGCTGCTCTGAGGCAAAAGCGATAAAGGGCTGGAAACAGGGAGGAAAAGGGAGGTAAAGCAAAGATAAAGACTGTTTGGCCTGTAAGTCCAGGAGGAGCAGGTGAGGGATTTGAAGCAAGGCAGAGGCTCAAAATTGGAGAGAAGTTTCAAGAAATAACACTGTGGGTCATTCATCATACCCTCTTTAACATTCCTAGAGAGATACAAGTAAATAAGGAAATGGCTTTTTTATTACTCCTAGATGCTGGAATGGGAAACGGTAGCAGACTGGACCATGAGGAGTGCAGCATTTTATACAGGCTTCAGAGTCTCATTTTTAAAAAATTCTAGAGAGTGAACACAAATGACCCTTGAACAACATGCATTTGAACTGCATGGGTTCACTTATGTGTGGATATTTTTCAACCAAACTGGATAAAAAAAAATACAGCATCTGTGGGATGCAAAACCCTGTATAGCGCTGACTTTTCATATATATAGGTTCTGCAGGGCTGATTTGGGGACTTGAGTATGTGTGGATTTGGGTACACATAAGGGTTCTAAAATCCATCCTCTGTGTATACCAAGGTAGAACTGCATTCCCATTGTCATTTCACAGATGTGAAAGCTGAGGCACAGAGATGCTAAGCAGCTTCCCCCAAAGCACATAGTTAGTAAGAGACAGGGTTGGAGTTCAAATTCAGCTCTATTTAACTTCAAAGTCAGGGCTTTTCACACCTCAGTGGGCTGCACCTGCAAATAACCCAATGGTGGGCATGGGTAACCCCTTAAGCTTGCAGCAGACTCTGGATCCTTCTCCCCTGCCTCTCCCTGCCTCTGCACCCTGGTTCGTGACCCCAGACCGAGGCTGTGTGCAGACTCACCAGCATCAGAAGTCAGTAGGCTGGGCAATGGCTCTGGAGGCACCACAGGGGCAGGGGCCTCTTTGCTGATGCGCATCTCTACCCTCCGAGGCCCCTCCTCCACCAGGTTGATCTCCACCCCGATGCCCAGTGTGGCAAACATCTCCTGGAAGCGAGTTACCGCCTGGCGGGCCTCGGTGAGTGCCTCAAAACGGATGCAAATGAAATGCTCATCTTCGCGGTATGTCTGCCAGTCCGCAGGCTCCTCTGGCTCTGCAGGGCCCTCATCTGCACTCAGGAAGAGCTCCTCGTCTGAAACCTCAGCCGGGCTTTTGGTGCGGAAGAGCCGGTGCAGCCGCCGGGCAGCCCGGCGGAAGGCATCGTCCAGCTCACCCCCAGAGGAGCTCTCGGCCTCACTCTCTGTCCCACTGATCACCACGCAGGCACTGTGGGCCACCTGGCCAAACTTGTTGCTCACCTGACAGGTGTAGTGGCCAGCATCAGCATGGCCCAGGCCAGTGATCAGCAGAGAACAGGTGCCATCCCTAAGCTGGTCGATGTGATGGTGCCGCCCGTCGGTCAGCTCCACACCATCCTTCAGCCAGCAGGCTCGCACATCTGCCTTGCTGGCCACGACACACTCCAGCCGCAGGGCATCCCCTACCTGTGCCTCGGTGTCCCCAAATGCGTGGGAGAACATAGGCCCTTCCTGCTGCTTCATCTCCTTCCGGACCTTGTAGCCCTTAAAGGCGGCCTGGATCTTCACAGCTGCCTTGTCCATTGAGGGATCACCCAGGTCTTTGGTGCTCAGGTCTCCCAGAGGTGGGCGCACAGCAGCCAGCGGCTCCTGCTGCTGCTGTGGCTTCACAGAGGGGGCTGCTGGGGCCCCAACCTGTGGGCACAGAGCCTGATGTCATGGTGAGATAGGGAATCTGAGGCCAGGAACAGGGCACGACTGGTGTGGAACGCATGGCAGGGGCAGCTCCAGGTCTTGCTCCAGTATGCCCTTTTTCCTCCTACCAATTGGACCAACACTAGCTTCAATTTGACCTAGATGTCTGACAGCACCTTCCAAAAAGCAAGCCCACTTCCTGGAAATCACTTTACACAATCACTCAGACCACGATGAACAGGGTTGTGAAGAACACCATGAAGAGACCAGTTCCAACTCTTCAGGCAAAAGTTTTAATGGTCAGATGTGTATATGAATGGATGGATGCAGGGTGGATGGAGAGATACATCAATTAATGGATGGTTGAATGGGAGAACAGGTGTATGGATGGATGGATAGATGGATGGGTAGGTGGGTAGCTGGTGGATGAGTGAATGGTTATACAGATGGTGGTATGGGTAGATGAGTGGGTAAACAGGCTGACAGACAAACAGACAAACAGGTGAACGAGTACAGGAATAGATTATGGACAAATGGTGGATGGATGGGTGAAAGAGTAGGTGGATAGATGATAAACAGCAGATGGATGGAGTTGTATGGTTGCATAGGTGGGTAAACAGGCTGACAGACAAATGAATGAACAGGTGAACAAGTGCAGGAGTGGCAGATGGATAGTAGATGGATGGATGGATGAATGGAATGGAATGGAATGGAAGGATGGTGGGTAGATGGTAGATGGATGGATGAATAACAGGATAGTGAGTAGATACATGAATGGATAGTGGGTAGATGGGTGCATGTCAGATAGGAGGATGGGTGAATAGATGAAAAGAAGGAAGGATGGAAGTATACATGGATGGACAAATGGAAGGATGGTAGATGGATGATGAATGGATACATGCATAGATGGACAGATGGAAGGATTATAGAAAGATGATGAATGGACAGATGGTGAGATGGTGAACAGATGATAGACGGATGAGTATATAGATGGCAGAGTATATAGATGGTGAATGCATGACTAGATGGAAGGAAGAATGTGTGCATGGATGGATAGATGGTGGATGAATAGATGGAACAAAGGAAAGAAAGATGAACATATGGATGAATAGATGGCAGATAAGGAATAGATGAAAGGAAAGAAAGATGGACACATAGATGGGTGGATGAAAGAAAGAATGAATGCATGAATGGATGAATGAATGAAAGGAAGAATGGATACATGGATGGATGGATGGATGGATGGAGGGAAGAATAGACAGATGCATGGATTGAAGGATGGATGGTGAACAGACAGAAGAGCATAAATGCATGCATTGATGGATGGATCGTGTATGGATGGATGGAAGGATGGATGAATGGATGGATGGATGGTAGATGGATGATGCATAAACAGATGAAAGTAAGGAAAGACAGATGTATGAATGGATGGATTAGGTAGAAGGATGGAAGGACGGAAAAACAGATGCCTGAATAGATGGATGGCAGTTGGATTGAATAGAGGGATGGCAGTTGGATGAATGAAAGGATGGGTGGATGCATGGATGGATGGATGCATGGATGGATGAATGGTGGATGGGTGGATGGAAGGAAGGATGGATGGATCGATGGATGCATAGATGGGTGGATGAGTGGTTTAGGTGGATGGATGCATGAATGAATGGATGAATGGTGGATGGATGCATAGATGGGTGGATGAATGGATGCATGAATGAATGGATGAATGGTGGATGGATACATGCACGGATGGATTGATGAATGGTGGATGGATGGATGCATGGATGGGTGGATGAATGGTGGATGGGTGCATGAATGGACGGATAGATGAATGGTGGATGGATGGAGGAATGGTGGATGGATTGATGCATGGATGGGTGAATGAATGGTAGATGGATGCATGGATGGATGGATGGATGGATGGATGGATGGATGGATGGTGAAGGTCTCAGACCTCTTCTTGCAGGGCAAGTTGGGGGGGCTCACCTTGCTGGTCAGTGGTGAGGTGCCTTGCCTCCCAGCCTTCTTGAGGTAGGTGACCAGGGAAGGGGTGCCTGCCCGGGACTCATCATCAGAGCTGGTGTGTGAGAGGTCAGCCTCTCCAGTGCGTGCCAGCTCATCAGCCGTGGAGTAGCCTTCGGAGAGATCAGGTGCCACCTCCTCTGCCTCCTGTGGCAGGTGCTGTGAGCGGCCATCCTCCTCAGGCAGCTCGCTAATGGAGTCTAGCGTGGGCTCACGGCTCATGCGACGTTTCCGAGCCAGGGCCTCCCATAGTTGGTGCAGGTCGCCCTCCTGGGCTGCCTCGAGGGGTAGGCTGGGCTGAGGAGGGGCCTCATCCACAGAGGCTGGGCTCAGCGCCACTGAGGAAGGCAAAAGACTGGTCAGTGGGCTAGTTCAGAGCCATCAGCCCAGACCTCAGCTGCTTATCAGTATGTAGCTGGGCTGTGGCCTTGCTAGGCCTCTACCCCCACCTGGCACTAGCTACTTCAGATGGCACAATCTTTGCAAGTCTCAGAGCCCCTGAGCCTTGGCTCCCCCACTTTGAGTGAGGCCACAGTCTACCTCCCTGCACAGGGTATGTGATGACTGGAACAGGAAAGGACTCTGCAAAAGCAAATTGGGCTGATTTGAGCCCTTCTGGCCCTGCTTCTGGGATAGAGTGCCTAGACTCATGGGGGTGCTGGCTGCCATGCAGGGAGGATCAGGCTCAGAGTTCAGGGGACAGGCCTCAGAGTGTGGGAGGGCTCGGAGCACTGGGGTTTTCAGGGGGTTCAGAGTACAGGGGATGTCTGTGTGCAGGGGCCCAGAAGCTTAAAGGGACCAGAATAGGAGAACCAAGGGCTGCACCACCCAGGACTTGCTCAGGGACAGGCAGGCTGGCCTAGGCCATCAAGACTTTGCAACATGGGGTTTACCACATCTCCCTATGCAGCCTCAGTCTCTCCTATGTGATGGGCCTCAAAAGGACCCTCAGCCCTTCCCTAAGAGACCCTGTGAGAGGAAGGTCAAGCTGCACCCCCACACCAAAGCTCCCCACCCTGGAACCTGGAAGGACAGGGACGACGCACCCTGGAAGGTGGCAGCCGCGGGGCAGGTGGAGCCCTGGGCTGGTCCACAGTGGTACTCGCCCTGGTCTTCTGCTGTGAAGCCCCTGATCACCAGCATCTGTCGCCGACCCTGGGAGACCACCTCGAACCGCCCACTGGGCTGGATGTGCTCCTTTCCCTTGTGCCAGATGACCTCGCCAGCCTCAGCTGCCACCTCAAGCTCCAGACAGACATCCTCACCAACTGCCACCTGCCGGCTCTCAGGGGCAGAGGGCTGGGGAGGCACAGGCTTCGGTGGCTCTGCTAGGGAACAGCATTAACGGACAGAAGACAGGCTCCATCAGCAAAGATGCACCCAGGGTGCAGGCCCCACCCCTGGGGACCCCTCCCTCTTCCAGCTTGTGGGGGCTGTGAACTCCCCAGGCCACAGTGAAGCAACTCACCAAGCTGCACAGTCTGGGGCAGGTGAACCGGTTCCCCAGCACCCACTGGGCCCACAGCTGCCACACGGAAGCGGTAGGTCTCCCCAGGGGCCAGGCCATCCACCACACACTCGGGTCCAGGCACCAGCTCGTGGCACAGCCGCCACTGGCCCATGGCCCCCTCCTTCACCTCCACACGGTAGCCACAGAGACCACCGCCTCCATCACTCATGGGAGCTGCCCAAGACAGTGTCACAGTGTGGCTGCTGCGAGCCACCACTTCAGCATCCTCTGGGGGGTCAGGGAGGCCTGGGGAAAGGGGAACCAGTCAGGGGGGTGGCTCCCTGTCGGCACTAACAGCCCCTCTGGAAGCCACTGGACTCTGATACTGGTTGCAGGTGGTGTGGCTGTACCCGAAGGCAGCGTGCTGCTGTACCTAGTGGCCCAGCCCGTCTCAGGGAGTGAGGGATGCTGCCCAGGCCCCATGGTGGCGCACTTGCGTGTCACATGGAGACTATATGTGTCCAGAGCCCACCCAGTGTGGAGAGCCCCTGGCGGTCTCTGCACCTCCTGTCTCCCCAGAGCTGGGCTCAGATCTGCATTAGGAGTTGGGGGAGCTGAGGGGGAGGTGGAGCAGAATGAGGGGACTTTGGCCTTATGAACCCACAGGGTGGTAGACTCATGCATCGTTATGCCTGGCCAAGGGCAGCCTCCCAGACCCCCATGGCCAGGCCCATATCTGCAGGCAGTCAACCCCAAGCTCTGCAGTGGGCAGATGCTGCAGAACCCAGCCCGGGATGGTCACCCACTGACCCCCAAGCTCTGGAAGCCAGGCGGGCCCCAGACCCGACCTGCAGGGGAGGGAGAAAGGAGCCCGCCCACCACCCACCCAGCACGGTGAGTCGCGCAGAAGCCACGGCGTCACGGCAAGCGAAGGTGACCTCCCCAGCATGGAGGAGCTGGGCGCTGCGCAGCAGTAGGGCGTGGTGACTGCCATCGGCGGTGACAGTCCAGTCGGCGTCATCCGGCTGCACCGCCGCACCATTGATGTACCAAGACGCCTCTCCCACGGGCACCACCTCGCTGAGCGTGCAGGTGAAGAGGGCCTGCGCGCCGGCCCGGACCGTCGCGTTTTTCAGCGGCTCCAGGATCTCCAGGCGCCAGCCTGCGGGTGTGCCCGAGGAAGGGATGTGAGGGCAAGGGCTGGAGCAGGGCCTGGACTTCAGACCCTCGCTTCTTCCCACCTGCGTGGGTGGGAGGAGTCTGGGAGACCGAAGCTCCCCACCTGCGGCCCCAGCAAACCCCTCTCTCAAAGTCAACCCAGCCTCCCCCGGGAGACACCTCTCATCTGGTCCCCAGTCATGCCTGTCTTCAACCCAGACTCCTGCGAGTCCCAGAGACCAACATGTCCCCCTCCTGGCTCCGGAGAGCCTCTGGTCTCGGCGCACGGCGAACACACCATGCACCCCTCCTGAGCCTCGGGCCCCGGGGCTTCTACCCACTGCGAAGTGGGTGGCTCCCAGCCTCAGGTGGGAGGGGCCGGCCCCTGGCGAACCCTGCCCCTTGTGCCGCTCCCTTCCCCAGCCCTGCCAGCAGCACCAGGGCCTCAGAGCCTCAGCGCCTCTGCAGCGCGGGCGGCCCAGCCTCCTGCAGGAGGGTCTTGGAGACTGATGTCCCCTCTGCAGCCGCAGCCCCCCAGCCCCGCCCCCTCTGCCACCCACCCCCCGCAGCCTCTAGTGGGATCTGGCCCCGCCCTGCACCGGCAGAGCACAGTCACCTCGGACCGTGAGGAACGCGGACGTCACCATATCCCCAGCCAGGAAGGTCACCCGGCAGCTGTCTTGCGGCCGCAAGTTTTTGAGCAGCAGCAGGTGGCGCAGGCCGTTCTCAAAGTAGACCACCTCGGCGTTCTCCGAGGTCCGCACGGGTTCGTCGTCCAGCAGCCAGGTGTGGGCAGCCACCTCAGGCTGGGACAGCTGGCACTCGAACAGCGCCTCGCCACCCTCCAGCGCCTCCACGTTCTCCAGCCCCCGCACCACTGTGTTCTTGGCTGCGGGGAGAGGGAGGCTCAGACCATGCCTGCGCTTCCAGGATCCCCACGTCCCTTGGGAGTGTCCTGAAAACTACAAAAAGTCAAACAAAATACCCCCTCCCCAGAAGCTATGTGGAGGGGGGCACTCAGTGTCCAGGGTGGAGCCACCGTGCCTGCCTCTGTAGTCACCCAGGACCCCCCCGCCACACCATGTCCTGCCCACTTTGGCACTGGGTTCCTGACCTCACAGGTGTTCACGAGACTAGAAACTCGCCAACCGCACAACTGGGCTTAAACACAGCCACGAGGCTCAGAGCCATGCTTTACCTGCCATGGCCCCACTGCAGCTTCAGTGTCTGGAAACAGCCCCCTTTCTCTGCACCCCCAAACAGAGCTACTAGACCTGCTGCCTGGCCCCTAGGATGCCATGCTCAGACTCACAACAACCAGAGACCTCCTCCCTAATCCACTGCCCTGCTCCGCTCTCCCCTCCCTTTCTAATTCTCTTGTGGGTTCACGTGTAGTAGTCTCGAATTTGGCCACACATTCTTCATGGAAGCCACAAGTTCAGCAGCTGTGCATGCCCCGCCTACCCACAGCTCAGCTCCTGGTGCAGCGAGCTTGCCACCTATATGGCCTGTTTCCACCTGTCCGAGCCACCTGTGTCCCAGAGCCACCAGACACAGCCTGCCATTCCACTATCACTGCACAGCCAAAGCTGTGCCAAAGCTGCCCCGGGCCTGGGGCTGCCCACCAGGCGGCCTCACCTTGCACTTGCAGCAGGGCCACTACGCGGGTGCCCGCAGCCTCACAAGAATAGATGCCACTGTCACAGGGCAAGGCCGGCCTGAAGGTCAGCCTGGCCACGTTCCAGTCCTGCTCTATGATGACACGGTGCCCATCCGTGCGCACCTCCCGCTCGTCCATCTTCCATGTGGCCTGCACGGGCCGTGAGTACTGGCAGAGGAGCTCGGCCGAGCCACCCTCCTCCACGGCCAAATCCTGCATGGCACTGACCACCTCCACCACGGGATCTGTCGGCCAACATGCCGGACACACATCAGCCCCTGGAGCTGAGCCACCGAAGCCATCCCACCCTCTGCTGTCAGCATTAGAGGCTTCAGCGGCAGCAAGCGCAGAGCAATGGCAGGAAATGGCAGAGCAGTGACCGCCTGGCACACAGCCCAGGGAAGGGGGCCCACCACGACAGCCCAGGGCTATCCACCGCAGACACACCTCACCCCCACCCATGGGAGACAGCACTGTCAGGCTTGGTATCTTTCCTGGGGGGCCCCTCCTGGTCCTCTTTGCCTCTACCTCCCTCTGGCCCTGGGCACACTGCCCCAACAGGGACACAAACCCTCCAAAGTCCCCCCACCCCATGCCCTCTGGCCCTGGCTCAGGAGCCAGAGCCCCAGCCCAGCTTGCCCCTTCTGCAAGGACTCTGCCATCTTTCTTGGGGTCTCTGTCCCATCTCCACTGTACAAATCCTGCTCCACAAATGGCTGTTTGCCCCAGGACCCAGGTGAACCTTCCACATTTTCTTTGAGGGTGGATGGGGGCAAAACCACCATGTAAGTCACTGGGAGGGGACTCCCATATGGCCAGCTCTTTCCCAGAAGGGCATAAACCTAGCCTAAGCCCACAGCGGAGGAAGCAGGTGACAGCAGGGGTAGACTCAGCAGGCGCTGCTTTTGGCTACACAAGGGACTGGGTTTCATGGCTGGGCACGTGCGGCCAGCAAGGTGATAGCCAGTAGGGCATGGGTTGGTGTCCAGTTACACCACTCCCTAAGCCCAGACTTCTCATCCACCCTCCATGCCCACCTGTGCCACTGTAGGCAGACAGCATGCATAGAGTGGTGCCTACTCTGTGGCCCTGGGGGCCAATCCCTAATCCCAGGAGCCCGCAGGAAGCATACAAAAGTGCCAGCATGGCAGGGGTTGCCATCGGCCAATACCTTTCATCAACAACTTGGCCGTGGAGACCAGGGGCCCTGCGCGGAAGGTGACAGTGCCGGAGTCGGCCACCCCCAGGCCTGAGAGCGTGAGGGAGTGAAAGATCCCGTCTCGTACAGTGATGGCACTCTGGGGGCCATCCTGTAGCAGGGTCCCATCCAGCCACCAGCGGGCCTCCGGCCCACCCGCGTGAGACACCTCACAGGAGAACGTGGCCACCTCCCCCGCGAAGACATCCACATTCTGCAAGCCACATACCAGGCATGGCGCTGCCTCTGCACAAGAGGGTAAGAAGGAGGGCGAGGCTGGGACACCCTGGAATCCACAGGACTGGGCCACTTTAGGGTTCACTGGTGTGGGGGTGTGGCACAAGAACAGATTGTGTCTCTGCTCCTAAAGCCCTCAGAAGTTCCTGAGTGTTCATAATGTACTCCTTTGACTACACCTGAGTTTATGCTAATGATGTGGCTCAGGTAGGGGTCCTGGACAACATCAGAATGGACCTTTAGAAAGGCCAAGTGTTTAGAGGGTTAGAACTTTCCTACCCTCCCACCTCTAGGAAGGGGAGAGGGGAACAGAGATTATGCTCTATAAAAGCTCTTGAATGAGATTTGATGAGTTCCCAGGTTGATGAAGATATGGAGGTGCTAGGAGCATGGCACACCCAGAAAAGACATGGAAGGTCTATGCCCACCCCCACCCCCATCCTTTGCCCTTTAAATCTTTTCCACATGGCTATTCCTGAGCTGTATCCTTTATAATAGCTGCTCAATACAAGTGTTTCTATGAATTCTAGGAGCTGTCTTAGCAAGTTAATCAAACTCAAGGAGGAGAAGTGGGAACCCCATTTCATAGCTGTTCAGTCAGAAGTGTGGGTGGCGTGGGACTTCCCACTGGCATCTGAAGTGGGGCAGTCTTGTGGGACTGAGCCCTTAATCTATGAAATCTGACCCTCACTCCAAGTAGAAAGTATCAGAATTGAAGTGTAGACAACCAGTTGCTGTCTGCTAGAGAATCGCTTGGTGTATGGCCCCCACACATCTGGTCACAGAGTGTTCTGTGCTATGAGAGTATAATAGGAGAAGAACAGTAAGTGTGTTGATCTGTAGAATTGGTGTCAGAAGTGGGACTTGGCCAGGCACAGTGGCTCATGTCTGTAATCCCAGCACTTTGGGAGGTCAAGGTGGGAGGACTGTTTGAGCCCAGGAGTTCAAGACTAGCCTGGGAAACATAGTGAGACCCCATGGAGGCATGTGCCTGTAATCCCAGCTACTCACCAAGTTGAGGTGGGAGGATCGCTTGGGCCCAGGGGGGTTGAGGCTACACTAAGCTATGTTCACATCACTGCATTCCAGCCTGGGCAACAGGAGACCCTGTCCCCTCACCCCCACCAAAAGTGGGACTTGCTAGAATAGCCTTGGGGCTAGTAACTGGTACTGGGGCCACCCTGGGGTCTGCCAGAGCAGGCATCACCCAGACCAGGAGGGTGACCTAGGGTTATGGAATACAAATCCACCCAGGCAAGCTGGCCCACCCTGATCACAAAGGGAGACACAGAGGCCACCCACAGTGAGCCCATGGAGAGTGGCTCAGCCTCAGCTCATAGACCCGCACCTCCACACACCCCTTCAGAACATGCCTGGTTTCACCCACAGGAGGCTGATGACAGGCACACATGCCCTTCTCAGAAGGCATAATGGACAAGCTCCAAGCCCCATGGCTGGGGTTCTTTCTGGCATTTGGTGCCTTATCTGACCCAATGTGGGTTGGGTAGGAGAAGCCACAGGGCCTCCTACTGTGAGCAGATGGGAGTTGGCCTCAGAAAATGAGTTCCCTGTCCCTGGGGGTGTGGAAGCAGATGCTTCTCCCATCCCAAGAGGGCATTTTGTCCAGATGTCCTCCAAGGCCCCTTCAGCCCAGAATTCCAGGGCCCTTATGTGGAGTGGCAACTGCTCCCTGCCTGGTCACACAGCAAGGCCCAAACTCAAGGAGCTGCCCAGACATGTTTGTGGTCACTGCCTGCCCTGTGCCTTCCACACTCTCCTCCTCCCTCCCATCCACCTCTCAGATGGAAACTCAGGGTGGTCATGGCAGATAGAACTTGCCCAGGCTACTGCTGCCCACACAGTTGAACCCCACACCACACAGGCAAGGGAGGAAGACAGAACCAAAGGCTTATTCCACCACCTGCTGCCTGGAATCGGGCAACGGAGATGCCGCCCTCCATCCTTGCTTGCCCCTGAGTAACTTCCCGAGACCATCCTGTGAGCCATCTCACAAAGAGAGAGAAACTGCAGTTGGCAAAGCCCAGACAAGACACTTCCATCCCATGGGGTGAGGAAGTGTGGGTGGGGAGAACTTACAGAGATACCAGCCACCCATCAGGACAACACCAGGCAAATCAGCCCCTGTGCCCACCCAAGCAGGCCCTCCGCTGGAAGCCTCTCCATGCTCTTCCTCATGTGTACCACTGACACCCCACCACCAGCTCTTGGTCTTCTCTTGACTGTCTTCCCCAAGTATACATCTGACCACCTCCTCATCTTGCCCCACCAACTCTTCATTCTTGTCTCCAGCAAGTTCCCAAGTTCTTCCACCACACCACCTAAAACCTACCTAGGTCTGAGATGGGCACCCATTTACACACCTGTGCCAGGGCCCTCACCACCAGGTCACAGCCAGATGTCTGTATGTGAGTCAGCTCACCCAGGCTGAGAATACCTCACCTAGAGAGGGGCCAAAGCACAGCCCAGCTCCATGCTGCTCCATACAGTTGCCCACTCTGATGAACATACCAGGCCCCTGCTATCCTGCCCCTGCTCAGGACACCTGGGAAACTTCCTGTCTTCACCATTCAACTTGAGGGCACTGGCATCTGGAACCTTTCCCAAACCCACAGGCGACAGAACTGACTGCATCTGTCTCCTTTTAAAGACTTGGGAGTGGGAGGTGGCACCTAGGATGAAGGACACACTATATCCATGTCCAACTCCTCCAACAGATTGGGGATCCCCTGAAGGCAGACTGCATCTGGCCCATCATGAGGTTCAGGACTTGCTAAAGGGTAGGAGCTTAGAGGGTATATTCTATGGTGAATGAATGGATAGCAGGTGGATTGTGAATGTATGATGGATGGTGGATAGATGGTGGATGAATGGAAAGATAGCTGAATAGTGGATGAGTGAGTGATGAATACATGAGTGGATGGGGGAAGGGTAGATGGATGGTAGACAGGTGAATAGATGGATGGATGGGTGGATGGTAGATGAATGGAAGGATGGGTGAATGGATAGTGGATGGATAGATGGATAGTAAATGGACAGATAGCAGATGGATCAGTGGGTGGGTGGATGGATGGTGGGTGTGTGAATGGATAACGAATAGACGAATGGAGGATGTATAAATGATGTATGGATGGTGAATGGGCAGATGGATGGATGAATGGAGGAACAGCGGGATGGATAGATGAATAGTAAATGGATAGATGGTGGATGGGTGGATGGTGAATGGATGGCTGGTGGATGGTGAATGGATGGATGGTAGCTTTATGGAAGAATGGATGGATTATGAATGGACTGATGGACAGATGATAGAAGGATGGATGATAGATGAATGGCCAGATGATGGATGGATGGTGGATAGCAGATGAATGGAAGGTGGATAGGTAAATGGATAAATGGATGAACAGATGGATGATGAGTACACAGATGGGACCCATTTGAGACCTAAAGGCAGGACAGTAGGGGAAGAACACTCAAGGACAAGCACTCAGGGATGACCAGCTCTGGGTGCAAAGTATGACCCAGGCTGAAGGCTCCTAAAATCTTGTTTGCATGCTTGCCCAAATCCATACACTTGTCATAGGCATGCTTTTGCATCTGCACCTTTGAGCCTGTCAGGCATGCAGATGTGTGTAAACATAGATGCGCTGGCATGTGCGTGCATCCGTAGCATAGGAGTAGGCTTTTGGAGGATGGAAGTCAGGAAGGTCCTGCCTCCACCTTAGGGTCCAAGTCTACGGCAGCTGGGCCCCCCATCTCCCTCCCGCAGGTGGCATTAATCCTGGACAGGGACCCCACACATACCCTGGAGTTTCTCAAGACTACCTTCACCAGCCTACTCGCCAGTGACCTCTCTGGTCCTTGGCTTCAGTGGCCAGGGGTTGGAAAATTGCCAGCCCCAAGACAAGACCACTGTAGGAAGTCTTGGGTTTCTGCCCCCTGCCCGCTGACAGCTGCCAATGGGTAGGACGTCCTGGTGCCCAGGAAGCTCGGCATCTGCAGGCAGAGTGACCGGTGTGGAAAGGGGCTGCCCACCTGTGACTTTCAGCTGGGCCTCAGAGCTACATGTGCCCACGTGGAAACTGACAGTTCCAGCATCTTCAAGGGTCACCTAGGAAGCAGGGAGAGACACGCTTGGCCCTGAGAGCCCCCATCCCGACCACGAGGAGCCCAGCCAGCTTGCCAGACCTCAGTGCCAGGAGGTCATCACTTCCCCAACACAACCCTCTGGTGGAAGACCTTCCTGAATGGAGTTGGAAGCATTCCTGTCCTGGTACACTCAGGTCCCAGAGGCCTCACCTTGTGCAGGGTAAGCAGGTGGAGTGTGCCCTGCTCCACAGCAATATCATTCATCTCGTTGTCCTGCAGGGGCACCCCTCCTAAAGCCCAGCAGGCTTCCTGGCCTGAAGCTCCGGATAGCCGGCACTGGAAGCTGGCATCCTGACCCTCACTGAGCTGCACGTCCTGCAGGGGCTCCAGGATGGTCACCTCAGGAGCTGGACACAGGGGAGGCATGGGTGTCAGCCTCAGCGTCTGAGGTGCCCCCTCAATCAGCACAGTCTCATCGTCCTGGGAGTCCATCCCTGGGTATCCTCCCCCACGCACAAAGACATGCACATGGGGGCCTGTTCTCAGCTCCCCACTCCAGTTGTAGGCAGAGTCTGCTCTAATGGACAGTGGATGGGTGAATGGATCAATGGAGGAATGAATGGATGGATAATGGGTGGACAGATGGATGGCTGATCAATGGATAAATAGATGGATTGTGGATGGATCGATGGATAATGGATGGATGATGGATGGATGGATAGTGAATGGGTGGATGGATGGGTGAATGGTAAATGGATGAATGAAAGGATGGATGACGGGTGGGTAAATGGGACTAGTGTGAGAACTAGAGGAGATGGTGCAGATGACTAAGGGCTGGGAGTGGGCTATGGTTTGCAGTGGCCCCGCCACGAGGGCCAAGACCCAAACTCCCAACACTGTGTCAGCCTATTGGAAGCTCACAACCACCTGCCTCACCAGCCTGACTCAGCCTACTCTCCTCTGACATCCTGGGGCCACCCTGAAATGCCAGCTCACAGGTCCACCTCCCTGCCAGGCCCCAGCCTCCAAAGGCAGGAACCTTTGCTGTCTGGCTCCGTACCCAGCAGGGCCCAGACATTCTAACCCCGTGCAGTCACTGGTGGGGCCTGCCTGTGGCTACCTCTGATGGTGAGCTGGGCGGAGGAAGCACAGTTGCCCAAATGGAAGGAGACAGTGCCAGCATCCTCAGGTGTCACACCCTTCAGTCGCAGTGTGTGGATGCGGCCATCCTGCACAGTCACTTCTGTCACTTCATTGCTTTGCAGTGGCAGGCCTTGTAGGCACCACTGCATGCCTGTGGCTCCAGCCCTGGACACCTCGCAGCTGAACTCAACATCCTCATTGGCCAGCACCTCTGCATCAACCAGCCCCCGCACAATGGTCACCTCAGGCTCTGAGGAGTGGGGCGAGATGGTTCCCTTTACCAGCCAGGTAAAAGAGCCTAAGCCAAGCTCCCATGCCCACTCCTCCAGGAAGTCTTCCTGGGCACCCTCACACTCTTCTGCCATGGCCCATCTGTCCCACATGGCTTTTGTTTCCTGATGTGCTCACAAGCACAGATCCTGCCATGACACTGAGCTCTTTGGGGACAGAACCTGGGCTGGAAGTGTGGGCCAAGAGGGCAGCTGTATCTGAGGAATGGGAAGGGGTCGTGGGACACCCAACTGCCTGTCAACTCCCACAACACAGCCAGCCCCATCCTGGCTAGCACAGCAGGGAGGCAAGGCTTGCAGGAGAAATAGGTGGGGGCTCAGCAGCGCACCCTCACACCGGCCTCAGGGGTGGGCTTGAGGGGCTGCAACCTGTTTCCTTGCTGCCCAGGTTCTCTCGGAGAGCCCTGACAGGGACACTGGGAGGTGCGGGGGTGAGGAGGAAGACAGCGTGAGAGCAGGGGACTCAGGTGCACCCAGAAGGCAACCATAAGCGGGTGGGATGGCAGGGAAGGGCTCACCCTCTCCTCTGGGAGGCCCCACCGCTCACCTGTGACCCTGAGGGAGGCAGTGGTTTTCTGGCCACCTGTCACGCAGGCATACTCGCCCGTGTCCTTGGCCTCCAGTTGGTGGATCAGCAGCTCCCGCAAGGCCCCCTGGCTCCGCATTTCGTACTTGGGGCCCGCATGCAGCTCCACACCCTCCTTGAGCCATTGCACCGTGGCCCCCGACTCTGCATCGCTCAGCTGACAGCACAGCCGGGCTATGTCACCTGTCTCCTGCTCCAGGCTCTGCAGCCGGGTCTCAAACTTGGGCCTGGGGACTGCGGGGGATGCAGGAAGGGATGCTTAACACTCCTTGCCTCTGACCAAGGGTGAGGGGCTGTGGGAGGCAGGGGTTGGTGAGCAGCTCACCACGGACAGAGAGGCTGGCCATGCTGTGTGTGTGGCCTGTGTCGCACGTGTAGTCACCCGCATCCTCCTGCTCCACTCCGTGTACCAGCAGCTCCGCAGTTGTACCATCCTGCACCATCTGGTACTTGGCACAAGGGAAGAGCTCCAGGGAGCCCTTGCGCCACTCCACGCTTGCACCCGCCCGGCTCAGCTCACAGCATAAGTGTGCTGTGCCTCCCTCATCCACCTCCTGGGGCTGCAGCTCTTGGAGGAACCGCACAGGGGCAGCTGCAGGGAAGGGAGCAGGGCGTGAGGGCAGGTCACTGAGGAGCTATAAGGGGGAATGAACAAGTGTGATACAGGGCAAAGTGGGGAGGGGGAACCGCACCAGAGCAGCTACCACGAAGGAGGCAGGCCCAAAGCACTGGAACTGTGCTATATCCTGGGCCAGGCCAGCCTGGGTTCCCACCTGTGACAGTGAGAGTGGCGCTGGTGGCCTGGGAGCCACAGGTGCAAGTGTATTCTCCAGTGTCTTCACGTCGTAGGCCCCGTAACACCAGCTCCGCAGTGCAGCCCTGAAGCCGTGGCTCCCGGCGCCCATTGGCCTGCAGCTGCAGGCCACCCTTGCTCCAGACCACTGTAGCAGTGGGCTCAGACAGCTCACACTGCAGGGTGGCTGTGGAGCCCTCCTCTGCCTGCAGACTCTGCAGCGGCTCCCGGAACACTGGCTGTGGGGCTGCAAGGGGCAAGGGGCAGGGTCAGCTCCAGATCTACACCAGGCATTGCTCTCCAGGCCGGCAGATGAGGACCTGGGCTCCTCCCAGCTCCCTGGCCTGGCTCCACAGGCGGTGCTGCCTCAGATGGTACCACCAGTCTGTGATTCAGGAGCGAGAAGGCAGCATGGTGGCAAAGCAGGGAGGGGCTAGATCTACCCAGGACTTAGGAGGCTGTCCTCTCACCCAGGACCCCACTCCCAACCCCCGCAGAGCCACACCCTCCAGAGCCCAGGGCAAGGATGTGTACTTCAGAACCCAAGGTGAGGCCCTATACCCCATACCCAAGGGCAGAGCTGAGTCCCCCAGATCCCAGGGCGAGGCCAGGGCCCAGGGCTATAGGTTCCACCTCTCCTCTGTGGGCACCCAAATCCCAGGGCAGGAATGTGTATTCAGACTCCAGAGTGAGGCCATGTCTTCCAGACCCCAGGACAGGGCCATGTCCCCCAGACTCCAGGGCAGGGACCGGGTTCCCTTAGACCCTCAGGTGTCATAGGGGCTGTCTGCCCCACAAGGCTACACTGAGAACCAGGGCCAGCCTGCAGGGCCCAGGGCTCTAGGTCCTGCCTCCCTTTCCTGGGCACCAAAGGCCTCCCTCCGAGAAGGACATGAGACCCTGTGGCTAAAAGACTTCAGGTCTCAAATGAAGGATGGCAGAATGTTGGATTGATTAGGTAGTGATGGGAGGCACGGGGAGAGAGACAAGGTGGGAATTCCTTCCCTACAACCATGACTGGTACACAAGGTCACATGGCTGAAGCTCAGTATAGATACCAGGGCACGGGATAACGTTGGAACCCATGAGCAGAGGGGACAGAGGAAACAGCAGGAGGAAGAGGAAAGGAGCATCCACAAGGAGAAGGTGTGCTGTCCCTGTGACTGCACATGGAGGAAAGACACACACCCACATCAGTCCATGTGGCCACATGTGGTCATTACCCTTGACAATGAGAGTGGCCGACGTCTTCTCCTGTCCACATACACATGAGTACTCCCCAGTGTCTGCCACGGACAGGCCATGAATCTGCAGCTCACATCTGGTCCCATCCTGCCTCAGGCTGTATCTGTCCCCATCTCTGAGGGCTTTAGGTCCCTTCCTCCACTCAACAGGGGCCGCCTTGCTCAGCTCACATTGCAGCATAGCTGTGGCCCCTTCTGTGGCCTCTTCATTCTTCAGACCCTTTGTGAACTTGGCAGGCAAGGCTGGGGAGGTCAGAAGATAAGGACACAATCATGCCTCTGAGCCCACAGAAGAGACAGGACACGGATGACAGAAAAGACAGAGAACCCAAATGGACATGAGCCACATCGGGATGTACTGAGCACAGGCTGTGCACTGTGACTTCCCTCAGTCCAGGCTGTACAGCACATGACCATGGCCCCTTCTGTGGCCTCCTCACACCTAGGTCTTTGTATGAATCTGGCACATACAGAGCTGAAGAGGGTCAGACACACATGAAAATCAGATCATCTGGAGCACTTTGGTGGACAGAATATGAGAGAATGGAGGACAAGACATAGAGCCCAACAGGGCAACATGACTGAACCCATGCTGGTACACAAGTGGGAGCTGGCTGGAGATGCTGTTTTCCCCTGGTTTCTGCAATAGCCCAGGAGGCTGGAAGGGATTCTGTGGAATTATGGGAACAGGATGACATGGACACAGGGAGATGACATGGAATGAGAGGAGACGGAGGGCATGAAATCAGTACTGGCACACTAGAACATGGCTTTGCTTGGCCACATGTGATCTTTACCCCTGATGGTGAGTGTGGCTGAGGTCCTCTCCTGCCCACAAATGCACGAGTACTCCCCGGCATCTGCCACAGCCAGGCCACGAATCTGCAGCTCACACCTGGTCCCGTCCTGCCTCAGGCTGTGTCTGTCCCCATCTCGGAGGGTTTCAGGTCCCTTCTTCCACTCCACAGGGGCCGCCTTGTTCAGTTCACACTGCAGTGTGGCTGTGGTCCCTTCTCTGGCCTCCTGGTTTGTCATGTTGTCTATGAATCTGGCTGGCAGGGCTGGGAAGGACCAAGCAGTCACTGAGATCATCAGACTATCTGGACAACTCTGTGGACAGGACACAGACACACACAAGGAGCCACACAAACCACCAAAGGACCATGGCAGAATGAGCAAACGAATGTACGGAAAGCGAGAAAGCACCTGGCCCAAGAGGAACAGAGAACATGCAGGGATGGGGATGAACAACAGGAGGACATCTCCTGATGAAGAGAAGGGGAGGCAGGAGATGCCCAGAGGACCCCAGTTAGAGGACAGACAACTTCAGGGTTCCCACAGGGATGCCACATTAGGAAGTAGAAAGTGGTGACACAGAGACACATAGATCCCAAGCCGCAAGTCCATGTGACCATACGGGATCTTTACCCCTGACGGTGAGTGTAGCTGAGGTCCTCTCCTGCCCGCATACACACAAATACTCTCCAGTATCCTCCACAGCCAGGCCACGAATCTGCAGCTCACACCTCGTTCCGTCCTGCCTCAGACTGTATCTGTCCCCATCTCTGAGGGTCTCAGACCCCTTCCGCCACTCCACAGGGGCCACCTTGCTCAGCTCACACTGCAGCACAGCCGTGGCCCCTTCTGTGGCTTCGTGATTTCTCACATCTTCTATGAATCTGGCCGGGAGGGCTGGGAAGGACCAAGCAGTCACTGAGATCATCAGAATAACTAGACGACTCTGTGGACAGGACACAGACACACACAAGGAGGCACACAAACAACCACAGGACTATGGCAGAATGAGCAAATGAATGTACAGAGGGTGAGAAAGCACATGGCCCAGGAGGAACAGAGAGCACAGTCCCCATCTCTGAGGGTCTCAGGTCCCTCCTTCCATTCCACAGGGACCACCTTGCTCAGCTCACACTGCAGTGTGGCTGTGGCCCCTTCTGAGGCCTCCTTGGTCTTCAGATCTTGTGTGAATTGGGCGGCAATGAAGGGTCACATGGACAGAAGCCATCAAGCCCTCGGGAGGATGTGAGGGACACACCTGAACATCCAGGAAGAAAACAGAAGCAGGAAGGCTGGAGGGACTTGGGATGAGGTGGACCAAAGTGCATTTGACAGTGAGGACTTCCTACATTCTGCCTGTGAGGTGCAGATTGGGTGGGAGATGGGTTCCATTCTGGATCTCTTCTCAGAGGGCATCTTGTCCTACCTGTGAACTTTCATCATGGGGAAGCAAGACAGGCTCCTCCAACTTGCAACCCACATATGCAATAATGTGATGGACATCTCTCTATGATGACATAGGAGGCACCTTCAGGTCCCAATATCCACTGATCCCTTGTCATCCCTCACACAAGAGACAGCCTGACCAGACAGGCCTTCCATCCAGCACTGCCCATGCTTAGATATACCTCAGCTCACTGTACAACATCCCAGCCCACACAATGCCCTGCTACCTCCATCTAACATGCTCCTGGACTGACCCTATGAATCCACATTCCCACATATTACCCTGATCCATATCACCTAGATCATGAAGACACCAGATGTGGCCTCAAACCACACCTCTGAACCTCCAATCTACCATTCTCTCTTGCCTCCTGACTCCAGGCAGGGGGCTCACAAGTTAGCAGAGCAGAGCCTAACCCAATTACATAGCCATAGCCTGCTATGGGTTGTGTTTCTACAGAAGTCAAACGTTGAAGTCCTAACTTCCACTATCAGAATATGACTGTTTTTGAGATAGGGCCTTTAAAGAGGTGATTAATGCTAAATGGGATCACAAGGGTGGCATCTAATCCAATATAAATGCTGTTCTCATAAGAAAAGGAGATTAGGACACAAACACAGAAGGACCAGTGAAGACACAGAGAAAAAATGGCTGCCTACAAGCCAAGGAGAGAGGCCTCAGAAGGAGCCAACCCAACTGACACCTGGAACTCAAACCATCTAGTCTCCAGAATGGTAAGGAAATACATTTCTGTTATTTATACCACCCAGTCTATGATACTTTCTTTATGGCAACCCAAGCAAACAAATTCAGACTTTGGTACCAGGAGTGGGGTGCTAAAGGAACAAATACCTATAAATGTGGACGTGGCTTTAGAACTTCGTAATGGGAGGTAGCTGAAAGATATTTCAGGCGCGTGCCAAAAAACAGTGTTTGCAGGCAGCAATTGTTGGTGAAAACATGGGTGTTAAAAGTGATTCTGGTCAAGCCTCAGATGACAATGGGAGACATATTATTAAAAACTGGAGAAAGACTATCATTGTTATACAGTGGCCAAAAACCTGGTCAAATTTTATTCTAGTGTTCTGTGGAAGGTAGGACTTGCAAACAACAAAATTGGATATATTTACCTGAGGAAGTTTCTAAGCAAAGAATTGAAACCATAGCCTGGTTTCTGTCTAATATGAAAATGTGAGAGGAGAGAGATAAAATTCAAAAAGGATTTGTTAAGCAAAAAGGAACCAGAACTTGAAGATACAGAAAAATTTTCAGGCTATACATACCGCAAAAAAAAAAAAAAAAAAAAAAAAAAAATTGAGAAAGCATTATTCTGGGAGAATATCAATGCTGGACAACCATTTGCTAAACAGATCAGGTGTGTGGTTTATGGATCCATTCAGCCCTCTCAGAAGAAGTCAGCAATAAAAATGAGATCATCAAGGAAAGATCTGTGGAAAACTCTTGTCTGGTGGCTTTGACCCACATAGATCGCATGGGACAAAGTTTTTGAGACCTTTATACCAGAGGAAATGCTGTGCTAGCTTGAATTGATTGGAACAGAGATGGGACAAAATGAATGAAGGATGTCAGACTTCTGAGAATCCACAGGATGGGCCAATAGAGCTACATGGATATAAACATGATATTCTGCAAGAAAAAGGAATAATGACCCCAAAATTGGTTCAGGGGTTGACAGGAATGGCACTATAACTAGGGGGTAGAGGGCACAGGCTACAGAAGTAAGGCTGTCTCCTCCTCAGTTACAGAGAGCCAGACACCTCCACTCAGGGCTGAGGGGGTAGAGTTGCAATCCTATTGGGTCCAGAGGACAGGGCATTAATCCAAAGCCTTAAAACCTAATGATATTTGTCCTGCTAGGGTTACATCTTGCTTGGGACCCATGACCCATTTCTCCTTTCCAGTTTTTCCCTGATTAAGAATGTCCATCCTATGCCTGTCCCACCATTGTGACTTCAAAGCAAATAACTTGTCTGATTTCTCAGCCTCACAGATGAAGAAAAATTTTGCCCCTGGATGAGTCACACTTTGTCTCCCTCACAGTTGACTCAGATTATATTTAGAGGTGATTTGGACTAGTTGATACTGAAATGGGCTAAGATTTGGGACTGTTAGAAAGAAGTAAACATATTTCGCATGTGAGAAAGGCCATGAATTTTGAGAATCCACATGGTGGAGTGTTATGGTCTGAATTGCACCTCAGAAAAAATGCATATGTTGAAGTCCTAACCCCCAGTACACTTCAGAATGTCACTGTATTTAGAGACAATCATTGAAAGGTAAAATGAGGTTGTTAGGGTGGTTCCAAATCCAGTATGACTGGTGCTCTTATAAAAAGAGGTTATTAGGACACACATATGCACACAGAGGGACAACCATATGAAGACACGGGGAGAAGACAGCCATCTACAAGAAGAGAGGAGCTGACACCTTGATCTTGAGATTTCAGCCCATTTCTGAGAAATTAAATCTCTGTTATTTGAGCCACACTGTCTGCCGTGCTTTGTTACGTTAGCCTGAGCAGATGAAGACAATACTCCTTTAGAAGCTTGGAATGACCACAAGGATCAATCAAAACACTCACCAGACTGAAGAGGGGCCTGGCCTAAGCCATTGCTATGTCTGTCAAAGGACATACATTTCCTGACCTCCGTGCCTGGGGCCCAAGAGCTGGTGGACATCCACAGGCCCTTGCAAGATGGCAGGGGCCCCAGACAGCTCTCCTGGACCCTGACACCTGTCTGCTGCTCTCCCTGTCCTGACCCCTGGGGTCTGTATGCCCAGGCCCTAGATTAGGTCATCCAAGTGGGTTCTCAGTGTGCATTTGTGGGATGGACCACACAGATGAGTGACTGAATAAAATGTCAATGACACTGAGAGACACTGGGAGAGCACAGACCATGTGGGTTAAGTTGGGGAAGACAAAAGTCATTCAGGTGGTCACATGTGGTCTTTACCCCTGACAGTGAGCGTGGCCGAGGTCCTCTCCTGCTCACATATGCACGAGTATTCTCCAGCATCTGCTATGACCAGGCCACGAATCTGCAGCTGACACCTGGTCCCATCCTGCTTCAGGCTGTATCTGTCCCCATCTTTGAGGGTGTTGGGCCCCTTTCTCCACTCCACTGGGGCCGCCTTTCTTAGCTTACATTGCAGTGTGACTGTAGTCCCTTCTGTGGCCTTCTGACTTCTCATATCCTCTATGAATCTGGCAGGCAGGGCTGAGAAGTACCAAACAGTCACTGATATCATCAGGCTGTCTGGAGGATTTTTTGGACAGAACATGGACACCAATAACGAGCCACACAAGCCACCAAAGGACCACAGCAAGATGAGCAATATACAAACAATGAGAAGTCAAATGGCCCAGGAGGCACAGAGAACACACAGGGACATGCATGAGCAGGACATCTCCTGATGAGAAGGGGAGGCAGGAGAAACCTAGAGGGTCCCAGTTCGAGGACAGACAATCACAGGGTTTCCACAGGAGCTCTGCCACATTTGGAGGCAGAAGGTGGTGACACAGAGAGGTGTACACACCAAGCCACAAGCCCACATGGCCACACAGGATCTTTACCCCTGACAGTGAGTGTAGCTGAGGTCCTCTCCTGCCCACACACGCAGGAGTACACCCCGGTATCTGCCATAGCAAGGCCATGAATCTGCAGCTCACACAAAGCCCCTTCTTGTCTCAGGCTATATTTGTCCCCATCTCTGAGAGCCTCGAGGCCTTTCCTCCACTCCACCGGGGCTGCCTTGCTCAGCTCACATTGCAGTGTGGCTGTGGCCCCTTCCATGGTCTCTTCATTCCTCAGACCCTCTGTGAACTTGGCGGGCAGGGCTGGTGGAGGGATCAGAAAGACATGGACACAATTACACTGAGCACATGAAAAAGACAGGACATGGATGGCACAGAGAAGACACAAACCCCAACTGGACACAGACCACATGCAGGGTATGCCAAGCACAGGCTGTAGATTCCCTCTGTTCAGCCTGGTAACATCACAGTCATGGCCCCTTCGTGGGCTCCTCAGGTCTCAGAGATAATATGAATCTGGCATGCAGGGCCAGAGAGAGTCAGAAAACACAGAGAACATTAAACTCCTTGGAAAGCGCTGGTAGACAGGACATGACAAAATGAAAGAAAGACACAATCCAATAGGACAGGGCCCACAGTATCACAGGAGTGGGAATCTGGATGTAGATGAGTTTCTTCTGGTTCCTTCAGCAGCCCAGGAAGCTGGAAGGGATAGCGTGGCATGATGTGAAGAGTGTGGCAGTCTGGGGGAGACCATGCAATGGGCAGAGATTGACGGCAGGAAGTGAACAACTGGACACCAGAACACAGATCTGGACACATGGACTTTACCCCTGATGGTGAGCATGACCGAGGTCCTCTCTTGTCCACATATGCATGAGTATTCCCCAGCATCTGACACAGACAGGTCATGGATCTGCAGCTCACACTTCGTCCCATCCTGCTTCAGGCTGTATCTGCCCCCATCTCTGAGGGTCTCAGGACCCTTCTTCCATTCCACAGGGGCCACCTTGCTCAGCTCACACTGCAGTGTAGCTGTGGCCCCTTCTGAGGCCTCCTTGGTCTTCAGATCTTGAGTGAATCGTGCAGGCAGGGCTAGGAAGGGTCACATGGACAGAAGCCATCAAATCCACTGGAGGATCTGAGGGACACAACCTGATTATCCAGGAAGGAAACAGAAGCAGATCTCGAGGACATGGGATAAGGTGGACCAAAGACTGTGCGAGACTGAGGTCTTCCTGTGTTCTGCCTGTGAGGTGCAGATTGACTGGGAGATGGGCTCCATCCTGGATCTATTCTCAAAGGACATCTTGTCCTACCCATGTCCTATCGTTACTAGGAAGCAAGACAGGCTCCTCCAACTTCCACATATGCAATAATGTGACACATCTCTCTCTTCTCTCTCTCCAGTCTCACAGGAGGCACCTCCTTGTCCTGACACCTGCTTCCCCATTCTCATACAGGAGATACCCATCCCAGGCAGGGCTTCCATCCAGCACTACTCATGCATGGGCATACCTTGGCTCACTGCCAACCATACCAGCCCACACAAGGACCTGCTGTCTCCACCTCACTGCTCCTGTCCTGACTTTACTGGATACACATTGCCTTGGCTCAATCACCAAAACCCCCAACAGACTCCAGATATGGCTTCTACACCACACCTCTGACCCTTCAACCTGCTGTCCTCTCTTGCTTCCCGGCTCTAGGTAGAGTGAGAGCTCACAAAGTACAATGGAGCAAGCCCCACCCTGGTTATCCCCTGTTATGGTCTGATTGTGTCCCCCTAAATTCATACGTTCAAACCTAACCTCTGGAACCTCAGAGCGTGACTGTATTAAAGATAGGGCCTTTAAAATGGTAACTAAGGTTAAATGAGGTTGTTAGGGTGTGCCCAAATCCAATATGACTGGTGTCCTTATAAAAAGAGGATATTAGGACACAGAGACACACTGAGGGGTGACCACGTGAAAAAACAGAAGACTGCATCAACAAGCCAAGGAGAGAAGCCTCAGAGGAAGTCAACCTAATAACACTTCACCTCAGACTTCTAGTCAGAAATCTAACAGAAATATTGGTACCAGGAGTAGGGTGCCATTGTAACAATTATCTAAAAATGTGGAAGTGGAAATCTAGATTGCTGTGAACAACCTGTTCATGTAAAGATGGACATTAAAAATGCTTCTGGTCAGACCTTAGATGGAAATAAAGAACAGGTTATTGGAAAGTGGAGGAAAGGTGATCCTCGTTATTACGTGGCAAAGAACTTGTCCAAATTGTGTTGTTGTGTGTAGAAGGTAGGACTAAGAAACAATAAAATTTTGCATGTTTAATTGAGGAAATTTCTAAGTAAAGTGTTGAAGGTGCAACCTGTTTTCTCTTTGCTGCTTATTGTAAAGTGCAAGAGGAGGGAAATAAATTGAAGAAGGAATTGTAATTAAAAAAGGAACCAATACTTAAAGCTTTGGAAATTTTTCAGCCTAACCACATGGTAAAAAATGAGAAACTGTGTTCTGAAGAGAACATCAAGGGTGTGGCTAGACGACCATTTGCTAAAGCACCAGGTGTGCAATTTATGGATCCAATTAGTCATCTCAACAGAAGCCAGGAATAGAGATGCAGTTATCTGGAAAAGCCTCTTGTCTGATGGTGTGGACCTCCATGAATTGCATGGGAGGCCAACTCACTTTTTGATAATCTTATACCAGCAGATTGGAGTGAATTGGATTGAGGTGGGATAAAATGAAGGAAGGCTATCGGACTTCCGGGATTCACCAGGATGAGCTATTATCACTATATGGCTGCAAACATGTCTTATCCTTCAAAATAAAAGAATGGCTCCAAAGGCATCAGCAGGGCTGTCACTGCCACTAGAGGTCCAGGGATCACGACCACCTCTTCCCAGAACAGAGGGGGAAGAGGTTGTTACCCAAGGATGAGTGGATAAGATATTACCCAGGTCTGAGAGATTGGGGACAATACTCTGGTTGGCATGGAGGACTGGAATTAAGTCAAAGAGAATTACTTTTCAGGCTTTTAGAAAAAAAGTAGAGATGGGGTCTCACTGTCACCCAGGCTGGAGTGCAGTACAATTATAGCTCACTGCAGCCTCAAACTCCCAGGCTCAAGTGATCTTCATGCCTCAGCCTCCCCAGTAACTGGAACCCCAGGTGTGCACCACCACATCTAATACTTTTTTTTTTTTTTTTAGAAAAAGGGTCTTGCTATATTTTCCAGACTGGTCTAGAATACCTGGCCTCAAGTAATTCTCCTGCCTCGGCCACCCAACGTGCTAGGATTATAAATGTGAGCCACTGTACTGAGTTACCAGCCTTAAAATCTAGTGAAATTTGCTCTGCTAGGTTCAGACCTGCATAAGATCCATGACCCATTTTTTCTTTCCAACTTCCCCTCTTTTGAACAGGAATGTCTATCCTATGCCTGCACCACCATTGAATTTTTGAAGCACAAAACTTGTCTGGTTTCATGCTTCACAACTGAAGAAGAATTTTGCCTCAGAATGAGTCATACTTCACCTCCCTCACGCTTGACTTAGATGACATTCAGATGAGATTCTGATTTTGAGTTGATGCTGGAATGGGTTAAGATTACGGGCTGTTAGGAAGGAGTAAATGTATTTTGTATTTTGCATGTTAGAAGGTAATTAATTGTGGGAAGCCAGAGGGCAGAATGTCATGGTCTGAATTGAGTCCCCTCCCCAAATCCGTATGTTGAAATCCTAACCCCTAGTACTTCACAATGTCACAGTATTGAAATAGGATCTTTGAAAGGTAAAATGAGGTTGTTAGGGTGGGCCCAATCCAATATGACCAGAGAGTATCTACAAGCCAAGAAAAGAGGCCTAAGGAGAAACCAACTGAGTGACTCTTTGATCTTGGAATTTCAGACTCCAGAAGTCTGAGAAAATAAGTATCTGCTGTGAAGTTACCCAGATGTAGTGCTCTGCTGTGTCCGCCGAGCAGACAAAGGCAGCAGTCCTTCAGGACCCTGGCATGACCACAAGAACCACTCAAACACTCTCAGCAGATTTAGTGGAGCCTGGCCTGACCACCTCCTCAGTGAGCCCCCAACCCTACTGTGCATGTCCTTCAGCAGAAACACAGGCCCTCACCTCTAGGCCTGGGTCCCCAGAGCCTGCGCACATGTGCAAGCCCCAGCAAGATGCCAGTGGCCTCAGACAGTTCTCCTGGACCCTGACGTCTGTCTGTGGAGCTCTCCTTTGGGTCCCTGCCCTATTCACTCTTGAAGTCCATATTCCCAGGCCCTAGATTAGGTCATCCAAGTGGGTTCCATGTGCATTTGTGGGATGTATCACACAGGGGAGTGACTGAATGAGTCACTTGAGGCATTGTCTTGAGGCAATGACATCAACAGGCATTGGGAGAGCACAGAACATATGGGTTAGGCGGGAGGAGACAGGAATCACTCAGGTGGCCATATGTGGTCTTTACCCCTGATGGTGAGCGTGGCCGAGGTCCTCTCCTGCCCACACACACACGAGTACTCCCCAGTGTCTGCCACGGACAGGCCATGAATCTGCAGCTCACATCTGGTCCCGTCCTGCCTCAGGCTGTATCTGTCCCCATCTCTCAGGGTCTCAGACCCCTTCCTCCACTCCACGGGGTCCGCCTTGCTCAGCTCACACTTCAGCACGGCTGTGGCCCCTTCTCTGGCCTCCTGGTTTTTCACATCTTCTATGAATCTGGCAGGCAGGGCTGGGAAGGACCAAGCAGTCACTGAGATTATTAGACCGTCTGGAGGACTCTGTGGACAAGACATGGACACCCACAAGGAGCCACACAAACCATCAAAGGACCACACGTGAAAGAGCAAACAAACGTACACATGGGGAGGAGGTAAATGGCCCCAGAGGAACAGAGAACACACAAGCAAAAGGATATGAGCATGAGGACACCTCCTGGATAAGAAGGGAGGTGAGAGATGCCCAGAGGACCCCAGTTAGAGGACAGACAACCATGGGGTTGCCACAGAACCATGCCACATTCGAAGGCAGAAGGTGGTGACAACAGAGATGTGGAGACACTAAGCCATGGTCCACATAGCTACACATGATCTTTACCCCTGACAGTGAGTATGGCTGAGGTCCTCTCCTGCCCACACACACACGAGTACTCGCCGGCATCCACCACAGCCAGGCCACGGATCTGCAGCTCACACCTGGACCCATCCTGCTTCAGGCTGTGTCTGGCCCCATCTCTGAGGCAGTCATGCCCCTTCCTCCACTCCACCGGGGCCACCTTGCTCAGCTCACACGACAGTATGGCCGTGGCCCCTTCTGTGGCCTCTTCATTCCTCAGACCCTCTATGAACTTGGAAGGCAGGGCTGAAGAGGTCAAAAGACACAGATATAATCATATTCTCTGAGCACATGGAAGAGATAGGAATGACATGGATGGCACAGACAAGACACAGAACCCAACTAGGCACAGGCTGCATGGGGGTGTGCTGAGCACAGGCTGTGGACTGGGACTTCTCTCAGTACAGGCTCTACGCACATGGCCACAGCCCCTCCTGTGGCCTCCTCACATCTCAGCCTTTATTGGAATCTCTGGCACCCAGGCCCAGAGAGGGTCAGAAACACATGAAGAACATCAGGGGACTGAATGTGACAGGATGGAAGACACAGAATCCAACGTGACAATGTTGACAGAGTCCTCAGAGGCACACAGTGGGAGCCGGCTAGAGAGGCTGCTTCCTCCTGCTTCCTACAACAGCCCTGGAGGCTGGAAGAAGCTTGTGCAGTTACACAGGCAGGCACAGACATGGGGAGAGAACGCAGCATGGGCAGAGACAGATGGCGTCAAGTCAACATGTGGACACCAGAGCATGGCGCTGCTTGGCCGCGTGTGGCCTTTACCCCTGACGGTGAGCATGGCTGAGGTCCTCTCCTTCCCGCACATGCACAGGTACTCCCCAGCATCCTCTGCCACCAGGCCGCGGATCTGCAGCTCACACCTGGCCCCGTCCTGCATCAGGCTATGTCTGTCTCCATCTCGGAGGGTCTCATGCCCCTTCCACCACTCCACAGGGGCCACCTTGCTCAGCTCACACCGCAGTGTGGCCGTTGCCCCTTCTGTGGCCTCTTCATTCCTCAGACCCTCTGTGAACTTGACGGGTAGCGCTGGAGGAAGATCAGAATATATGAACACAATCATGCTCTCTGAGCACATGGAAGATACAGAACATGGATGGCAAAGAGAAGACACAGAACCCATTTGGACACAGGCCACATGTGGGGTGTGCTGAGCACAGGCTGTGGACTGGGGCTTCCCATGCTCCAGCCTGTCAGCACTGTAGCTGTGACTCCTTCCATGGCCTCCTGAGTCCTCATACTTTATGTAACTCTGGCTGCCAGAGCCAGAGTATGTCAGACACACACAAGGACCATGAGAGCCTCTGGAGCACTCTGGGGGGAAGGACAGGACAGCGTGAAGGGCAAGGTACAGAAGCCAACAGGACAACATGATGGAGCCCATCCTTGTAGGCACATGGGGTGGAAGCTGGCTGCAAGGCTGGTTTCTCCTGGTTCCCACAATAGCTCTGGAGGCTGGGGGAGACCCTGCAGAGTGATGGGAACAGGGTGGCACAGATGCAGGGAGAGCACATGGTGTGAGTACAGACAGATGGCATGACATCAATACATGGACACCAGAATATGGCTCTCCTTGGCCACATGTGGCCTTTACCCCGACAGTGAGCATGGCCGAGGTCCTCTCCTGCCCACACACACACGAGTACTCCCCAGTGTCTACCATGGACAGGCCACGAATCTGCAGTTCACATTTGGTCCCATCCTGCCTCAGGCTGTATCTGTCCCCATCTCTGAGGGTCTCAGACCCCTTCCTCCACTCCACAGTGGCTGCATTGTTCAGCTCACACTGCAGCATGACTGTGGTCCCTTCTCTGGCCTCCCGGTTTTTCACATCTTCTATGAACCTGGCAGGCAGAGCTGGGAAGGACCAAGCAGTCGCTGAGATCATCAGACTGTCTGGAAGACTCTGTGGATGGGACATGGACACCCACAAGGAGCCACACAAACCACCAAAGGACCACATGTGAAGCAGCAAATAAACATTCACATGGGGAGGAAGCAAATGGCCTGGGAAGAACAGAGAACACAAAGGGATCAGCATGAGCATGAGGACACCCCCTGGACAAGAAGGGTAGGCGGGAGACAACCAGAGGACCTCACTTGGAGAAGAGACAACCCCAGGATTGCCACAGGGGCTGTGCCACATTGGAAGATGAGAATGACATGGTGACATGTAGATACCAAGCCACGGGTCCACAAGGCCACACACGATCTTTACCCCTGATGGTGAGCGTGGCTGAGGTCCTCTCCTGCCCACACACACACAAGTACTCCCCGGCATCCGCCATGGCTAGGCCACAGATTTGCAGATTCACACCTGGTCCCCTCCTGCCTCAGGATGTATCTGTCCCCATCTCTGAGGTTCTTGGGCCCCTTCCTCCACTCTACAGGGGCCACTTTGCTCAGTTCACACCACAACATGGCTGTGGCCCCTTCCACAGCCTCTTCATTCCTCAGACCCTCTGTGAACTTGGCCAGCAGGGCTGGGGGATCAGAAAGAGATGGCCACAATCACACCCTCTGAGCCCACAGAAGAGACAGGACATGGACAACACAGAGAAGACAGGGAAGCCATCTGAACACGGGCCACTCCTGGGGTGTGCTGAGTACAAGCTGTGCACCGCGGCTTCCCACGGTCCAGCCCGTTAGCATCACGGTGTGGCCCCCTCTGAGGTGTCCTCAGGCCTCATACTTTCTATGAACCTAGCTGGTAGGGCTGGAGAGGCCACAAAGACCATGAGGCCCTCTGGAGACACCTTGGGACACTCAGCAAGGACACACTCCAACTATGGAGGAAACTAGGAATTAAAGCATGGACACATGGACGTGAAACAGTGCCCTGGGAGCAGAGAACAGATTGGCCATGGACATGCAGGGGAAAGCCGCCCAGGACACAGAGGAGCTGGAATCCTAGCGGGGACCCCAAGATGATGGCAGACACATGCAGTGGCCACAAGACCCACGACATGGGGAGGAAGAGACAGAACCAAACAGGATCTCCCCATCCCCAAGGTCTTCTGCAGCCCATCCTGGCTCAGACTGAATCTGTCATCACGCTCAAGGGCCCAAGACCAGCCTGGTGGCTCAGTTACACTATACTGTGGCCCAGGCCCCATTCTGTGGCTCCCTATTTTATAGCTCCTTCATAATTTTTTTCTTCTTTTTCAGACAGGGTCTCAGTGTTGCCTAGGCTGGAGTGCAGTGGTGCCATCACAGCTCACTGCAGCCTCAAACTTGTGGCCTCAACCAACCCTCCCACCTCAGCCTCCTGAGTAGCTGGGACCACAGATGTGCACCACCACAACCAGCTAATTTTCATATTTTTTGTAGAGATAGGGTCTCCCTGGGTTGCCCAGGTTGGCCTGGAACTCTTGAGCTCAAATGATCCTCCTGCCTCGGCCTCCTAGAGTGCTGGGATTACAGGTGTAAGCCACCGTGCCCAGCCTCATGAGCTTGATGAATAGCTGGAGGAAAAAGACACAAAATCAGCTGCCTAAAAATCTCCCACAAAATCATCCAGGCTCCTGCTTCTCATCAGTTCCTGCTGCTCCTGTGGCCAGAGCCCAGGGCAGACAGGGAATAAGGAGCCTGCTGCTGGGAGAAAGGAGGGTGCCACCCTCCACCTTGACCATCACCCTGTGTTCATGATGCAAGCAAGAACCCCACGCAACAGGTGCCTTGGTGCATGGGTCCAGCAGATAAGAAATGACCAACCGAATACATGAAGGAACGGTCCACCTGGACATGCCCTGTATGCAGGAGATAGCCATGGACCACAGGGACAGACGAGGGCCACTGTCTCCTGTGCACTGAAGCTGGGTGGCTTCCCAGCCCACCAGATGGAGACTGGTGCCTCAGAGTGCCCAGCTGCATCCCCTGGACGCCCCCGGGGAACTGCAGCTCAGAGCATCCTTGGGGCTTCGGGGTCCAGTGGAAACTTCCAGCATGCAAGGGTGCCCTCTAAGGAAGCACAAGAGGGGGTCCAGCAGGGCACCCACCACCTGAAGCTTCCCTGGAACTCGTCCACTTCTGGAAGCAACTGTCTCAGGCAGCCGGCAAGGGTCCACTCTGGTCATCTGCTCTTCAGCCACCCGTCTGAGGAGGCACTGGCATCCAGACAGCCATGCCTGGCCCCCAGAACCTGCCCCTTCACTGGCCTGAGGGATCCCTCCTTGCGGTGTGACGGGAGCCCACCAGAGTCCTGGGCAAGAAAGTCCTCGAGCTTGGGAGAGTCCTTCCCTGCATTCCCTCTAAGGTGCTCGGGCCCTCTACCTGGGCCGACTTTATCCCATGTGCTTTCCCTGACAGAATCAAGCCAGGCCAAGGCCCCGAGCACCTGCACACGTCACACCACACCACCAGCCACACCGGGCCATGGGTCCCAGCTCCACAGACACAAGAGGCCAGGCCTGCAGGGCTCTGTCCCTTCTGCTAACACTGGTGGCTTGAGGCTGGAAACCTCTCCTTGCTGTGACTGAGAGGTTCAGGGCCCAGGGTGAGTTCTGCAGCCTCATGTCCCTAGGGAACTCAGCCATGGCTGAGATCCACTCCCACCCCCCACACATGACGACACCCTAGATCCACTGCAGGCAGGCCACAGGGCTCTGGATGTCCTGTCCTGGTCAAAGCCCCCATCTTGGGTCGTCTTGGGCCCCTTCCTCCACTCCACACAGCTGCTCTGCTTGGCTGACGCACGAAGAGTCACTATGGCTGCTCCTCCCCACAGTCACCCCCATCACCTCCTCCCCACAGTCACCCCCATCACCTCCTCCCCACAGTCACCCCCATCACCTCCTCCCCACAGTCACCCCCATCACCTCCTCCCCACAGTCACCCCCATCACCTCCTCCCCAGTTCACCCTTCACCTCCCTCCCCAGTCACCCCCATCACCTCCTCCCCACAGTCCCTCCCATCACCTCCTCCCCAGTCACCCCATCACCTCCTCCCCCACAGTCACCCCCATCACCTCCTCCCCACAGTCACCCCCATCACCTCCCCCCCACAGTCACCCCCATCACCTCCCTCCCCACAGTCCCCCCATCACACCTCCTCCCCCAGTCACCCCCATCACCTCCCTCCCCCACAGTCACCCCCATCACCTCCTCCCCACAGTCACTCCCATCACCTCCTCCCCAGTCACCCCATCACCTCCTCCCCACAGTCACCTCCATCACCTCCTCCCCACAGTCACCCCCATCACCTCCTCCCCACAGTCACCCCCCATCACCTCCTCCCCACAGTCACCCCCATCACCTCCTCCCCACAGTCACCCCCCATCACCTCCTCCCCACAGTCACCCCCATCACCTCCTCCCCAGTCACCCCATCACCTCCTCCCCACAGTCACCCCCATCACCTCCTCCCCAGTCACCCCCATCACCTCCTCCCCACAGTCACCTCCATCACCTCCTCCCCACAGTCACCCCCATCACCTCCTCCCCACAGTCACACCCCCATGCCTCCTCCCCACAGTCACCCCCATCACCTCCTCCCCACAGCTCATCACCTCCTCCCCACAGTCACCCCCATCACCTCCTCCCCACAGTCACCCTACCTCTCTCCTCCTCACAATGGACCCTCCCCTCCCTGGCTGTGCACTCCAGCCCACGTGCCATCTCCCCACTCCTTTCTGTGTTCCATTTCTGGGGCTCCTGATGATTGCCTTCCTGCCTTCCTGGTGTTAACCCTGGAGAAGATCTATGATCTCACTTTTGTAATGATTTGGTTCTCCTCATATCCTCTGTCTCTGCCTACAACCCCACAGGGCTCAAGCAGCCCTCTCTTCTCTGCTGTCTTACTGCTCCTAAGACGGGTAACACGCAGCAGGTGTGAGGAATCCCTACTGAAGGAATGAAGGAACCACATGCAGAAACAGGGAAGGCCATAGCGCAGACATGGGCACAGGGCAGGAATGCGCATACCCACTCGGACACAGCCACCCATGCACGTGGCCAGAGGCAGTCATTACCCTTCACGGTGAGAGTGGCAGAGGTCCTCTCCTCCCCACACACACAGGAGTACTCCCCAGCATCTGCCACGGCCAGGCCACAGATCTGCAGCTCACACACAGCCCCATCCTGCCTCAGTCTGTGTCTGTCCCCATCTCTGAGGCTCTCACGGCCCTTCCTCCACTCCACGGGGGCCACCTTGCTCAGCTCACACCGCAGTGTGGCTGTGGCTCCTTCTGTACTCTCTTGGTGTCTCAGTCTTCCTATGAAGTGGGCAGGCATGGCTGGGGAGGGATGGACAGACAGACATGTAGGAGATCAGACTCTGGGAAGCACAGGGGGACAGGCAATGGCGAGATGGAGGATAAGACAGACTCCCACAGGACAGGTCCCAGGGTGCCTCGAGGGTGGGAGTCTGGCTGCAAATGCCGGGTTCTCCTGGTTCCTTCAACAGTCCAGAAAGCTGGAAGGGATTCCGTGATGTGCTGGGAAGGGCATGGCACAGCTGGGGGAGACTGGAATTGGTGCAACTGACAGCAGAGGTGAAGAACTGGACACTGGCCACGACTCTGGACACAGGGTCTTACCCCTGATAGTGAGTGAGGCTGAGGTCCTTTCCTCTCCACACACACACGAGTACTCCCCAGCATCCACCATGGCCAGGCCACGAATCTGCAGCTCACACATGGCCCCGTCCTGCCTCAGGCAATATCTGTCCCCATCTCTGATGGTCTCAGACCCCTTTCTCCACTCCACGGGGGCCGCCTTGCTCAGCTCACACCTCAGCGTGACTGTGGCCCCTTCTGTGGCCTCCTTGTTTCTCAGTTTCCCGATGAACTGGGCAGGCACGGCTGCAGGAAGGTCAGACACAGAGAGCATCGTCTTTGCTCCCCTGCATTGGAGGAAGTGGCATCTTTGGGCCACATGGGCAGGGTGAATAGAGATGCTTACCAGTCACCGTGAGGGTGGCAGAAGTAGTCTGGTCCCCGAAGGAGCATGAGTACCGCCCGCTGTCCTGCGGCCGGAGGTTGCGGACCACCAGCTCCAACACAGCACCTTCCTGGCGTAGGCTGTATTTGTCACCTGGCCTCAGGACATTGTCTCCACAGCACCATTCCACGGGCGCAGCCACAGACGACAGCACACAGCGCAGTGTGGCAGCACCACCCTCCCGCACCTCCAGGTCCTTCAGGGCCTCCTGGAACCGCACTGGTCGGGCTGCAGACAGGCACAGGCTCAGCTCGCCCTCCCCCGACTGGTCCACTAGGGGTCCCCTATAGGTGGTGGAGGGCTAGGGACATCAGCTGCAGGGTCCCCCTTCTCCTTTGGGGCCTGTGGCAAGGACCTCGAGACTTCTGGAAAGGGGCAACTCTGAGGGTGAGGGATAGAAAGGGTGAACCAAGCAGGAGAACAGAAGGGTGGGGTGTCAGGGACCTGTGCCCCCAAATTCACAGTTGGAGGCCCTAGCCCAGACCTCAAAGCGTGGTTGTGATGAGGGAAGTAAGGTCAAATGAGGTCACGGTGGGCCCTAAGCCACTGTGGCTGGCGCCTCCTAAGATGGGAGGTCAGGGACACAGGCATGCACAGAGGGACAGCCCTTCAGGGACGCAGAGGAGACAGCTTTGCAGGGCGGCTCCTGCGGGTGGCAGAGGCCAGAGCGGAAGCCAAGCAGGGTGGATGAGGTGCCAGGGAGAGCCAGGAAGGACACGGGGAGCTGTGGGCACCCCATACAGGATGCACAGGAGCCTGGGTCCTCCCACCTTGGGCTCCTTGTGGGCGCACATGCCCTGCCCTGAAGACGGTGCTGCCTGAGAAGAGAGCTGTAGGCACCTGGCCTGTGGCTGGGCTTTGGGGCTGCTGGGGCTCACCGTGCACCCTGACAATGGAGCTGCTGCAGGCACCCCCAGTCTCACACTTGTAGCGTCCGCTGTCCTGCAGGGTGGCCCCAGTGATGAGCAACTGGGCTCGGTGGCCCTCGTGGCTCAGCTGATACCGGGCAGATCCCCGCAGGGTCTTCCCATCCTTGGTCCAGCACACAGGGCTGTCGCAGGCACTGGTCTCGCACACCAGGGTCAAGTCCTCACCCTCTGTGATGGTGGCATCTGTGAGCTCCCGGGAGAAGACACTTGGCTTACCTAGGGGACAGAGAGAGAAGCAGGAGCATGTGGGATCCTGTCGTGCTGCTGCTGGAGGGGCCAACAGGGACAAACCCTGGATCTCACTGTGGACCAGGCAACACCCTGGCTCAGCACCCACCAGTCACCCTCACGCTGGGGCCACGCAACAGGCTGCGGAGGGAACAGGGAAGGCTCTGTGCGGCTCCTGCCCCAGTGGGGATGCAGCCTGGCCAGCGCACACCAAGAACAGTTCTGCAAACCATGCAGAAGCATTCATTCTGAAAGCCCAATTCAGCCTTTCGAGCCCCCACCCCACAGTCAGCCAAGGGTGCTTTCTCTGTGTGCCCAGGGATACTAGGCACATGGCTGAGCTGCCATCCGCCTCTCCACCTGTCTGCAGCTCTGAGCAACATGTGCAACGTGGGCATGTAACCCACCAGTGACCCGCAGGGCGGCTGAGGCCCTCTGGTCACCCGCCTCGAAGTAGATGGTGCCCGAGTCCTTGAGCGCCAGCTGCCGCAGGGTCAGCACGTGGTAGCCCCCAGGCTGGGCCTCGATCTCATTGAGCTCGTTGGCATGCAGGGGTGTCTTATCCAGGAACCAGTGCACAGGCTCGTAGTTGGCCGGGGAGATCCGGCAACGGAAGGTGGCCGAGGAGCCCTCCTGCACATCCACGTCCTCCAGGTCCTCGATGATGTGCACTCTCCGGCCTGCAAAGGCACAGCGTCCTGGGCAGGCTCAGCCAGCAGTGCTTCCCAGGACAGACACTCCCCAGGACAGAGCAAGGTGTCTGTGTTTTAACAAGTTTGCAGGGACAGAACTCTGAAAACAGTAAGTGGGTCAGAGTTTGAACGGTCCAGATACTTGTTTGAGGGCCACTCGGAGCCCCGAGTCCACCTCTCTGCACCTTGGAGGTCCTTCTGCAAGGCTTGCTGGGTGAGTCTGCAGCCTGCTGAGAACCCAGGAGAGCACACTTCTGCCCCCTATCCAAGCTGTGCTCCCAGGAGCGGTTGGCTCCCAAACCTGCATACACAGCTGTGTGTATCATTACAATTATGCCATGAAATTAACTCTTGTAGTAACAGATGAAAGAGGAGTGTGGAAAAAAACCGGCTATAGTTATGCTGAAATTGAAATCAAATGCTTGGAAGATAAGAAATGTGAATTCCTAGAAACGAGGTTTTTTGGCTGCTGAATTAGGGATGGTAAAAGATGAGTGTTTACGAATATCGAGATAGGTCCTGCATTCAGATTCCTTCTGCATGCATAAGTGTCCTGCAGGCATAGCTCCACCTCAAAGAAGGCAACCCCAACCCGGGCAATCCACATGGATGAAGAGCTCTCATCAGTGGATGGCACACAAGGAAATGGCTTGGGCCCCTGACCAGGCCGGCCAACATCCTCATACGTTAAACTTTTATTTTATTTTATTTTTTTAGAGATGGAGTCTTACTCTGTCTCCCAGGCTAGAATGCAATGGCACGATCTTGGCTCACTACAACCTCCGCCTCCTGGGTTCAAGCAACGCTCCTGCCTCAGCCTCCTGAGTAGCTGAGATTACAGGCACGTGCCACCATGCCTGGCTAATTTTTGTATTTTTAGTAGAGATGGGGTTTCACCATGTTGGCCAGGCTGGTCTAGAACTCCTGACCTCGTGATCCACCTGCCTCAGCCTCCCAAAGTGCTGGGATTACAGGCGTGAGCCACTGAGCCCGGCCATGTTAAACTTTTAAAGAGCATCTTTTGTTATCTTATGACTCTCACTCTTGACGGCTTTTTAAAAAAATTAACTACGGGTACCAACTTTATTAGATCATGGGGCTTTACTGTGTTAACAGAATGCTTTCACCACGGTCACCAAATCCATTGGAGAGGAAAAATCAGTGATGATTCCTGCTTTACATTACTTCTCATGATCACAACTGGGGCCTTTCAAATACTGAACCCTGTGAACGCCCTGTGGTCAGACCCCAGTAGGGACCCCCTGCAAACTCAGCTCTGGACACACCAGCCCGGGACTTCAGAGCCAAGTAAAGGCTGTGGTGAAGGGGCTGGGCCTCGCCTGCTCTGATCCCAGTGTGCCTGACGACCTTGCCCTGGCCATGGACCCACTAAAGCTTCAGTTTTCTTATCTACAGAGTAGGGAGAATGACAGCTGTCACTCTGCCTGCCACTCAAATGTGGAGCCAAACAGTAAGATCAAACAGCCACCTGCTATGATCTGAATGTCCCCCTGGAAACTCATGTTGAAACTTAATCCCAATGTGGTAATATTAAGAGGTGGAGCCTTCAAGAGGGGATTGGGTCCAAGGTGGGAATGGATTAATCCATTCATGGATCAGTGGGTTAACAGGTTAATGTGTTAAAGTGCTTTAATGTGAGTGGTGGCTTTAAAAGAAGATGAAGAGAGGCCTGAGTTAGCACACTCAGCCCCCTTCCCATGAGACGCCCTGTGCCACCCCCTGGGGACTCGGCAGAGAGTCCCTGCCAGCAAGAGGGCCCTCACCAGATGTGGCCTCTTGACCTTGAGCCTCCAGAGCTGTAAGAAGTAACTTTATTTCCTTTATAAATTACCCAGTTTTAGGTATTCTGTTGTAAACAAGAAAAAGACTAAAATGCCACTGTAACTCTCAATGACAACCCTAATGACCATCAGTTCTTCCCTGGGAGCACCTGAGGCTGCCTGCCACAGCTGAGTCAGGCTGTCCCTCTGGGATAAGGGTGACATGTTGTATGTACAGATACACACTGAGCTCACGCATGGGGGCCAGGCACACAGGGCATGTAGGAGAAATACACAGTGACCAAATCAACACACAAGTAAGTGAGCACCAGCAGCTCATTCACAGCCATGCTGGGGAGCCCCAGTGACCACCCAGGGTGCATCCCTCTACCCTTATGATAAGAAACTGAGGCTGGGCCTCTCCACCTCCAAGTCTCCAGTGCCGTTCAAAGCCTAGACCCGAGCACACTTGGGCGCCTCACCTTGCACTAGGAGCTGGGCCTGGGACTGGGCCTGGCCGATGTCGCAGGTATAGGTGTCGCTGTCTGCCTTCTCCAGGGCACTGATGGTGAGCTGCAGGGCCAGGCCGTCCTGGCTGGGCTGGTGCTTCCTTGAGGCCCGTAGCTCCAAGAGGCCCTTGCGCCAGGTCACTGTGGCCGCGGGGCGCTCTGTCTTGCATGTGAACACAGCTGTGCCTTTCTCCTCCACCTGCAGGTTGGTCAGCTCCTCTGTGAAGCAGTTTGCTTTTTCTGGGGCAGGGAGACGGAGGCAGAATAGATGGGGCATTAGGCCTGCACAGACCCCAGGCCGGCCCTGTTATCTTCCAGGCCTGGCTGGGGAAGCTCTGGGACCTGGGTGAGCCCTTTCACCTGGGACAGAGGAGCTCAGGCTCCAGGGGTGGCCCTGTGCCCCGCTAGGGTAGAGACGCCACTCCAGGGCCACGCGTGGGGCTCCTGCAGCATTTACCTTCCACAGAGAGGCTGGCTGTGCTCTTGGAAGCCTCCACCTCACACGTGTACTCGCCCACGTCCTTGAGCGAGGCCCCGCGGATGACCAACACAGCCATCGTGCCCTCACAGACCACATCGTACTTCTGGCTCTTGCGGATGGCCTTCCCATCCTTCAGCCAGCGCACAGGCGTGCCCGCCCGTGACAGCTCACAGCGCAGCTCCACGTCCTCCCCTGGCGCCACCCGCTGGTCTTCCAGGGGCTTCATGATGGCCACCGGCCTCTCTGAAGAGAGCAGAGACAGCTGCCCTTGAAGCACAGCCAGGGCCATGGAGCCAGCCACAGATGACTGCAGTCACGGCCCCAGCCACCATCCTGGCTACAGCCATAGCTCTACGCACAGACCCAGCCAAAACCCTACCACCTTCACCATGACCAGGATTGGGGCAAGGACAAGTGTTTGAGAACACTGATTCTCTGGTGACCAAGACAACAGAACCTGCAACCGGCACCTCGGCCCTCAGGAGCTTCAGAGTCCTGGAATATTAGTGTCCCCACTGTCACCAGGGTGTGACTCAGGAGGCAGGAATATCAACAACTACAGAATTTTATCCTCTGGCATCTTTCAGGCCCACGCTGGCATCCTCTGAGCGTGCCCCACCAAACCGCACCAAGTGTGCTCGTCAGGGGCGCGAACTCGGGCGCTGATGGTGATGTCAGCAGAGCAGGTGGCTGGGCCCTCAGGCCAGTGCTGCCAGACTGGCCCTGTGAGCCACAGCTCTGGGAGCTACCAAGTGCTCAGGGCACTCAGAACACAGAGATTGGAAAAGAATCCAGGCCTGTATCAGAGCTCAGAGAAGAGTGCAACCCCACTTCCACATGAGAACTGCCCCCAGCATCCAGCAGGTGCCTCAGGCCCTGTGGCTCCTAGAAGGGGTGCTCTGCAGCAGCTGGGGGAGGCAGGCCCCAAAAGCACCCCCACCGGCTTCTGCAGCCAGTGGGGCCCAGCTCCTGGACTCCTGGGGACAGGCCCAGGGTCCCCACTCCTCAGCCCAGGTGATAAGCCCCCGTCCGGCAGGCCCTGCCCACCTTTGACAATGAGTGAGGCCTTGGAGGTGAGGCTCCGCACAGAGAAGACCACCTCCCCAGCATCACTCGGCGCAGCCTCCCGGACCACTAGGATGTATTTTCGGCCCTGACGTGTGGCCTGGAAGCGGCTGGAGCTGCCCACCGTCTTCCCACCGACTGTCCACATGGCTGGGTCGCTGGCACTCTCATGGGACAGGACGCACTCAAAGCTGCAGCTCTCCCCCTCCAGCACCTCCACTGTCTTCAGCCTCTTGGTGATGCCCACGTGCAGATCTGCGGGCCATCGGAGACTGTCAGGCCAGGCAAGAGGACAGCACTGCCCTGGGCCAGACATAGGAAGGGCCAGATCCTGGGATGAATCAGAGCCCAAGGGACCAGACCCTGGGAGGGATCAGAGCCCACAGGGACCAGACCCCAGGAGGAGCTGGATCCCTTAGAGGGACCAGACCCTACATGGACCAAACCCTGGGAGGTGTCAGACCCTGGGAGAGGCCAGGCCCTGTGGGGGCAGGGTGCCACGTTGCACCAGCCGATGAGTAGACACCCCTCTGCTGGAGCTGGCTGTTCCCTGGCATTTGCACAACCAACAACTCTGAGCTCCAATCAGGGTAGCAGGGAGAGGGAGGACCCATGGTCGTCACAGGAAGGAGAGGAGGCACAGGACCCCATAGTCCCAGCTCCAGGACAAACTTGCCACGCCTCCTGCCCCTTCCCCATCTCGTTACAAGACTGTCAAGGACCAGCAAACAGGCTGGTTACGCCGCCTGTCACCCACACCAAGATGCCACTGGGACTGGGCACACACACACAGGGTGCCAGGTAGCCACCCTGCATTTGAGGGAACTGCCCCTGAAACACAGGACAGACTCCAGGGCATGCACACCCCCAGTGCTGCAGGGCTGGATTCAGGGATGGCTCCACCCTGTCAGCCCAGTGGCCCTGGGGCCTTGCTGGGGCCCCATGAAGGACAGAGACATGGCCTACTCACAGCCCCTGCCTGGCATCTTGGCTTCTCCCTGGCCATCCCCATTGGTGTCCCCACACTGGCCTGGTGGCTTCTGTGCAGACACATCCCCTGGTACAGGGCAACATCCCCGGGCTACGTCGGGACCACCAGGCAGGGACAGCACAGCCTCCAACCCCGGCTCCGGGACCCATCGTCCCCAGGTCCACCTGCCTGCACCCAGGCCTCACAGGACCATGTCAAGTCATGGCTCCTCTAGAAGGCTCCCCTGACCTCCCCGGCTCAGCAGAGCAGCCCTTCAATCTCAGAGAATGACATGGGCCACCCAGGTAGTGGCCAGTCCCACATCCATGCCCATCCAGCACACCTCCCTTCCCCAAGCTCCGCCATGCCCACAGCCACACACCGTGCACGCTGACCCGGGCCTGGGTCTCCTCGGAGCCCACGTGGCAGGTGTACAGGCCGGCGTCCTCGGGGCTCAGGTCATGCACCACGAGCCCCCGCGTGCCCACCGTGTGCAGGAAGTCATACTTGTCGCTGGGGCCCAGCTGCACGCCATCTTTGCGCCACACCACATGGGCCTCGGGGTCAGAGACCTCACACTGCAGGGCCAGGGTGCCGTGCTCCTCTGCGGACAGGTCATCCAGCGCCTTCAAGAACACCACCGGCTTCACTGCAGGAGGGGTAGGAGGGTGAGGGGAGCCCAGCACCTGTCCCATCCCTAGTGGGGAGCCCCAAAGACTGGTGGGATGGCTCACCTCGGACCTTCAGGTGGGCAGAGGTTGACACCTTGGGGGAGGAGGCGCATACTGTGCCTGCATCAGCACGCCGGACGCTCTTCAGTACCAGCGTGTGGCACCGGCCCCTGTGCGAGATCTCATGGAAGCTGTCGTTGTACAGGGGCATCCCGTTGAGCGACCACTCGACCTCCTCGTCCTCATGGGACAGCTCACAGGAGAAGCTGGCCCGGCCCTCCTCCATGGCCTCTGCATCCTGCAGCGGCCCTGTCACTGTCACCTCCCGTGCTGCAAGGGTCACACCAGGCCTCAGTGCCCACATCACCAGGCAACCCCTCCCCAAAACCCTCTCAGTAGCCCCGTGTCCCTCATGCCCCACCTTCCACAGTGACCTCAGTACTGCTGTGGGCGCTGCCCGCCTGGCACCGGTAGACACCAGCATCGGCAGGCATGAGCCGGAGGATGCGCAGCTCGGCCATCTGACCCTCCAGGCTCATCTTAAACTTCTCAGAGGCAGACAGGGGTGTGTCATCCTTGTACCACTGCACAGCCTTGGGGGCTGGCCGGAAGTCGCAGGACAGGACCACTGACTGCAGCTCACGCCCTGTCTTGGGCTCCAACGGCCGTGTGAGGACTACGGGAATGTCTGCAGGGAGTGGAGACAGGCTGGGCCACGGGGCCACAGGAACCAATCACCCTGTCCTGCCTGCCAAGCCCTGAGCCTGCTCACCTATGGCCCTGAACTGTGTCCTCCCCTGGCCCTGAGCCGTGTCCACTGTTCCCTGAACTGTGCCTTCCCCTGGCCCTGAGCTGTATCCTCTGTGGTCCTGAAATGCGTCCTCCCCTGATCCTGAGTGATACCCATCTGTGGCCCTGAACTGTGTCCCGTCACTGCACTGAGCCTTCTCCTCCCATGACCCTGCCCTGTACCCACCCACAGCCTTGTCCTTTTATGCCTCTGCCTCACATCCACCCACCAGGGTGGGAGTGCTCACCTGAGACCACCAGGCGGGCAGAGGAGCGAGACTTGCCGATGGTGAAGTGCACGGGCCCGGTCATGGTGGAGCAGGTCCGCCGCAGCATCAGCCGGTGCACCGTGCCCTCCTGCTCCAGGCCCACGTTCCCCCCAGCCTGCAACACTGTCTTCCCCAGGAGCCACTTAGGTGGCCGCACTGAGGGGATGGAGGTCTCACACTCAAACCAGGCAGGAGCGGGTTCCATCACCGTCACGTCCTGCAGACCCCGCACAATGGTGATGGATTGCTCTGTTGGGGAGGAGCAGTTGCTGGCGGATCCCATGGATAGGACAAGTTGCCCCTCTGGCAGGGTTCCTTCCTGGGAACAAGCCCCTGCCCCACTAGATGCATCTTAGCATCCTCCTGAGCTACCCAGACCCAGCGTCTCCAGGAGTGTAGGGCAAACCATGGACCTAGGAGACTCCCCCCAACAAAAGCAACCTGCAGAGCTGCCCTCCCTGCCTGCACCTTCCACAAAGAACTGTGCACTAGTCTTGACATCGCCGGCGTCGCAGGTGTAGGTGTCCTCGTCCTCTGCCTGGACGTCACTGATGATCAGCTTGCGGTAGAGGCCATCACTGACCAGCTCGTACTTGGGCCCGGGCCGCAGCTCCTGACTGCCCTTGAACCACCGCACCTGGGCGCTGGTCCGGGACACCTGACACTCCAATACACCGCGGTGCTTCTCCATGGCAATCTTGTCCCGCAGAGGGCGCACGAGGGTCACTGGCAGCTCTGTGAGCATAGTTGGGGCACGGGGTGGATCAGAGACGGTGCTCCAGGCTCCCAGGCCCAGCCTCCGACAAGACACTGGGTGTTTTGGGCAACCAAGGGCCCGGACCCCACTAGGCCCCAACAGCCCATGTCTGCCCGCCAGGTGACAGCAGGTGTTTAGGCTGAGTATCCCCCTTGGAGCTGTGCTACGACCTGCTCCACAGAGCAGACCACCAGCAAGGGGAGTGTGCCCGCCTCTGCCTACCCTGCCCTCCCATGTCCCACACTCCCACTTCCACCACCCAGGTCCTGCCCGCTGTCCTGGCCCACCAAGAGCAGGGTAGGCTCTGCCCCATGTAGCCCCACCCCCTGCAGTCCTCTCCCCAAGCCCCCACTTGGAACCATAACCACATACCCTAGCCCAGTCCCAGGAACTCATGTCCCCTCCCCGCACACCTCTGACTTAGCCCTACTGGCCCGTCCCCACTCCACCTGTCTGCAGAACCTCCCTCCCTGCTGCCCCAGCACCACTCTCTCTGATCCCCAATCCTCCTCCTCACTGCCACCAGGTAGAACTCCCTGCCCCCGACAACCCCCTCTCCCCCCCGCCCCACAGGGCCTCATGCCTGGCCTCTGCAGCACATGCTGCAGCCAGAGGGAGGATTCATCAGGATCTTGTTTTTAAGGAAGGGAGAAGCCCCTCATGGCCGCTTCTCTGGCCTCTATCTTCCTGCCAAGGAGGTGACAACCCCTTCCCTCCTCGTGAGTCCCTGCTGTCCTGGTCCTGAGAGCGGGCTTGGGGTGTCCGGGCCTGTGCTGAGCCAGCTGGCCACACATGCACACTGTCCAGCCTCACCCTCCCCTCAGCCCCCACCTCACCCTTCACTCGGAGCTGGGCTTGCGATTCTGCATTTTCAGCTACAAATTTGATCTCTCCTGCATCTTCCGCCAGGACCCTCCGGTAGATGAGAGTGTATGTCCTTCCTGGGGAAAAAGGCGGCTCAGTATGGGCGGGGACGGAGGAGGACCTGGGGGTTGGGCCGTGCCCACCATAGCCACTGGTCCTCGCACCTTCCTGGCGGATGCGCACGTTGTCACTGGGCCGCAGTTTGCTGCCCTCCCGGAACCACTGGCCAGGCACTTCGTCGTGGGAGACCTCACAGGAGAAGGTAGCACTGTCCTTCTCCATCACTTCCACATCCTCCAGGGACCTCACAATCTGGATGTTGCGGCCTGGGGTGGCAAGGGAGGCCCTGCCACACCTGGACGCACAGAGCCACCCTCAGCACCCCCCACCCAGTGCCCCAGCATGCCAAGGGCTGTGAAGGTGAAAGCAGAGTGGCCAAGCCCCTGGCTGGGGGACATGGAAGACAGGAGGAGGTGCCCACACCTGCCATGCCCCACATGCCCCACGCAGCTCTCACCTTGCACCTTCACAGAGGCAGAGCTCTGGGCGTCGTGGGCATCACACACATACATGCCCTGATCCGCGAACTCGCACCGGTAAATGGTGAGGCTCCTGCAGGTGCCCTGGGCCGCAATGCCCACCGTCTTGCCTGCCCGCAGCTCCACACCATCCTGTGGAACGCAGAAGCCCGGTCAGGCATACAGGTGGTTCGGCCCTGGGGTTCCACTTGGGCCTGCCCCCATGAGAGGAGGGAAGGAGGCAACAGAGTGGGGTCAGGGGGAGGCACCTTTAGCCAGCGCACATCCACATTAGGACGCGACAGCTCACACTCCAGGGTAACCTTCTCCTTCTCGGTGGTCACCACATCCTGCAGTGGGCGGCTGAAGTTCACAGGCAGCTCTGGGGAGGAGGAAGTAGGAGGTGGGAGGAGAAAAAGAGCTTGGAGGAGCCTTCAGGGTGGGGACAGGGACAAGGACGAGGGTGCGGCAGTGCCCAAGCTGGACAGTTATATGGAGCTGGCTCATCCAGGTCCCTAGAGTCCCCACCGACCTTCCCGGGGCTCCCTCGGGACAGGTAGGCATGATCTGTGCTGTGCCCTGCCGGTCCCCTCAACGCACCGGTGACCACGAGCAGTGCCGACGTGTGCACTCCTTCGGCCTTGAAGACCATAAGGCCACTGTCCTCTGGCCTCAGCTGGGAGAGTGTGAGGGTGTGTGTGGGGCCCCGCACAGCCAGGTGGCACGTGGGCCCCTCCTGGAGCCGCAGACCGTCGCGAGTCCAGCTGCCCTCCACGTCCACATGCGACAGCTGCACCTCCATGGTAGCCGTGCCCTGCTCCTGTGCCTCCACTGCCTGCAGGCCCCTGACCAGCCGTACCTGGCGCACTGCAGTGCACACGCGGGGTCACGGGTCAGCCGCTGCTCTGAGACCACCGCCTTAGAACCCTGGGGTACAACCAGCTTCCCCAGGAGCTCAGGGAGGGCCGGGGAAGCCGCCCAACGCCCACCCCCAGCGCTAGCCCCTCCGGCGGGAGACCTGCCCCTCCCCCAGCCCTAGGCCCCATCCAGAGGACCCGCCCCTCCCCTCAGTGTCCCGTCTGGCTCCTCCCTCCTCCCCTCAGTGCTCCGCATCCCTCCTCCCTCCTCCCCTCAGTGCCCCACCTCCTTTCTCTCTCTTCCTCTCAGGGCCCCTCCTCCCTCCTCCCCTTAGTACCCCGCCTGCGTCCTCACTCCTCCTCAATTCTCCGTCTCCCTCCTCCCTCCTCCTCAGTGTGCTGCCTCCCTCCTCACTCCTCCTCAATGCCCCACCCTTCCCGCCCACGACTCACTCTCCACGGTGAGTTTGGCCTGTGTCTTGTCATCCGGAGTCTCGCAGCCAAAGAAGCCACGGTCGGCAAAACCTACGTTGTGCAGAACCAGGCGGTGGCGGGTGCCCTCGGCGTGGATCTCCACGTTCTTTCCCGGCGCCAGGGCCACCGCGTTCCGTGTCCACCTCAGCTCCGGCCACGGCCGCGTCAGCTCCACCTCCAGGGTCACCGAGCTCCGCTCCTCCACCGTCTGCGGCTCCAGCTTCTTTTTGAACAGCACGGGTGCCTCTGGGGTCGCAGGAGAGGGGAGGTCATGGCAGTCCTTGCCCTCCTCCACGGGCAAGCCAAGGTACAGAGGGCCCGCCCAGCCCCCGCGCCTGCCCTGAGCCGCGCCCAGGCAGAGCTGCCCGCACGGCGCCCGGGGATCCCAATCCAAACGGCGGCGCGGCCCTGGCCACACGTGGGCGAGGAAACACTTTAAGCGAGGAAACCGGGAAGCTTCCTTAAGCCTCGCTTCTACCTCCAGCTCCCCTGTTCTGAACAAGACGCCAGGCCCTCGTGCCTCAAAATCCTAGGCGTAATCCCCACTAGTAGCACTGGTGGGAACTGCAGAGGCTGGAAGACAGAGCTCCCCCAGGGCAACGGGGGTTTAGCAAAGCCCAGGAGTCCTGCGCAGGTTAAGGAAGAGGCGCTGGCAGGCCTCTGCCTTAGGCCACCCGTGAACTCCGCAGAAGGTGAATGTACTGCATCACTCCCTTACTCCAGAACCTGCCATGACTCCCACTTCCCTTCAGAGAAAGTTCTGGCTTCTGGCTTCAGCAGCATGGGAAGCCCATGTCACTGCCTGCACTGGTGCTAACCCCACTCTCTCTTTCCTGCCATCCATCAGGCTAAGTATGCACCCACCTACTCCAGAAAGCCTCCCTGGATTGCCTCAACCTCCACCCATTCCCCACCAGGTGCACCTGCAGGATTGCATCTTCTCTATACCAAGAGAAGGCAACTGACCCATCCAGCCTACCCGAATCTCCTCTCTGCAGTCCACACACCCTGTGTCTCCTGAGATCAGCCAGATCAGCCATAACAGGACAGCAGTTCCAGGTGCCCACTCAGAACCAGCCCACAGGGGAAGTGCCTGTGCAAGGAGCCCTGGCCAGCCAGGCAAGTCCTGCTGCCCCCCACACTCACCTCGGACCCTCAGGACAGCAGAGGATGAGACGCCCTCAGCCTCCACAGTGATCTGGCCCGCGTCCTCCAGCACCAGGCCCGAGATAGTCAGGCTGTGACTGGCGCCACTCTGTGATATGGCAAACTTCTCGCTGGGCTGTAGCAGGGCACCGTCCCGGAACCACACGACTGCCGCATCACTGGGGGACACCACACACTGGAAGGTGGCCTCGCGGCCCTCCTCCGCGACCACGGCGCTCAGCCCGGACATAAACTTCACCACTCGGGGTACTGCAGACAGGAGCACTGCTTAAGAGGCGGGCGCGCAGGACCGGCAGAGCCCCCACACTGCAGGAGTGCCAAAGGCCACCTCCTCCAGGAAGCTGCCCTGGATAGAGACACCCGACCCCTTACATACCACTGACAGTGAGCTGCGCACTGGTGTGGTCATCACGGCTCTCGCATACGTACTCCCCCGCGTCCTCTGTGCGCAGATCCAACACAGTGAGCAAGCGCACAGGCCCCTTGGCCACCATCTGGAAGCGCTTGCCCACCTGAAGCTGTGTGCTGCCACAGCGCCACACCACCTCTGCACATGCTGAGCTCAGCTCACAGGCCAGTGTTACCGTGCCGCCCAGCTCACCGCACACAGGCTCCAGTGGCCGGCAGAACTTGGCGGCCACCTCTGTGGGCACGAAGGGGACATCAGCCAGGTTCCTAACAGACCAGACTTGAGCCCCAGCTTTGCCCCTGCCCAGCTCTGGGAGAGAGGGGTCTGGAGGAGTCCCCGCCCCGCGCCCAGCTCACCTTCCACCTGCACTGGGAAGTCCTGCCCCTCTGTGCCCACACGGCAGCTGTAGACGGCACTGTCCAACACCTGAGCGCCATGCACGGTCAGGGTGTGGGTGTCCCCCTGGCTGGCTGTCTCGTGCCGCTTGCTGCGGCGAATCTCCACACCATCCTTAAGCCAGGTCACCGTGGCCACAGAGGGTGTGGCCAGCGTGGCAGTCAGGACGATGTCTTCATGCTCCTTGACCACCAGAGGCTCCCTGCGGCAGGGTCTCTCTGAAATTTGGGGCTCCGGCCCTGGGTAGAGGTGAGTTGGCATGAGAGGGGGACCCTGGCATCCTTGGACCGGCCCCGCTCCCCTTCAGGGCCACCCTAATGCCACCTGGCACCCCTGATACCCATTGCTCTTCAAGGATGGCCCAGTGCAGTCCTAAGCACCATCAACCACCATCCAGAATCCCAGGGGCCATACAGTGTGGCCATCAGCTCCAGGCGAAGTGGATTTGCCACCCCAAAGCACTGACCTGCCACGTGCAGGTGGAAGGAGAGCCGCTGGCCCCCCGCCTCACAGCTGTACTCCCCAGCATCTGCCTGGCCCGCCTGCTGCACCACTAGCCTCCGTGTGCAGCCCTCGGCCTCCACGTGCACTTTCGAGCTGGAGCTCAGCTTCTTCCCATCCTTGTACCACGTCACCTCCATCTGGCCCTGGGCCACCACACAGCTCAGTGTGGCACTGGCCCCCGCCTCCGCCTGCACCACCCTGCATGCCGGCTGCTCCTTGGCAAACACCACCTTGGGCTCTGGGGATAGACAAGGAGGGATGTAGGGTTAGAGGCTCCAGAGCAGACGCAGCCCATGTGTTAGCCCAGCGACAGCCAGGCGGGGCTGTCCATCATTGAGCAGTGCACTGTGACGCACAGAGCTCCCCCCGGCACTACCAGAGCCGAAGGTCTAAGAGTGCATGTTGGCAGCACCACCATCATGTCCCTTGGGAACAGGATGCAGTCCCTTCCCTGCCCCGGTCTTCCAGGGCCCTGGGGCCCTCACCCATCGCCAGCCCTCCCCACCACATGGGGCCACAGGCAGCAGGACATGAAGGGTCAGGAGGGATGGACCAGCAACCTGGGCTGGCCCAGAGGCAGCAGAGTGTCGGGCAGGGCCACCAGAAAGAGGATGCCAAGCTGAGTGTGGTTTGTTGTCCCTGGCTCAGAGACAGGGTGGAAGGGGTCGGATGTCAGAAAGACAGGTGGACACATGGTGATGACCAAGGGGCCCAGCACAGGCTTGCAGAGATCTAGGGCCCAGAGCACAGAGACAAGCCCCCCACCACCCAGGACACGCTCTCCAGTCACTGCAGGGCCCTCCCATAGCCTAGCACCCACAGAGGAGTCAGCAGATCACATTAGACCAATCCAGACCCCAGACGCCCACCCCAAGGACATCACACCACTGTCCCCACCACCCAGACAGAGGTCATCACATCTGACTACACCTGGACCCCAGACCCCCGAGGACATCACGCTATTGTCCCTACCACCCAGACAGGGGTCCTCACATGAGACCAGACCCCAGACCCCCACCCCAAGGACATCATGCTACTGTCCCTACCACCCCCAGCTCAGTCACTGCAGGGCACATACCATGGTCAACTCAGTCCATGGGCCTGCTCTGGTCTCATGACATAAGGACACTGGCCTGAGAGCTGCTGGGGAGAGCTGGGGACACAGATTCTAAGGCCTACAGAGAGGGAAGGTGCCAGGGCCCACAGCACCTTGGGCCACCCAAACGTGCCCTTGTGGTTTCACACCCGACACTCAGGATCACCTCTATTTCACCTAACCCTGGCACCCACCAGCCACATGTAGGTGGAAGGAGAGCCGCTGGCCCCCAGCCTCGCAGCTGTACTCCCCAGCATCCGCCTGGCCTGCCTCCTGCACCACCAGCCTCCGTGTGCAGCCCACGGCCTCCACGCGCACTTTCGAGCTAGAGCTCAGCTTCTTCCTGTCCTTGTACCACATCACCTCCGTCTGGGCTTGGGCCACCTCACAGCTCAGCATGGTGCTGGTCCCCGCCTCAGCCTGCACCTCCCTGTGTGCCGGCTGCTCCTTGGCAAACACCACCTTGGGCTCTGGGGATGGTCAAGGAAGGACACATGAGGTCAAAGATACAGCCTAGGTCAGGAAGACCACCCTAGGGTAGGAGGGCCCGGATGAGGAAGTAGGAGAAACAGAACCTTCCCCAGGCTCTGCACTGGCTGTGTGACTGGGAGAAGCCCTGCCACCTCCCCACACAAGAATTACAGTTTGTCTATCCACTGTGCACGGCGCCATAGGCTATCACAGGTGGGGCAGCTATGACAACCCTCCATGCATGAGCACCTCCAGGGCAGGGACTGGGGTGCCTGCACACGTGGCTCTTCTTCAAGCATGTATGGGGCTTTAAATCCACTTGTCATTTTGAACCTCGCATCCCCCAAAACCACATTTGTTTGGATTTTGACTGAGACTGAATAACTTTCATTCTTCCATACTTTTATCCACTTTAGATCTTTACTGTCTCTCAAAAGTGTTTCACAGCTTCCCCGCCCCCCGCCACCCAGAGTCTCTGGACATCTTTTATTAGACTGGAATCATAAACATGATGCCTTTGAGGCATCTGTCAATCTTTTACGTTTTCGTTTGCCAACTGCTTGCTGCTAGTCTACATGTATGGAAGTTTCTTCACATAGATCTTGCAAGGGTTGATCTTTCTCAACTCTCTAATAATTTATCTTCTGGGTAAACCATATCTTCTGTCAGTTCACCTTTTTCCAACTTTTACACCTTTTGTTTTACTTTCCTCCTAACTGTGTGTCTAATGTTGGATGGAAGTGCTGACCACTGGCTTCCTCATGCTGTCCCTGGCTCAGAGGCAAAGCTTACAAAGTCTCCCTTTGTGATTTTTGTGTAATACCCTGTGTCAAATTAAGAAAAAAAAACTTTTATTTATACTTTGTTAAGAATTTAATGGCATGATGGATGCTAAATTTTGCCAGACATTTCTTCTGAATGTATGAGGTTAAATTTTTATCAAATATGGTACTTTATTCTGAGTTTAAGATAATTACATTGTTTTAAAATTTCAATCACATAATATCATGATTTTCTAATGTTTTAACATGAAAGCAGCCCTCATTCCTAGACTATGAATTTCATCATAGTGTATGATCATCTTGATGTATTGCTGAATTCAGTTTACTAATATTTTGTTTAAAAAATTGGCCATGATATCCATAATTGTTTGATCTACAATATGCAAACTTCCTATTTTCTGGCCAAATTTTAGTCACAGCATTAAGCTTTCTGCATATAATGAGTTAAGAGGGTATATCTTCCTTTTTCCATTCTCCAGAAGAATTTCCATGAACATGGAAGAATTTCTGGCCAGAATGTTTGGAAGAATTTCTCAATAGCGCCACATGGTTTAGATATTGTTTGACGGGAAGATTTTTTGCTACCGGTTCTAGTTTTTACTAGGTTGCAGTAACTGCAGATAACTTCGGTAACAGTAGATAACTGCATATAGGTTATCTATTTCTTAAGTCTGTTTTTGGTTTCTAGAAATTATATAATTTAACACTTTTCAAATTTACTTGCAGTGAGTATTTTTGGTATCTACACATCTGTAAGCCATTTTAGACATACATAACACCAACTGTTATGTGGCAGCACTCAGGGCTCAGGGTTGGAGTTTGAAGTTAAACTCTCCTAACAAACAACAGGAAAGTAAAGATCGTTCTCAGACTTCCTATGAATCAGCCAGAGAGGACAGGCACAGGACTTGTCAAGGAAACAGGATGATGTAAATATGGCTTCCCCAGTCAGCAGCTGCTACCACCATAACTTAATTCTACCAGTGTGTGACTGTGCCATAAGCTACTTATTCCTATCACTTTTAAATCTATCCAAAGGGGAATTCGGACACAGAACATTTTAACAGAATGCAAAAGGAAATTGAGATTGGCTTCCGAAATGGAATTCCAGTGTCATGTGTGCACCTGCCAATGCGCTGCTCTTTACTCATTTTGCACACACTAACGCTGTGGATCTGGGTTTTAATGAAGACTCAGACAGGGCTTCTACATCCACGGGGAAGGACAGAAGTGCATCCCAGAACACTGAAAACTTTGGGAATCCAGTGTTCAGTGTTGATATGATTCCAAATAAGACTGTGTGGCTGGAATTTCCCTACACCCTGGCTCAACGAATTCAAATCTCTTTGCACAGGGAGAGCCCTCACGTGTGGCCAGATGAGGCCGTGCAGGGACTGCAGGAGCATCCCCAAGGGAGGGATGTCTGGCCTACCACCACCTCATGCATTAGATAGGACCGGAGTCCCGGACACCTCAGGACATCAGTGGTTTGGAGAAGGTACTGGGAAAATGTGACCCAGCATGTCTGCACGGAAACACCACCCAACATGGACAAGGAGGGCCGTGACCCTTCTGTTCACTCCCTTCCCACTAGGCAGCCCAGCTCCACCACAGGCATAAAAGTAGGAGGTGAGAGGATGGGAGAAGTTGAGGGATGGAGTCTAATGGAAAGCCCACTGAGTCAGCAGTGGTTCTACTCCAGTCACAGCAGCAGCTCCAAACAGGGCTCACTCAGCATCCCCAAAGCACTGACCTGTCACTTGCAGGCGGAAGGAGAGCCGCTGACCCCCAGCCTCGCAGCTGTATTCCCCAGCCTCTGTCTGGTCCACCTGCTGCACCACTAGCCTCCGTGTGCAGCCCACGGCCTCCACGCGCACTTTCGAGCTAGAGCTCAGCTTCTTCCTGTCCTTGTACCATGTCACCTCCGTCTGGGCCTGGGCCACCTCGCAGCTCAGCGTGGCACTGGCCCCCACCTCAGCCTGCAGCTCCCTGTGCGCCGGCTGCTCCTTGGCAAACACCACCTTGGGCTCTGGGGATGGACAAGGAGGGACACACAAGGTCAAAGATACTGCCCAGGTCAGGAAGACCACCCTAGGGTAGGAGGGCCCGGATGAGGAAGTAGGAGAAACAGAACCTTCCCAAGCTCTGCACTGGCCATGTGGCCGGGAGAAATCCCACCACCTCCCAGCACAAGAATCACAGTTTCTCCATCCACTGTGCACGGTGCCATGGGCTGTCCCAGGCGGGGCAGCAGTGACAGACTCCGTGCACGAGCTCCTCCAGCGCAGGGACTGGGGTCCTGATGCCTGCACAGCTCCCTTCACAGATATACCAGCATCTCCCCCACGGGACTGCAGGGCGTGTCCTCACCACAGGGCCCCAGAATACTGAGTTTCCCAGTCCTGCCACTGTCAGGAGGGTCAGCGTTGGCCTCTGCAGGGAAGGCCTGGGCTTTGTCATGCATTGCCTGGTGACATGCAAGGTGGAGCCCTTTCCACCACTTCTGGCCGTTACATCAGCTCTTCTGGGGTGTCACTCTTCAGGCTTCTGTCCAATTTTCAATAGCCTTTTCTGTCTTTTCCTTCCTTATTTTTAGGAACTCTTTATATAAAATGCTAGCAAATGATAACTGTGCATTTGTAAACATCTTACCCATGTCCTTGACCTGCCTTTTCACTCTCAAATGATGTCTTGACAAATTAAAGTTGTAGTTTTAATGTAGGTAAATATACCATTGTTCCACTCTGTAGTTTTAAGAAATCTTTCCTTTCCCTGAAGTTTTCAACAATCTATGTTATCATCTAGGGGTTTTATGGTTTTACCTTTTATACTCTGTGGCCTCTAACCTCCCTGGAACTTACTTTTTAGTGTGAAATAAGTCACTAGTCTAAATTTTTATAAGGTTAAAAAATCAAAGAACCATTTTTTTTTTCAGAAGATCATCCTTTCTCCACTGCCTGTGCAGGTGTGAAGGTTAAAAAAAAAAAACAAAACACAAAACACAAAAACAAAAAAACAAGAAACAATAAAAGGGAGAATCCATGTATTTGGGTCTGATCATGAGCTCACGATTCTGTCCCTTTGGTCTGACAACTGTCCTTGTGTTGTGCCTGGCTGTCTCCATTCCTGCAGCTGATTGGTTCTTAGTATCTGGTAGACAAATGCTCACAAGTGGCTCTTCAAGAGTGTGTTACTCCACTTGGCCTTCAGAATCTGCTTCTCAACCTTCACTTCCCCAAAGAAAAACATTTGCTTGGGTTTTGACTGGGTGTGAACATATTTGAGTCTTCCATGGGTTTCTATCTATTTATTTAGGTCTTCTTACTGTCTGCCAAAAATGTTTCACAATGGCCAGGCACAGCGGCTCACACCTGTAATCCCAGCACTTTGGGAGGCTGAGGTGGGAGGATTGCTTGAGTTTGAGCCCAACCTGGGCAAAATAGTGAGACCCTGTCGCTACCAAAAAAATTTCTTAAAAAATTAGCTGGGCGTGGTGGTGCATGGCCTATAGTCTCATCAAGTCAGGAGGCCGAGGTGGGAGGATCTCTTGAGCCCACCCAGGAGGTCGAGGCTGCAGTGAGCCATGATTATACCACTGAACTCCACTCTGGGTGACAGAGTGAGATCCTGACTCAAAAACAAAAATGTTTGACAATTTTCCTCCACTGAGATATTAAACATCTTTACTATACTTGATGCTTTTCATGCTCTTGTAAATCTTTTAAAATTTGACCTTACAACTGTGTTGCTAGTGTGTGTGTGTGTATGTGTACATACATACATATATACATGTATTCTGCATGTTGAATTTCTATGTGATGTTTCTCAACTCTCATATTATTTGTTGTTACTTATTATTTACCTTATTATTTATCTATCTTTTGGATTTTCTGAATTGATACTCATATCATCTGTGAATCCCACTTACGTTTTTCTCCAAGTGTTATACCTTTTCTTTTCCTTTCCTCCTTCCTCTGCTGTACAGTGCTGAATGGAAGTGGGGATGGTTGGTTTCCACGTGCTGATTCCTATCTCAAAGGCAAAGCTTTCAAGGTGCTCTTTAAATATGCAGTTACCTGGTGTTTTCTGCAGTACCATTGACCAAATTAAAGAAGGACACTTTATAATTTGTTAAAAATTTCATGGCATGAATTGATGCTGAATTTTATCAAATATTACTTCTAAACTTTAATATTAAATTTAATCAAACACTGTATTCTGTATTTATTAAGATCACATAACTTTTTCATTGCATCCAATTACATCATCCTTTATACAGATTTGCATATTTCAAAAACTAAACCAGCCTTGCATTCTGGGACTACATCCTTCCTTAGAGGGTCTTGAGAGATAGCTAAATTCAGTTTGCTAATATTTTTTTTTGATATCCATAATGGATTGGTCTAAAATTTTAATTCTTGTTAACATTCCTTGTCCATATTATATTTTGATATCCATATTATATTTCTTATTTTTCTTTTTTTTCTTTTTTGAGACAAGAGTCTCAATCTGTTGACCTAGCTGGAGTGCAGTGGCACCATTATAGTTCACTGTAACTTCAACCTCCTGGGCTCAAGCAGTCCTCCCACCTCAGCCTCCCAAGCAGCTAGGACTTACAGGCACCCACTACAACATCCAGCTAATTTTTAAATTGTTTTTCAGAGACAGGGTTTTGCTGTGTTGCCCAGGATGATCTCGAACTCCTGAGCTCAAGTGATCCTTCTACTTTGGCCTCCCAAAGTGTTGGGATTACAGGCATGAGCCACTGCCCTAGGCTATATCATGTTTCTACAAGACTATCTGGAGAGTATATCTGCTTTTCTGTTCCCTAGTAGAAGAATCTGTATGAACATAGAATAATTTATTTCCTAAATATTTAGTATAATTTAGCAGTAAAGCCACCAGGCTTATGTCTTTTGCTATGAGCAGATGGTTTTCATGGTTCAATTTTTTTAAGTTTCTAGGACTACTAGAGTTATCTATTTCTCTTTGTGTCACTTTTGATATATTTCTAGGAACTGGCCAAACTGTCAATATTTTTCAAATTTATTACTACAAAATTTATTACCACAAATGTATTTCTGTAAAATAATTTTTCATATTCTCTTAAAATTTGACAAATGTACAGAGTGAGGTTTTGGGTGTATATACACCCCCCAAATCACTCTATGCTGATGCAGTAGCAAACTGTTATATGGTGGCACCTAGAGGTCAGTGTAGGATCTACAGCCGGGGTTACTAAGACTGTCTTAATGAAAGGAAAATAAATTTGCTTCTCAGACTTCTCTATGAAGCAGCCATGGAGGCTCAAACACAGTAACCATTAGGAAATTCTATAAAATAAATACACATAACAAACAGAGGCTGCTACGAAGGGAACTCGCCTTTGACAAAGTGTGGTGGTGTCGCCTACTCTACTTATTCTTTTCTATTTCTGAATCAAACTACAAGGAGAACACTGACACCAAATACTCCAATTGAGGACAAAAGGAAAACATGCTTTGTCTTAGAAACAGTATTCTAAGCCCATGGATGCACTGCACAGGCACGTCTCCACTGGGGCACCACTCCTTACGATTCACACAATCATAGCAAGTCAGGGATCTACATTTTGTAACACACGGGAGAGGGAAGAGTGTCTCTCCTCCTCTAAAACTATGATAGGACAAATTTTAGTTTTGGGAAAATTCCAGGGACAATCTGGTGACTGAAAACTCCCATTATCTTGTTTGGATGAAATGGAGGCAGCTCCCCTTCCCCTGGCGAGAGCCCTATGCTCTGTGGGGTGAGGATGCGGGAGCTGCCAGACATCCAACAACAGCACATTCACCTCTGTGCATGTGACAGATGCCGGGTTCACCTCAACCCCCAGCTCCAGGGGCAGTGAGACTCCTTGGACACTAAGAAAACTAGGAAGGTGCCCGCAGGTGTGACTGAGAACTACCAAGTACAAACACGTCTCTCGTTTTGCAGGAACAGGCCCTCTCCCTCCCAGGCACACCCCTCCCTTGGCCCAGCCACAGGGATGGAAATGGGAGTGGGAGGATGGGTAGCCCGAGACATGAAGGCTGAAGGAAAGTGCACAGAGATATGCTAGGGCTATGAGCCAGAACCACCATCACCTCTGAAGAGGCTCCTAGGGCCCCCAAAGCACTGACCTGCCACATTCAGGCCAAAGGAGAGCCGCTGACCCCCGGCCTCGCAGCTGTACTCCCCAGCGTCTGCCTGGCCCACCTGCTGTACCACCAGCCTCCGTGTGCAGCCCACGGCCTCCATTTGCACTTTCGGGCTGGAGCTCAGTTTCTTCCCGTCCTTGTACCACGTCACCTCTGTCTGGGCCTGGGCCATCTCGCAGCTCAGCGTGGCACTGGTCCCCAATTCGGCCTGCACCTCTCTGCGCACTGGCTGCTCCCTGGCAAACACTGCCTTGGGCTCTGGGGAAGGCAGGGATGCACAGGGTGACCACCACCATCTAGATCAGGAAGGCAGCACTGGGGAGAGAAGGCCTGGGCAGGGAGGTGGGAGGGAAAGAACCTTCACCAGCCTCAGGCTCTGCACTGGCCGTGTGGTCGGGAGAAGCCCCACCACCTCCCAGCACAAGCAACACAGTTTCTCCTTCCATTCTGCACGGCACCATGGGCTGTCCCAGGCAGGGCTGCCATGACAGATCCTCCAGGGCAGGGACTGGGGTCCTGACACCTGCACAGCTCCCCTTATGGATGTGCCACAGTCTCCCCAGGGGACTGTGCAGGGCATGTCCTCACCCCGGGGCCCCAGAGTCTGAGACTCCCACTCCTGCCACTGTCAGGAGGGTCAGCTCTAGCTGCTGCAGAGAGGTCCTGGGCCTCCTGTGGCTTCCTGGGTCCCTGTCAGGAGGACTGTCAAGCTGAGCGCCTTCTGATGGTTTGGGGACAGAGTCTTCGCTCTTCTGTGGTGTCACTGTTAAAGTGTTTTGCCCAATTTTCTTTTCCTTTTTTTTTTTTTGAGACAGGCTCTCACTCTGTCACCCATGCTGGAGTGCATTGGTGTGATCATAGCCCACTGCAGGTTCAATCCTTAGGCTCAAGACATCCTCCCACCTCGGCCTCCCAAGGAGCTTGAGACTACAGGCATGCATCACTATGCCTAGCTCTTTTATTTTTTATTTTCTAGAGGCAGGGTCTTGCTATGTTGCCTAGACTGTTCTCAAATTCCAGGGCTCAAGCAATCCTCCTGCCTCGGCCTCCCAAAGCGTTTGGGTTACAGGCATGAACCACCATGCCCAACCCCAATTTTCAGTAGCACTGTCTTTTACATATTTATTTTTAGGAACTTCATATACTTAAAAGCTATGTATGTTACAAACATCTTCTCCATCTCTGTGCCTTGCCCTTTCACTCCTGTATGAAGGTTCTCTGATGAAATAAAGTGATCAGTTTTATTGCAGGCAAATAATCATTCATCCTGTGTGGCTAGTGCATTCAGGTTCTGTTCAAAACATCTTCTATTACCCAGAGGTCACCAGATAATCTATATTATCTACATTATCTGGTAAGAGCTGTTCTACCCACACATTGAGTTGATTTCTTGTATGGGGAGGTAGACACCCAATTTTATTTTATTTTTGCGAACAGTTAACTGTCTTAGCACCATTTGTGAAAAGATCACCCTTCCTCTACACCTCCTCCTAGCACCAGGGTAAAAAATAAAGAAAGGGAGGAGGAATCTGGTTCCATCAAAGCTGTTTTGAGCTCAGTATTCAATTATTTTGGTCTGTTGATCTCTTTCTGCCTTTGGGTCCAGGTATCTAGATCACCACTGCTTTAGAGGACACCCTGCTGTCTGGTACAGCAAAGGCCCTCACACTGTGTTCTTCAAGGGTAGCTTGGCTCTGCTTGGCCTTTGCTATGTGCTTGTCAGTATTCTCTCACCCAACAGAACTACGGTTGACTGGAATTTACACTTTCAGGTCTTCCACAGCCTTCTAACTATTTATTGAGATCTTTTTTTACTGTCTCTCAACAATGTTTAATAATTTCCACCCCCCACAAACCATCTAAAGATCTTTTGTTAGGCTTGCAATTGGTAACTACAAGACTTTGGATGGTACTGGAAATCTCTTAAAATGTTATTTTCCATCTACTTGTTTCTGGTACATAGATCTAGAAGTGTTTTCTGTATATTGATTTTTTTATGTGATAACCATTCCCAAATGTCTTACTAATAATTAGGTTTTTTTTTGGACTTTCTAGATTAATAACCATATCATCTGTGAGGTGCATGTTTTATTTTCCAAGTTTTACACCTTGTACTTTCTTTTCCTCCTCTGTCTGCTATACAGTGTTGGAAGAAGTGGTGATGGATGGAGTCCTTGTCCTGTTTCCAATCTCAAAGGCGACACTTTCAAGGTTTCATGTTTGTGTAATATTAGCTTGTTTTCTTTATACTATTGCTTATGAAATTAAGGAAAAATGTTTTTATTTAGAGTTTGTTAAGAATTATATGACATGAATTGATGCTAAATTTTTCCAAATATTTTTTGCATATTTATGATGTTGTACTTTATCCAATGCTTTTAGTCTCCATATTGGGGTAATCACATTCATTTTTCTTTCAATCTATTAATGTCACATTTTGTACTGATTTTCAAATGTTTCTTATGCTAAACCAGCCTTGCATTACTGGACTATGACTTTTGTCATTGTGTGTTATCCTCTTGATAAATTGCTGAATTCAGGGTGCTAATATTTAGTTTAAGATAATGAGCCTTGACACTGATAAGAGATTGGCCAATTTTAATTCTTCATATTCACCCTGTCAGAGCTTTGTATTAATGATATTTACCTACATAAAACGAGATAGAGCACTGAGGTCCTTTTTCAATACTCTAGAGGAATGTCTATGAACATGGAATAATTTCTTTCTATAATATTTGGTACAGTTTACAGTAGAGCACTGGGGTAATCTTCTATGAGAAGATTATTTGTTGCATTTCTATAAAAGGTTATAGGCCTGTTCAATTTACCTATTTTTACTTTTGATATAGTTTTGAAGAAATTGATCAATTTGCCAAAACTTTTCAAATTTACTTGCATAAATAACAGGGCCGGGCATGGTGGCTCACCCCTGTAATTAGAGCACTTTGGGAGGCCGAGGCAGGTGGATCACCTGAGGTCAGGAGCTCAAGACCAGCCTGGTCAACATAATGAAACCTTGTTTCTGCTAAAAATACAAAAACATTAGCTAGGCATGGTGGTGCGTGCCTGTAGTCCCAGCTACTCAGGAGGCTAAGGCAGGAGAATCACTCGAACCCAGGAGGCAGAGGTTATAGTCAGCCAAGATCGCACCACTGCACTCCAGCCTGGGTGACAGAGCGAGACTCCATCTCAAAATAATAATGGCATGTTCTCACATAACAACATTTCAAGTACCTACAAAGTGGGGTTTCTGGCATCTATACACCCCCACAAACTCCTAGATTCTGATGTGACACCAGTGTTAAGTGTCAGTACCTATGAACAAGTGTGTGACTGCACTCCATCCAACAAAAGACTCTCTTACTAAAGGAAAATAAAGCTGGTTCTCAGATTTCTCTATCAACTAGCCATGAATTATTAGAACGGTATGAAACACATACTGCTTTATCTGTCAGTGGCTGCTGTGTAGTAATTCATCTTTAAAATGTGTGTTGATGTAGCTTGATTTGTTTATTCCTCTTCAGTTTTAAATATACAAAATTAAACTAAGGGAAGTTCAGTCACAGAATGTTCTGACATAAGAGCAAATGAAAACAACATACACTTTCAGAAGATAATTCCAAACCTCACAGTGGCGTATCGCAGTCCAGATCCACCAATTCCCAGCTCTGTATTTATTCTGTAGGCAGTATAATAAAAACAAGCCGGGTGTAGTGACTCACACCCGTAATCCCAACAGTTTGAGAGGCCAAGGCGGGTGGATCACTTGAAGCCAGAAATTTGAGACCAGCCTGACCAGCATGATGAAACCCCATCTCCACTGAAAATACAAAAATTAGCCAGGTGTGGTGGCAGGCGCCTGTAATCTTGGCTACTTGGGAGGCTCAGGCAGGAGAATTGCTTGAACCCAAGAGGCAGAGGTTTCAGTGAGCTGAGATTGTGCCACTGTACTCCAGCCTGGGTGACAGACTCTGTCTCAAAAACAACAACAACAACAAAACAAAAAAACCCAGGATATAGATTTTGCCACATGTGGGTGCACAGAGACCTTTTATGCCCATAAGAAAGATGAGAAGAGGGTCCTCGAACACATAAAACTTGGATAATCCAAAGTTCAAATCATGAGATAATTTCAAGAATGATTGTGTGGCTGAAATTTGCTCTTATCCTGGTTCAATGGAATTCAACCATCTCTTCATAGGGAGAGCTCTCAGGTCGTGCTGGTGAGGCTGGGTGCAAGCTCTCAGATGGCCTCAGGTGAGAGACATCTGGTCTACTTCAGCCTCCTGTAGCAGCCCCCTCAGTTCCATTGAGCCAAAGGGCTGGACACCTGGGAGCACCTGTGGGTTCTGACTGGGTGCTGGGAATATGTGAACAGCATTACTGCCTGGAAACACAACTCACAGTGTCTCCTGTACACACTCATCCCTTCTGGCCAACCTCAGGCCAGCCATGGGTAGGAAAACGGCAGCTAGGATTACGAGAGACTTCTAGAGATGAACTCTAGTGGAAAGAGTACTAGGGTCTATCAGCCAATCTCATCATCACCTCCACACAAGGTAACTCAGCATCCCCAAAGCATTGACCTGCCACGTGCAGGCTGAAGGAGAGTTGCTGGCCCCCAGCCTCACAGCTGTACTCTCTGGCATCTGCTTGGCCTGCCTGCTGCACCACCAGCCTCCGTGTGCAGTCTGCAACCTCCACCTGCACTTTCAAGCTGGAGCTCAGCTTCTTCCTGCCCTTGTACCACGTCGCCTCTGTCTTGGCCTGGGCCACCTCACAGCTCAGTGTGGCACTAGCCCCTGCTTCAGCCTGCACCTCCCTGTGCACTGGCTGCTCCTTGGCAAACACTGCCTTGGGCTCTGGGGAAGGCAGGGATGCACAGGGTGACCACCACCATCTAGGTCAGGAAGGCAGCACTGGGGAGAGAAGGCCTGGAAGGGGACATGCGAGGGACAGATGCTCTCCAGGCTCTACACCACTGCCTACCAGCACAAGGAACACAGTTTCTCCATTCATTCTCCATGGAGGATCTGTCACACCCCCAGGGCACCCTGCAGAACAGTAGCATGTTCCTGCAGTCCCTGCTGCTTGGGAGGCTGGTCTCAAATGCCTGAGCTCAAGCCATCCTTCTGCCTCAGCCTCTCAGAGTGCTGGGATTACAGGTATGAGTCACCGTGCCAGGCCTGATGCTAAATTTTATCAAAGAGCTGTTCAGAATTTACGATGTTAAATTTTATCAAACTTTTCTTCTGCATTTATTGAGATAATCATACTGTTTTTCTCTTTCAATCTGTTTGACATTTTCTGATGTTTTGAATATTGAACCAGTATAGCATTTCTAAATTATGCCTTTTATCATAGTGCATTTTCCTTTTGACATACTGATCATACCACTTTGAAAATATATTGTTGAAGCATTGGCCTACATATCCATAATGATTGGCCTGTAATTTCAAATCGTTATACTGTTCTTGTCATAATTGGTATCTATGTTATGCTATCCACATAAAATAGATTCAAGAGTGTATCTTCTCATTCTATTCTCTGAAAGGATCTCTAAGAACATGAAATAATTTGTTTTGAGGATATCTGGTATAATTTATCAGTAGATCCACTGGGCTTAGACGTTTTATAAAAATATTTGTATCACTGGTTCCACTTAATTAAAAGCTATAGGACTATCTGAGTTGTCTGTTTCTTCCTGTGTAACTTTTTCATATAGTTTTCTCTAAGAAATTGGCAATTCTCCAAAACTTATAAAATGTATTACCATTAAATAATTTATCGCACTCTCTTAACACAATATTTTAGAAAGATACATAGTGGGCTTTTTTGGTATCTATACACAACTACAAATGACTATATACTGATAGAATGCCAAGCTCTCAAGGGTTGGCATTTGGGAGTCAATGTAGTACCACAACCTTTTTCTCTCTGATATTTAGCCTGGTTTTTTGTTGTTGTTGTTGTTGTTGTTTTTATTTTTATTTTTTCCAGAACAGGGTCTCACTCTGTCGCCCAGGCTGGAGTGCAGTGGTGTGATCATGGCACACTGCAGCCTGGAACTCCTGGGCCCAAGTGATCCTCCTGCCTCAGCCTCCTGAGTAGCTAGGACTACAGGCATGTGCCACTTCATCCAGCTAATTTCTGTATTTCTTGTAGAGACGAGGTCTTGCTATAGTGCCTAATTTGGTCTCAAACTGCTGGGATCAAGCAATCCTGCTGCCTCGACCTCCCAAAGTGCTGGGACTACAACAGTCATGAGCCACTATGCCCAGGCCAGACTCTTTTAACAAAATATATACATATCTTAGGTGTGCTGAGATAGCTTAAGCTCTTTCTTCCTTTCCACTGCTAAATTCATAAATCAGACTCCAAGGGGGAATTCTGACTCAGAATGTTGTAACTAGAGACAAAAGGAAAGCCAGATTAACCTTAAGAGGAGCACTTGGAATCTCACAATTGTATCCCGGGGCACAGTCACCAGCCCTCTGGGCTGGGATTTTTTGCACAGACACTGCAAGAAAACAAGGACCGAGATTTTGCCACGTATAGGTGCACAGTGAGCTTCTAAAGCTTCTAGATCCATGAAAAAAAAGGAAAGAGTCTCCTAGGACACCAAAAGCTTTGATGCTCCGAAGTTCAGTCTGGAGAGAATTCCAACTGGGACTGCATGGGCAAAATTTCCCCTTATGTGGTTCATATGAATTCAAAATGTCTCTCATAGGCTAGAAGCCCCACATGGTGCTGAAGGGAGGCAGGTGGGAGATACTGGATGATAGAAAGGACACCCCACTTTCCCAGGGGAGGCACCTGGTCCACCTCAGACCACAGGGCCAGATAGTGCCAGGGGCCTGGACACCAAAGAGCACGGGGGTTTGGGGGAGGGGCTCAGTGTGATGAGGCTGCACTGCATGGGAACGCTGCTCCAGGTGCACCACAGGGCCTGGCCTTCCCTGTACCCTCCCATCCAGCCAAGCCTGGCCCAGCCACGGGCATGAACCTGGTAAGTGAGGGCATGGAGAAGTGGAGAGGTGGAGTCTCATGGAAAGGGCACTGGGGGCCGTGAAGTCCATCAGCCAGTCTCATCATCACCTCCACACAAGGTCACTCTCCATCCCCCAGAGTACTGACCTGCCACGTGCAGGTGGAAGGACAGCCGCTGGCTCCCTGCCTCGCAGCTGTACTCCCCAGCGTCTGCCTGACCCGCCTGCTGCACCACCAGCCTCCGTGTGCAGCCCACGGCCTCCACATGCACTTTTGAGCTGGAGCTCAGCTTCTTCCCGTCCTTGTACCACATCACCTCCGTCTGGGCCTGGGCCACCTCGCAGTTGAACATGGCGCTGGTCCCCGCCTGGGCCTGCACCTCCCTGTGCACCAGCTGTTCCTTGGCAAATACCGCCTTGGGCTCTGGGGAAGGCAAGATGCACAGGGAGATCACCACCATCTAGGTCAGGAAGGCAGAACTGGGAAGAGAAGGCCTGGAAGGGGAGGTGCGAGGGACAGATGCTCTCCAGGCTGCACCACCACCTCCCAGCACAAGGAAGCTTCTCCAGCTATTCTGTACAGTGCCACAGGCTGTCCTTGGTGGGGTGGCTGTGACAGATCTTGCATACACGAGCTCATCTGGGCAGGGATTGGTGTCCTGATGCCTGTACCCTTCCCCTCATGAATGGAGCAAGGGTCTCCCCATGCAGTTATGCAGGGCGCGTCCTCACCACAGAACCCCAGTCCTGAGGCTCCTGCTCCTGCCACTGTCAGGACGGTCAGCTTTGGCCTCAGTGGGGTGTGTCACTGTGGCTTTCTTCATTGTTCTACGGCTCACAGGGCAGAGCATCTTTCTAGAGGATTGGCCATTCCTGTTTGCTCCTCTGTAGTGTCACTACTCAATTCTATCCCATTATTAATAGCACTGTCTTGCCTTTATTCACTTTAAGGCAGCAGTCCCCAACATTTTTGGCAGCAGGGACCAGTTTCATGGAAGACAATTTTTCCACAGATGGAGGTCTGGGGCACAGTTTCGGGATGAAACTGTTCCACTTCAGATCATCAGGCATTAGATTCTCATAAGGAGCACAACCTAGATCCCTCCCATGCACAGTTCACAATAGGGTTCATGTTCCTATGAGAATCTAGTGCTGCTGCTGATCTGACAGGAGGCAGAGCTCAGGCAGGAATGCTCACCTGCCACTCACCTCCTACTGTGAGGCCCAGTTCCCAACAGGCCACAGAACAGTACTGGTCCACAGCCTAGGGGTTGGGGACCCCGGCTTTAAGGTCTTCTTTATATATTTAAATGTTAGAGAGGTCAGAATTATGTACTTTGTATCTTCCCTACCTGTGTGACTTGGGTTTTCATCTTTTATGGCGTCTTCTGATGAATCAGACATTTTAGTTTTAATTTACTCAAATACATCGATCTTGTCCACTGTGGTTAGGGCATTCGTGTACTATTTAAACACTTCCTTAAACCCTAAATTCTACAGATAGCCTATGCTTACCATCTTGGGGTTTATGGTTTTACCTTTTACCCTGAGGTCTCTAACCCACCAGGAGCTGACTCTTGCACATGCTATGAATTACCAATATGCTTTAATTCTTCCCATATGTTTAAATGGTCCACACACTAGTTAACAAAAACACTATCCTTGGCCAGGTGCAGTGGTTCACACCTGTAATCCCAGCACTTTGGGAGGCCAAGGTGGGCAGATCACGAGGTCAGGAGATCGAGACCATCCTGGCAAACATGGTGAAACCCTGTCTCTACTAAAAATACAAAAAAAATTAGCCAGGTGTGGTGGCAGATGCCTGTATTTCCAGCTACTCAGGAGGCTGAGGCAGGAGAATGGCGTGAACCCAGGAGGCAGAGCTTGCAGTGAGCCCAGATGGCACCACTGCACTCCAGCCTGGGCAACAGAGCTAGACTCCATCTCAAAAAAAAAAAAAAAAAAGAAAGAAAGAAAGAAAAAAGAAAACACTATCCTTTCTCTATTTCTTGCACAGATGCCATGGTTAAAAAAAAAAAGAAAAAAGGGGGGGGGGATGTCCAGAGATCATCGATGCATGGGACTATTTCTGAGTTCACTATTCCATTTCTTTGTTCTGATACCTAACCATTCGTTGAAATCCATTGTCTTAATTACTGTAACTTTACAATAATTTTCGACATCTGGTACAGTCATGTTCATACTTTGATTTTCTTTTCATTCCCCCACAAAAAAAAATTGTTTGGATCCTGATTGTTAATGAACATATTTTAATTTTTTCATGAATTTCTATCCATTTAATTAGATTTCTTAATGGTCTTGCAAAACATACAATAATTTCCTAGCCCCTCCCCAGGCTTTAAACATCTTTATTAGACTTTGAATTAGAAACATTGTAATTTTGATGCTACTGTAAGTCTTTTCAAATTTCATTTTGCAACTGTTTACTGCTGTATATAGATACAGAAGTGTTTTCTGTGTGTTGATTTTTTTTACAGGATAATCATTCTCAACAATGTTACTTAGTCTACTAAGTTCTCTATTGGATTTTCCAAGTGGATGGTCATATCATCAGTAAATTTCACTTTTACTTTTTCCAAGTGCTATGCCTTTTGCTTTATCTTCCTCCTTACCCTTACATACAATGTTGGATACAAGTAGTGACACTGCCCTGTCTCCTCTCAATCAAACCTTTCAAGGTTCACTCTGAGTGGGATCCTAGTGGTGCTTCTGCAGTATCATTTATCAAATTAAGGAAGAACACTTCTATAAAGTTTGTTAAGAATCCTATGATAGTGCTAAATTTTCTCAAATATATCTTCTAGATTTTATCAAATACTTTTAATCTACATTTATTGAGATAACGATATCATTTTTCATTCAATCTGTTAAGGTCAAGCTTATTATACTGACCTAATGCTTCTAAAGCCAAACTAGCCTTGCATTCTGGGACCAGGATCTTCAACAGAGTGCACTGTCTTCTTGATACGTTGCTGAATTCCATTTGCTAATACTTTGTTTATGATTGTGTTCTTGATATCAATAATGACAAATCCATACAGATTGGTCTACAATTTAGTTCTTCCCACTTCCTTTGTCAGATTTTGGTATTAATGTTACACTATCTACATAAAATGATGGCCTGGACATGGTGGCTCACACCTGTAATCCCAGCACTGTGGAAGGCCAAGGCAGGTGGATAGCTTGAACCTAGAAGTTTGAGACTAGCCTGGGCAACATGGCAAAACCCCGTGTCTACTGAAAAAAAAAATACAAAAAAATAGCCAGCATACATGCTATTTTGTGCTGGTGGTGCATGCCTGTAATCCCAGCTTCTTGGGAGGCTGACATGGGAAAATCACTTGAACCCAGGAGGCAGAGGCTGCAATGAGCTGAGATCCTGCCACTGCACTCCAGCCTGGACAATAGAGTGAGGGCCTGTCTCAAAAAAAAAAAAAAAAAAAAACATAAAATGGCATATGGAGTCAATCTCCTTTTACTATTCTCCAGAACAATATTCATGAATATGGAATAACTGCTTTCCAGAATATTTGAAACAGTTTACTAGAAAATTATTGGATTTAAAATATTTTTTTACTACTGCCTCCATCTATTTAAAACTTATAGGACTATTTAAGTTTTCTGTATCCTCTTATGTGAGTTTTCATGTAATTTACTAGGAATTAGCCAAATTGTCCCAACTCTTCAAATTTATTACATGAAACATCCTGTCATATTCTCCGAAAATAACTTCACAAACATATACAGTGGGATTTCTGTTATCTATATATATCCACATAACACTGATGCTGATGTAATACCAAACTTATGTGTTAGCACCCAGAGGTCACCATGGGACTTCAGCCCACCCCTATTTGGCATCAACACTCTCCCTTTTTTTTTCTGAAAGAAAATTGTATTTATCAGGCTTCCCTATGTACCAGCCAAGAGAACATAGACATATACAGCAGCAAACACACTGGACTTACTGGTGAGACATTTGCATTCCAGAGGATGGGAAATAAATCTGACTAAAATTCAGGGACCTTCTACCTCAGTAAAATGTCTAGAGGTCCAGTGGTGTGGGGCCTGTCAAGATATTCCTTCTAAGGTGAAGCATAAGTTGCTGCATTTGGCCCCTCCTACAACCAAGAAAGAGGCACAATGCCTATTCGGATTTTGGAGGCAACACATTCCTCATCCGGGTGTGTTACTCTGGACCATTTATCAAGTGACCCAAAAGGCTGCCAGTTTTGAGTGGGGTCCAGAACAGGAGAAGGGTCTGCAACAGGTCCAGGCTGCTGTGCAAGCTGCTCTGCCACCTGGGCCATATGACCCAGCAGATCCAGTGGTGCTTGAGGTGCCAGTGGCAAATAGGGATGCTGTCTGGAGCCTTTGGCAGGCCCCCGCAGGTGAATCAGAGTGGAGGTCTCTAGGATTTTGGAGCAACACCCTGCCATCTTCTGCAGGTAACTACTCCCGTTTTGAGAGACAGCTCTTGGCCTGTTACTGGGCTTTGGTGGAAACTGAACAATTGACTATGGATCATCAAGTCACCATATGACTTGAACTGACTGTCATAACCTGGGTGCTTTCTGACCCATCTAGCCATAAAGTTGGGCATGCACAGCAGCATTCTATCATCAAATGGAAGTGGTATATACACGATAGGGCTAGAGTAGATCCTGAAGGCCCAAGTAAGTTACATGAGGAAGTGGCTCAAGTGCCCATGGTCCCCACTCCTGCCACCCTGCCTTCTCTCCCCCAGCCTGCACCAATGGCCTCATGGGGAGTTCCCTATGATCAACTGACAGAGAAAGAGAAGACTAGGGCCTGATTCACAGATGGTTCTGCATGATATGCGGGCACCACCCAAAGGTGGACAGCTGCAGCATTACAGCCTCTTTCTAGGACATCCCTGAAGAACAGTGGCTAAGGGAAATCTTCCCAGTGGGCAGAACTTCAAGCAGTGCACCTCGTTGTGCACTTTGCTCGAAGGAGAAATGGCCAGATGAGCGATTATACACTGATTCATGGGCTGTAGACAATGGTTTGGCTGGATGGTCAGGGACCTGGAAGAAGCGTGATTGGAAAATTGAGGAAAAGGTATGTGGATGCACCTCTCTGAGTGGTCACAAATTGTGAAGATATTTGTATCTCATGCGAGTGCTCACCAAAGGGTGACCTCAGCAGAGGAGGATTTTAATAATCAAGTGAATAGGATGACTCGCTCTGTGGACACCACTCAGCCTCCTTCCCCAGCCACCCCTGTCATCACCCATGAACAAAACGGCCATGGTGGCAGGAATGGAGGTTACACGTGTGCTCAGCAGCATGGACTTCCACTCACCAAGGCAGACCTGACTAAAGGCCACTGCTGAGTGCTCAATTTGCCAGCAGCAGAGACCAACAATGAGCCCTCGATATGGCACCATTCCTCAGGGTGATCAGACATCTGCTTGATGGCAGGTTGATTATATTGGACCTCTTCCATCATGGAAAGGGCAATGGTTTGTCCTCACCACAATAGACACTTACTCCAGATATGAGTTTGTCTATCCTGCACACAACACTTTGGCCAAGACTACCATCCATGGATTCACAGAATGCCTTATCCACCGTCATGGTATTCCACACAGCATTGTCTCTGACCAAGGCACTCTATGGTTAAAGAAGTGTGGCAGCAGCCGCCGAGATGTTGATGCCTAAGAAGAACCAGACTGCCATTTACGAACTCCTTTTTAAGGAGGGAGTCATGGTGGCCAAGAAGGATGTCCACATGCCTAAGCACCCGGAGCTGGCAGACAAGAATGTGCCCAACCTTCATGTCATGAAGGCCATGCAGTCTCCCAAGTCCTGAGGCTACGTGAAGGAACAGTTTGCCTGGAGACATTTCTACTGGTACCTTACCAATGAGGGTATCCAGTATCTCCATGATTACCTTCATCTGCCCCTGGAGATTGTGCCTGCCACCCTACGCCATAGCCGTCCAGAGACTGGCAGGCCTCGGCCTAAAGGTCTGAAGGGTGAGCGACCTGCGAGACTCACAAGAGGGGAAGCTGACAGAGATACCTACAGACGGAGTGCTGTGCCACCTGGTGCCAATAAGAAAGCCGAGGCTAGGGCTGGGTCAGCAACCAAATTCCAGTTTAGAGGCGGATTTGGTCGTGGACGTGGTCAGCCACCTCAGTAAAACTGAAGAGGATTATTTTGCATTGAATAAACTTACAGCCAAAAAAACCTTACCAAAAAAAAAAATAGAAGTGTGGCAGTGGGCTCATGCTCATGGAATTCACTGGTCTTACCATGTTCCCCATCATCCTGAAGCAGGTGGACTGATAGAACAGTGGAATGGCCTTTTGAAGTCACAATTCCAAAGCCAGCTAGGTGACAATACTTTTCAGGGCTGGGGTAAAGTTCTCCAGAGGCTGCATATGCTCTGAATCGGTGTCTAATATATGGTACTGTTTCTCCCATAGCCAGGATTCACGAGTCCGGAAATCAAAGGATAGAAGTGGAAGTGGCACCACTCACCATCACCCCTAGTGACCCACTAGCAAAATTTTTGCTTCCTGTTCTCATGACATTACCTTCTGCTGGCTTAGAGATCTTAGTTCCGGAAGGAGGAATGCTGCCACCAGGAGACACAACAACGATCCCATTGAACTGGAAGTTAAGATTGCCACCTGGCCACTTTGGGCTCCTCCTACCTTTAAGTCAACAGGCTAAGGGAGTTACATTGTTGGTTAGGGTGACTGACCCAAACTATCAAGATGAAATCAGTCTACTACTTCACAATGGAGGTAAGGAGGCATGTGTGTGGAATGTAGGCAATTCCTTCGGGCGTGTCTCAGTATTACCATGCCCTGTGATTAAGGTCAGTGGGAAACCACAACAGCCCAATCCAGGCAGGACTACAAATGATCTAGACCCTTCAGGAATGAAGGTTTGGGTCACTCCACCAGGAAAAAAATTAAAATATCTCTCGCTGACCAGAACCAGCATGTGCTGCTGGGTGAGGGCATATGGTAGCTGCCAGAGCATATACTGAGAGGATATTCACAGAACCCCAGGAGAGAGACGCCTGGTCAACCTCAGAACACAAGACAAAGGAGATCCAGAGTCCCAGATGTCAAGGAGCACCAGAAAGGTTCTGGGCAGGTGCTGGGAACAAGTGGCTGAGCATTATAAAGTGCAAACATGCCTCCGGGTTTGCAGATACAGCCCCTCTGCCTCCTGTGCACACCTCTCTCTCGCCCCAGCCACAGGGATAGAAATGGAAGCAGGAGGATGGGAAGCCCAAGACACGAAGGCTGAAGGAAAGTGCACAGAGATATGCTGGGGCTACGAGTCAGAACCACCATCACCTCTGAAGAGGCTTCTCGGCACCCCCAAAGCACTGACCTGCCACGTGCAGGCGGAAAGAGAGCTGCTTGCCCCCGGCCTCACAGCTGTACTCCCCGGCGTCCGCCTGGCCCGCCTGCTGCACCACCAGCCTCCGTGTGTAGCCCACGGCCTCCATTCGCACTTTCGAGCTGGAGCTCAGCTTCTTCCCATCCTTGTACCATGTCACCTCTGTCTGGGCCTGGGCCATCTCGCAGCTCAGCGTGGCACTGGCCCCCACCTCGGTCTGCACCTCCCTGTGTGCTGGCTGCTCCTTTGCAAACACCACCTTGGGCTCTGGGGAAGGCAGGGATGCACAGGGTGACCACCACCATCTAGATCAGGAAGGCAGCACTGGGGAGAGAAGGCCTGGGCAGGGAGGCGGGAGGGAGAGAACCTTCCCCAGCCTCAGGCTCTGCACTGGCCGTGTGGTCAGGAAAAGCCCCACCACCTCCCAGCACAAGGAACACAGTTTCTCCATCCATTCTGCATGGTGCCATGGGCTGTCCCAGGCAGGGCTGCCATGACAGATCCTCCAGGGCAGGGACTGGAGTCTTGACACCTGCACAGCTCCCCTCACAGATGTGCCGGGTTCTCCCCAGGCGACTGTGCAGGGTGCGTCCTCACCCCAGGGCCCCAGAGTCTGAGGCTCCCGCTCCTGCCACTGTCAGGAGGGTCAGTTCTGGCCTCTGTGGGGAGGGCCTGGGCCTACCGTGGCTTCCTGGGGCCCTGTCAGGAGGACTAAAAGCTGGGTGCCTTCTGATGGTCTGGGGATGGAGTCTTCATTCTTCTGTGGAGTCACTGTGCAAGTGCTTTGTCTGACTTTCAATAGCACTGTCTTTCTTTTACACTTTCATTTTAAGATCTCTTTTTACACTGAAATACTAGAGCAGTGGCCATTAGCATGTTAGAAATATCCTCCTTTTCTGTGTAGCTTGCCTTTTCATTCTCTTATGGTGTCTTCCAAAGAATCAAAAATTTTAATTTTAATGTATTCAAATATATCAAATGTGTTTCATTGTGATCAGGGCATGTATGTTCTGTTTAGGAAGTCATGCGTTACTCTGAAGTCACCAGAAACATCTCTGTTTTCCTCTAAGACTTGTATGTGTTTCCCCAGGATTCTGACATCTCTAACCAACTGGAGTTGACTTTGCGTGTGGTTGAGATCCTGGTCTGATTTATTTCCCATGCGGTTTAATGGTCCAAAATCTTTTTTTTTCCTTTTATTTTCTGAGACAAGGTCTTACTCTGTCACCCAGAGCGGAGTGCAGTGATGCAATCATAGCTAACCGCAGCTTCAGTCTCCTGAGTTCAAGCCATCCTCCCACCTCAGCTTCCCAAGTAGCTGGGACTACAGGTACATGCCACTACAGCCAGCTACTTTTTTTTCAATTTCTTTAGAGATGGGATCTTGCTTTGTTGCCCAGGCAGGAATGCAGTGGCATGATCATAGCTAACTGCAGCCTCCAACTCCTGGGCTCAAATGATCCTCCTGCCTCAGCCTCCCAAGTAGCAGGGACTTACAGGTGTATACCACCATGCCTGGGTAATACGACTTTCTTCATACCATACTATTCTCTTAGTATATTGCTAAATATATATTAATAATATGTTGTTTAAGATTTTGTCCTTGCTATCCATAATAGGTTGGCCTATTTTTAATTCTTCCTACTTTGTATCAACGTTATGCTACCTACATGAAACAAATCAGAGAGTGCATCTCTTCATTGTATTCTCTAGAAGAATTTCCATGAACATGGAATAATTTATTTGCAGATTGTTTGGTACAATTTACTGTATAGTTATTAGATATTGCTTAGAAATTTATTGGTGAAAACATTTTTTGTTACTAGTCCCATTTGTTTAAAAGTTATAGGACTATCTGAGCTGTCTATTTCTTCTTATGTTACTTTTTATATACTTTTTAAGCAATTTAACAATTTGTTGAACCTGTTCATATTTATTACCAGTAAATAATTTGTCATACTCTCCTAAAATAGCACTTTAGAAAGACACATAGTGGGTTAGTGGGTTTACTGGCATCTATAACCACCCACAAACCACTGCACAGTGGTAATACCAGACTGTCATGTGTTGGCCCCCAGGCATCAACATGGGGCTGCAGCCCACAGATCTCTGATGTGAAGATTCTCTTAATGAAAAGAAAATAAATGTAGTTTCAGAATTCTCTATGACCCAGTCAGGAAAAGCCACAACATAATTACTAGGAAATGCTACTGAATAAATACTGCTTTTGTCAGTCAGGGGCTGCTTGATATGGTTTGCCTCTGTGTCCCCACCCAAATCTCACCTTGAATAGTAATAATCACCACACTGCAATGGTGGGACCAGGTGGGGGTAATTGAATCACGGGGGCAGTTTCCCTCATGCTGTTCTCGTAATAGTGAGTGACTACTACCAAGATCTGATGGTTTTATAAGGAGCTCCCTTCTTCACTCGGCACACATTCTTTCTCCTGAAGCCCTGTGAAGAGGTGCCTTCCACCATGATTGTAAGTTTCCTAAGGCCTTGCAAGTTTCCTGAGGCCTTCCCAGTCATGCAGAACTGTGAGTCAATTAAACCTCTTTCCTTACCCACTCTCGGGTATGTCTTTATTAGCAGTGTGAGAACAGACTAATATAATGCTACTATTGCATCTCAGTTGTATCAGTGCCTGGTGATGTCATCTAAGCTACTTATTCCTTTCCATTTCTCAATTTAAAAATCAAGCTCCAAGGAGAATCTGACATATTCTAACTAAAAACAAAGGAAAACAAGAGTTGTTTTTGGAAGAGAATTCCAGACCTCATGGGTGCATATCACAGGCTCATATGTACCAATCCATGCTGCTGTTTTACTTGACACAGACATTGCAACAAACATGGATCTAGGTTTTGCTACCTGTGGGTGCACAGGTAACTTCCATGTCCATGCAAAAGAAGGGAGAAGGTCCCAGGACATCAAAAATCAGATAATCCACAGTGTGATACTGAGATAATTCCATGTATGGTTGTGTGGCTGAAATTCCCCTTTCTCCCAGCTGAATTAAATTCAAACACCTGTCACTAGGGAGAATAAGCATGCGGGCATGTGGGAGCTGCCAGACATCCAGTAGAAGGAAATTCACATATCCCCAGGTGGAGACACCTGGTCTACCTTGACCACAGGGCCTGGTAGAGACAAGAAGAAACACCAGCAAGGTTCTAGGCAGATGATGGGAACGTATGATCGAGCATTACTGCATATAAACACCATTCCAGGAACACAGCAACAGCCCCTGTCCCTCCACACATACCCTTCCCATCTGGCCTCCCTTGACCACACCAGTTATGAAATAGGAATTGGGAGGATAGGAAACCACAGAGGTAAAGGCTAATGGGAAGAGCACCAGAGTCTATCAACCAGTCTCATCATCACCTCTACAAACTTAGTACCCCTGAAGCACTGACCCGAAACATCCAGGTGGAAGGAGAGCCGCTGGTCCCCGGCCTCACAGCTGTACTCCCCAGCATCTGCCTGGCTTGCCTGCTGCACCACCAGCTGCCGCATGCAGCCTGTGGCCTCTACACGCACTTTCGAACTGGAGCTCAGCTTCTTCCCGTCCTTGTACCACGTCACCTCCGTCTGGGCCTGGGCCACCTCACAGCTCAGTGTGGCGCTGGCTCCTGCCTCAGTCTGCACCTCATTATGCACTGACTGCTCCTTGGCAAACACCGCCTTGGGCTCTGAGGGTGGACAGGAGGGATGCACAGTCAGAGACACAAATCTGGGACGAACCCATTTCACAGGCACTGAAGATTCAGGATTCAGCAACAACAAACAACTAATGAAAGATATAAACCCACAGACTCAAGATGTTCTACAATCCCAACCAGGATGAAGACAAAGGAAACCACACCTACGTTCATAAAAGAAATACTACCACAAAGCAAAATCAAAAAGAAAATCTTAAAAGCAACAGGATGAAAAAAGGTACATGACCCTTAAAATATCCATAACAAATTTCACAGTTCATATTTCAAAGAAAATATGGACACCAGAAGATAATGTAATGACCTCTTTAAAATGTTAGGGAGTGGGGAGTAGCTGCTAAACTGTAATGTTATACCCAGATAAAACAGCCCTCAGAATCAAAGGGAGAACAAATATGTGTTCACAAAAGAAATAAAAAGTAAGAGAAGGCATATGACCAGCTGACCTGCTAACATAAATACTGAAGACATAGTTCTACAAGAAGGAAAAAGAATAGTAATCCCAGAATATTGGGTCCAAATTCTGACTGCAATTTTCTGGCTTTGTGAACTGTGGTGAGTTACTTCCCTGTGTGTTATTTTAAAATGAGAATAATCAGAGTTCCTCCTCACAAATTGTTTTGAAGTTTAAGCAAGCAGAAAGACAAGAAGCACTTCACAAAATCTAGGTCCTCAGCACACAATTAATACCTGCTAGTTGTTATTATAGGGGAAGCTTTATGAGAAAAAAGGCCCTTGGGTGGGACTTCCATACATACCCTAAGTACATAAAGATTATCCTAAAAGCATAAGAAAGACCTCAAAAAACTCACCTGTGATGTGCAGGTGAAAGGAGACCCTCTGGCCCCCAGCTTCGCAGCTGTACTCCCCAGCATCTGCTTTGCCCACCTGCTGTAACACCAGCCTCCTTGTGCAGCCCTTGACCTCCATGCGCACTTTTGAGCTAGAGCTCAGCTTCTTCCCATCCTTGTACCACTTCACTTCCATCTGAGCCTGGGCCACCTCACAGCTCAATATGGCACTGGCCCCCGCCTCAGCCCGCACCTCATTATGCACTGACTGCTCCTTTGCAAACATCATCTTGGGCTCTGAGGGTGGACAAGGAGAGATGCACAGTTAGAGACACAAATCTGGGACCAACCCATTTCACAGGCACTGAAGATTCAGGATTCAGTAACAGCAAACAGCTGATGAAAGACATAAACCCACAGACTCAAGATGTTCTACAATACCAACCCAGATTCAGAGAAAGGAAACCACAACTAGGTTCATCAAAGAAAAAAAGGCCACGAAGCAAATTCAAATAGAAAATCTAAAAGCAACAGGATGAAAAAAGATACATGACCCTTAAAATGTCTACAATAAATCTTACAGTTGATATTTCAAAGGAAGTATAGAAGCCAGAAGATAATGGAATGACCTCTTTAAAATGTTAGGGAGTGGAGGAATAGCTGATAAACTGAAATGTTATATCCAGATAAAACAGTCCTCAGAATCAAAGGGAGAACAAATAGGTTTTCACATGAGAAAAAAAAAGATGGAATATATATAACCAGCAGAGCTGCTAACATAAATACTGAAGATAGAACTCTTCAAGAAGAAAAAAAGAATAATAATCCCAGAATACTGGGTTCAAATCTTGACTGCAATTTTCTGGCTTTGTGAACTGTGGTGAGTTACTTCTTTGTGTGTTATCTTAAAATGGGAATAATCAGAGTTCCTTCTCATAGAATTGTTTTGAAGTTTAAGCAAGCAGAAAGACAACTAGCATTCACAAAATCTATGCTCCTTGGCACAAAATTAATACTTGCTAGTTATTATAAGGGAGGCTTTGTAAGAAAAGAGGCAATTAGGTGGCACCTCTATGCTAATGTCACTAAAAATTATCCTAAGGAACATAAGAAAGATCTCAAGAAACCCGCCTGTGATGTGCAGGTGGAAGGAGACCCTCTGACCCCTGGCCTCGCAGCTGTAGTCCCCGGCATCCATCTTGCCCACCTGCTGCACCACCAGCCTCCGTCTGTAGTCCTTGGCCTCCATATGCACTTTCAAGCTAGAGCTCAGCTTCTTCCCATCTTTGTACCACGTCACCTCTGTCTGGGCCTGGGCCACCTTGCAGCTCAGTGTGGCCCTGGCCCCTGCCTCAGCCTGCACCTCACTGTGTGCCAGCTGCTCCTTGACAAACACCACCTTGGGCTCTGGGGACAGAGTGTGACACACAGGGTCAGACATATTCCAATTACTAGAACTGAATGATCTAAAAACTCTGATGGTTCAGCCACAAGCCTGCCCTCTTCCTGGATTTCTCAACAAAAAGAACTTTACATTTTGAAGATGCACAGGGCAGACGATAGGTTAGTTCTCAGAATCTGAAGCCTCCCAGTTAGATAATTTTTAGACTGGTATATGTTGCAATTCAGGCTTTCACATTTATTTACCAGCTGTGATCTCCTAAGTATAAAAACAAAGAGAAGCACAATTTGTGACCTGCACACCAAAGCATAGGTATTTTCAGACATAATTCCTTAAGCGATACTGGCAGAATGGGCAGTAGCCCTGACTCACACAAAGGACTGCTAATACAGCCTACAACTTCTAGAGGGCCAATTGTCATTGGTATAATCTAATCCTAGGCCTTGGGATTGGATCTCTTCATTATTTCAGTTTCCTCATATCACTACTTCCAGTACCTATTCTGTTACTTTAGATGACATTTTCCTCTTATGAAGTGTATCTACTGGTAATTCTCTCAGGAAGGTTTTGTGAATGGTAAACTTTGTCAATCTACTTCCTGAAAATGTCTTTATTTCACACTCACTTTTGAATGATAGCTTAGCTGGGTGCAGAATTCTAGGTTGACAGTTGTTTTCCTTGCTAATTTGGACATTATGCCATCATTTCATTTCTGGGCTCTTCATTGCTGCTGAGAAATCTATAGGAAGGATAACTGTTGTTCTCTTAATATATTCTTCTGTGTGGTAGTTTTAAGGCTCTCCTCCTGGTTTTTTGGCCTTCTACAATTCACTATGTTATGTCTAGCTGAGAATTTATCTTCTTTACACTTACAATGATTTCTTGTGAATCTATAAATTTTAGGACTCATGTTGTTTATAATTTCTGAAATTTTTCTGCATGACCTCTTTTATTATTGCATCTTCCTCACTCTGTAGTTTATCCTAAAAGTCCTTTTTTAACTTTACAAAAAAGTATATGTTTATTATGAACAATGTGTTTTGAAATATGTATATACTGTGGAATTGCTAAATTGTGCTAGTTTACATATGCATTACCTCATATATGTATCATTTTGTGGTGACAACACTAAAATCCACTCTCTTAGCAATTTTCAAGAATACAATACATTGTTATTAACTGTAGTCACCATGTTGTACTATAGATCTCTTGAACTTATTCCTCCCAACTGAAACTTTGTACAGTTTGACCAACATCTCCATGACCTACCTCCTCCCCAAGACTCCGGTACTCTACTCTCCATTTCTACAAATTCAACATTTTTAGATTCCACATATAAGTGAGATTGTACAGTAACTGTCTTTATGTCTTATTTCACTTAACATAACATCCTCCAGCTTCACCCGTGTTGCTGAGTGGCAGCTGAATAGCATCCCCCTGCATACTATAATATACAACACATATTCTTCATCCATTCATCTGCTGTTGGACACTTAGGTTAGATTTTTTAAAAATCTTTTAAAAAACGTATTGGTGCCCAATATACAAAAGGTGGTGTTTTATGTTGTAAATTAATTTTTACAAAGGCAATAATGATGCATCCAGTTGCCTGCCTTTCGCTAGCTCATCCTTGTTGACCTGGTGGCTCTGCTAGGGCCGGCAGACGGACAGCAGCAGGTGGTGAGGCTCTGACACCCCCTCATGACACACCAGTAACCAGGGGCCACAGGGGCCAGAACCAGCCCTGCATCTTACCGCTGCTCTCTCTCTTGCCCTTCAAAGCCTGACTTGGGGAAACAACCATAGACACCAGCTGTGTCCACATCCTCATCTCAGATCTGCTCAGCAGCCATGGAGCCGTTGCTCCTGCTAAGGTCAGCTGTGCCCATTGGGGTTGCAGTCCTTCAGCCCTTCCCCCGTCGCTCCTGTTTCACCATGGCATTCACACCTGCACATCACCTGTGCATCAAAGTCTTCACTGACCCCAAAACATAACTCTCTAGATTCTTCTCCTATTCCTTTGGGCCTCTTCCTTGGTGGTCTCAGCTTCCTCAGTGTTGCCCCAGGGCGAGTCTTGTTATCACGGTCCCTTGCCCACGGTGTCCCAGTGCACAACATCCTCTCCTGCCATTGACATGCCAACAAATCCCAAAGCTCCCTTGTCAGCTCAGCATCAACCGAGGTGCAGCCCAGAGAGCCACTGCTTCCTGGATGTCTCACATAGGCTAATATAATATCCCCCGGCGCCCCCAGCACTTTCTTTATCTGTCCTGACCCACCTGCAACTTTTCCCTTCCAGGCTTGAACCAGGCATGGATAAAGGTATTTAGGTTGTTGCTCGACACTCTGAGAAATCAGCCATCTTGCTAAATACAGAGAAAGCCACCATGCTTGGCCCTGAGCCAGAGTCCTCAACCCTGAGATAAACTCCATACCCTGATCCCTCATGGTAGACATGCCTGGGTGGGACATCTGCCTTCTTGCTGTTTGTTACAAGTATATGCTGTGGTCCTCCTCTGTAAACAAGTTCCTCTAATAAAGCTCTGGACTGATCACCCTGGTGTTTGGTGCTTCTTTCTGTGGAATCCTAACCATCCCATTGTGGGATGGTTTGGGGCACTCCCTTGTGGAAACTCCTTTCCACTGCCTTTGTGGCAACTCCAGCTCCAGGTTGGACAGGACGGAACAGCTCCTCACCCGTTTCTCCTTGCACATCTACTTCTTGCCTACTGCCCCATCTCAGATGTAGCCCCTGCATCTACGCATCTGCCCAAGCTTGCAGTTCACCTCTCATCTCCTCTGTTCTCAACCCTGAACCCGCCTGGCCACTGCTCCTCTTTTTTTAAAATTTTTTTATTTTTTATTTTTTTGATGGAGTCTCGCTCTGTCGCCCAGGCTGGAGTGCACTGGCACATTCTTGGCTCACTGCAAGCTCCGCCTCCCGGGTTCATGTCATTCTCCTGCCTCAGCCTCCTGAGTAGCTGGGACTACAGGCACCCGCCACCATGCCCGGCTAATTTTTTGTATTTTCAGTAGAGATGGAGTTTCACCATGTTAGCCAGGATGGTCTCGATCTCCTGACCTCGTGATCCGCCCGCCTCGGCCTCCCAAAGTGCTGGGATTACAGGTGTCAGCCACCGCACCCAGTCTGTGCTCCACCTTTTAAATGGCTCTTGAGCCTATGGCCTCCTCTCTGCCCTCAGGACCTCGGACCCTCTGCAGGCCCAGCCCTCTTCTCCACCCTCGGGACTGCTGTCCCTCTGCAGGCCCGGCCTTCTCCTCCACCCTCGGGCCGCTGTCCCTCTGCAGGCCCGGCCCTCTCCTCCACCCTCGGGACTGCTGTCCCTCTGTAGGCCCGGCCCTCCCCTCCCTGGACCAGGCAGGGCAGAGCCTCCTGCCTCTGATCCCCCCTCATCCTAATCTAGTCTCCATGGTGCAGTCAGAGTGTAACTGTGAAACTTCTATGTTTTCATCCCAGGAATTAAGGACCAAAGTCCACTTCCCAGGTGTGCAGGATGGCCCAAGTGAGTGGACACCAGCTTTCAAATGCACCTCCAAGTCCACACTTGTCTTCAAAATGATCACTAAAAGAGTTGCTGTGTTTTTAAACTGAGTTGACTAAGTGTTACTGCCTCACTGAGCATGCTGAGGAGTCCCAGAGCCGAACCTCTGCAGCCAAATGTTCTCAGGGACCCGGATATGGATACAGGCACTGCGAGTATCTTGCAGGGACCCACACAGCGACCTGTCAGCAACACGTCTTCAGCAGCGGGGCTAGCACTGGGCACATGGCAGACTGGCACCCTGCATGAGCACCTCTAACATGAGCACAGATGCAAATCCAGTCACACAGCCGCAGTGTGCTCAACCCAGCTGGGTAGCTGCATCTGCCGCT